CTGACACAATTACAAGGTAAATACATCAACCGTTCAATATAAGTAATAGTGTGCTGATTTTTGCAGATATTTTAAACTCATGCTCATGTTGTTTTCATCGCCTCCCTTCTACACCTCAAATGTCCAGTTCCCAACTCATAACACCCCCGTTTCAGCGGCAATTCATTGTCATTCCCTGTCCTGGTGTCATAGATGGAGAGGAGAGAGACATATTTTGATATCATGACACACTCAACTGAGGACAGTTGCGATTTCTCGTGCCAGGTGGATGTCATGCATGGTATGCAACTCATACCATGACAGATACACAAGAGGTGTGATAAGGATTAGTTATTAGCTAGTATTTTCACTTTCAAACTTCACTTCCATTTTTCCATGTATTTCTATTTTGTTCTATGACATTCCATCTCTTTCTATTTTCCTCAGGCATATTCAGCCAACAGACTTTCTTTTCAGCCACCAAGCATGTTTGTAAGCATGTCATGTGACTGGTATATATCATGGTAAAGATTGAGCTTGACTCATCATGTTTTGTCATGATTCGTCATGCTTTGTAAGATTCCTAACTGTATTTATAAGCTACTTAGTAAGAAGGCTGATTCAGCACACCAAATGGCATTGTTAGTAAGCACATCCTTACCAATCCATGTGATGACTCATGCCATGATTCGTCATGCTTTGTAAACTACACTGTATTTATAATGTAAATTAGTAAACAGGCTGACTCAACACACCAAATGGCATTGTTAGTAAGCACATTCTTACCAATCCATGTGATAATTCATGCTTTGTAATCAGGGCCTCCAAAAGGTATATAAGGAGCCCAATTTTGCCATGTAATAAATGGAGCACTTCCCACCTTCACTCATCTCAAACAGTGTGAGATTAAGTAAGAACCTAAGTACAGGCAAATCATTAGCCTCAAAGTAAGACTAAGAAACATTTATTCAATTATATACTACCTTACAGGGGTTGATTATATAATCTATCAGCTAATCCAACTAAGTTTAACCCATACTATTTTCTTCTCTCTTTTACAGGAAGGGAGACACGATTCATGCTACACATTTCATGCTACACGATACACGAGCACACTAACTCTCAGACACAATTCATACCGTAGACTCAGTATACAGAATCAAATTGTTTTAAACTAACCAAGGAACAAGGAAAGAAGGTATATTGAAATAAATCCTCCCAAGAACTCACACGTTATCTACCACGAAAACTAGAAAAGTTGTAGACCGTGTACTTAAGGACTGGCAATAAGTCTTATCCTATATAGTTGTGTTGTCACTATATAAGCGGCGTACATAAGACCCTTAAGTAAGAGGACACCAGATGTGAAGAGCATCTCCTGGATACCTGTTCAGTGCACTCAAGGGCGTTCAAGTACTGTGCAGAATATTGGATAATCTCAACTTTCCAAGCACATCCAGTCTGATGGGTCACCGCTTTCCATGCTGATACAATATGACCATGTCAAGGTAAAGGTTTCATAAGTTCATTTTGACCATGACACTCAAGACTGTCCAGTCTGACTTTGTGGTTGTCCATGCCTTCTCGTTGGCTAAGCTGCCTAATAGGCTACGGCCCAACCTCTTGGTATTTTTCTTGCTCCCTGTGCAATGCACTTCAGGAGAGGTCACTACTCAGCCATGAAGCTCGATGGTGGGACAATCTCATATGGGGCTGTCCACAGTATATCCAACCGGTTTTCCAAAACAACGCACATCAGCTTCAAGGTTGAGACTTCTCAGTGTGAATTGGCCATTGCTTGGTTACATGATCTCATATACAAATTTGATATTAGACAAGGAAAGGTAGGATCTCATGATATTCGTCTATTTTTATGTCTCATACAGTGCAGATTCCAAATTTCTGGTGCCAAGCTGGTGCAGTCACTTCTGGAACTTAAGTGTGATGGAAACAATGTTCTATTCTCTGTATGGGCTGGGATGCTCTATGATAAGAGCTCGGCATCACTCGCTGGTACCATCCTTCCTCAAACAGAATTTGTGCTAAAGCTTATCCAGAACCTTCAAGAGTATTCTGATACAGTGGTCGCAGATTTTGAGGAACTGCCAAGGAAATACTGCACGTATCATGAAAGCGTGAGATGGTGTTCTTCACAATATGACCAGTGATGTATTCTACTGGAGTACGGATATGAGTCACAGGTAACATTTTGGACATATTCAAACTACGGAGTGTCTGCCCAAAAACTTCGGGGACCCTTCTACCGGTACGTGTTGCTTCGTCTGGCAACAACAGCATCATTTCATGATCATGCAGGAATCCAGGCTTGCTCCGTTGAAGCTCACGAGCGGCACCCTTGGTGAATTGGGTAAGAATCCTGCAACCAAGGTGTGAAGAGCTGTTCATTTGTCGCTCTGTAGCATTCTTAGCCTGGAAATTTATGAGTGGCTGATTACAAGGTCATAGGCCCCTTGTGTCATCTGCAGGGAACAAGAAATAAATCGTCCTCAATTTAAAAGTGAAATATGATGTTTAAACAACATATATGTCCACAATGCTTGTAAAACATCATTAAATGTAAAAACACACATATAGAGTATTCATAATAAGACATCATGAGCACTACAGGACATCTTATTGAGGCGAATGTATAATAGGTAATATAAAATGATCTAATTCTGCCTTGATTAGATCTCGTCACATTTTACAACATCACATCATGACTGAAAAACAAAGAAACATTTCTTGGCAGGTGTACCCAAGCTAGTAGCTAATGTGGTATTCCTCCAAGAAATATCCTTAGCTTTTAACAGCTTCTTGACAAACTTCATACCGATCTCATGAATTATTGGATGGAGTTGAAAGAAGAAGAAAAACATGAAGCAGAGTTGACTCGTTAATTGAAGAAAAAGGATAACAGAGTGATCAGATAGTTACTGCAAGTTTAAGTTAATACTAGTATATTCTTGCAGTTTGAAGGTCTGACACAAGGATTGTGACATATTGGCAATTGGTATTCTCTGATGGCAAGCTACGGCAAGGATGTGAACAGCAAGTAAGCTTCATTTGTCATCTTTCATGATAATGTGATTTCTTCTAGTCCTCCAACTCAAGTCCACGGTGACGGTGTCTCGAAAGACTTTGTATACCACCATGCCGGGCCGGTTGTCCCAACTGCCATTAGCTGTCGGCGCTGTACGCCAGTCACTCACCGGCGCTATATGCCAGTCACACCGGCACTATATGTCAGTCATCACGCCGCTGACACTGCCATAAGTTTTATCATATATGTCATGTACCATAATGCTATGGATAAAAGTTGTATTCCAGCATTCGCAAAGCCTGGGCTACCTTTTCTTCCTCTTTATTTCATGACCACCGAGGACATCACTTCAAATGTTCCGAGTAAACGCGGATCATCAGCCCTCCGAATGGGGCCTCGAAAAAAGTGTAAGCTGTCTCTGATGTTGCTCACAGGTTTTGTAGACTCATCCTATTGTTGACAGCTCCACATCTGATCCACTTATCTCACACAGATGACACTTCGGTCGAACAGTATTCACGTTATGCAATTACCCTTCCCTGCTCACTAACGGTATCTTGAGACTGGAACAGATGGAAGAGACTCCGCTGGAGGACTTCTCTGCTGAGTAAATCAATTGTAACTATCTGTTCCCTCGCTGACTAACATATTTGGTAGCGAGCGGCAAGAGCATCATGTCTTCGAGCAGCTCTTAGACTCTTATCCCGGCCTCCTGGAGCGATTGAAGAACGGGTCTGAAGAGGAAATACTTCACGTTGGAGAATTAGTACATCGTTCTGTACATGGCCGGTGTTTCCTACTTATGCTTTACAGATTGGCAAGGGAGCTGCGGGCGCAAGAGGCAACGATACGAAGACACTGAAGTCCACAGTACTTGATTGGATTTCCCCAAAAGGAGACACGATCCAGCCTCACTTACACAGAAATTCAAAGATCGACCGTGGATTTAACCATGAGCTTACAGGATCCTTACTCTGTCCTGCTGGAATGGATTGGAACAACCCAGAGTATGTATCGGTTTGCTGGTATCTGCTATCCTGAATAACTCATTTGCATTTCTTTATAACAGGACCAAGGAAAACCTATGGAGCGGCAAGATGTCGGTCTGCGGAGACCAATGGCCCATTTTTTGGTCTCCTCAGGAGTCAATTGCTTGTATGTGTGAGTGACGTGCGTCTTTTCACGAAGTCTCCTCACTATATTGCATTCCACCAGGCTTACAGGCACATTTTCACGTCTCCGAGTTCAGTTGAAAAGGAGCCTAAAGCTACACGATCCAGAAATGCTCACCTCCATGGCATGAACTGTGTCACTATTACTTCTATATCTTACATTGCAACCCAGGTTCGTCAAGTGCCATACCTTTGTACGCAGATAATTTTGACATTGACTGAAGGTTCGATTTGCTATAAGTTCCTCCTCGGTGCTCTCAAGGACCAACACGACCACGGATTCTGAAACATTTTACCATAGCCTCCTTGACCTCCTGGAAGACCCCGCAGAATGCAAGGAAGTTGACAGACTGTTGACGTGGTGGAATTGGTATTGTTATATCTCTTTACTATGTCACTAGATCTCATACTGATTGCAATGTATACAGGCAAGTCTTTCCCACTTTGTCTGCTGCCAAGTGACCGATCAGCGCCAACAGCACCTTGTTGAAGATATGTCAAAAATGCCTTGCAGTGAACAGAACCTCAAATATGGATGCAGTCTCTTCATAGTCTTTATTTAAGCATATCCGCTTGTAGTATATCAATTACAACCTAATGACATCCCATTTTTGACTTGCATTTCAAGCTAGCCCTCCAGACCCTGACTACATTACTTTCGAAGGCAGCTCAAGACGACAGTGCAATAACTCTGCTGTAAAATCATAGCTAGTTACAATATCATAGCACTATGTTCTCCTATGTATTATCAATCCACACCAACAAGCCCTGCAGGACAAGACCTGTGGCTAACATTCTGCTTGTGCTTGGGTGATTGACAATAACAACCTGAGATTGTCCTACCTCGACAGCATGAGTATGGAAGAAACAGTGTTACAAATGACCAGCACCTCGGTACCTTACGCAGCCATCTACAACGCAGTCTGGAGTTTGGGGTGCCTGTCCAGCCACAACATCCAGGGAGAGTTTGTCGAGAATAGATTAACTTGCAAGCCTTGCTTATGATGATAACCCTTCAGTGGCCAGATGACGAAGGGCACCACAATGTCATTATTCCGCACATTTGTGCCAAAGGTAGCCCTGATCAAACCGATCATAATTAGCTAGAACTGGTCAACACAGGCTAGTGCTGCCACGGTCCGGTTCAGTCCGGTTCAACGAGGGTTAAGCAAGAACCGAGAACCAAACCTGGGTCTGGTTCTACCAGAGTCGACGAACCCTGGACCAAACCTTCACGAACCGTTCGGAGCGGTCAGGTCCAGTTTTTTTTTGGGTTCGAACGCGAACCGAACCCTAAAATGTCTAGTAGTGAGTGAATTTTTTTGTCGAGTCCTCGTCAATCACAAGTGATGTGAACAGAGTTGATGAATGTATTATGGCTCCAGTTTGGTGGTTCATATGTAAGCAATGGCGTGATCGGATGGATGCAATGCTAAATAAGTCGTGGAGGGCCACATCCGTGGCAGGGCCCGCTACCTGTTTTGGTTGGTCTAAGTCCGATCGTCTCTCCTCACACAATGGGAACTACACTCCTGACGATGGCAGAGTCGAAGCGAAGAAAAGAGGATACAGCAAGGTGTAAGGACAGTGGCAAAGTTCGATGTCCCTTATCGTCTTTGAGCGTAATTAGCTGAGAAGTAGCATGTGGGTCAGTTGAACAACTGGCAATCAATGCCCCAATGTCTTGAATGTCTAGCATGTGCAGTCTGGACTGGCCGGTAAGAGATTGGTTACAGACATGCAACTCCACTTGAGCCTGGACAAGATCAGTTGAATCACACTTGATACGCAACAAGGGAGGGTAAGTGCTGACCTGGTTCATTAGTCCAGACAACGTGTCCTTGATGGCCTTGAAATTTATAAGATACCACATGTTGTCCCGTGATACACAATCTCTTCTCATCTTCTCCAGGTCAATCAGCAGGCTACAGCAACATTAGATTAAATAATGAAGATAGGTCATGCATGTACTTCGGCTTGTCGGGGGCACAGACATTAAGGTGCGTAAACACATGCACGTACAGTGCCTATCCGTAGACACTGTCAAACCCCCTGTGTAGTTTCACAACGAATATCCCACTGACCGGGAAAATGGGCATGCACCGCATCCCTTTGATGCATGCCTGTCTCGCTGCTGCATCCATGCCCTCAAATTCATCTACCAAATCCTGGACCTGAAATCTCACTGAATTGCGAAGATGCTGTGTAGAAGTCTTGGGAGAGTCCGTTCAATGATTACAAGATAGCGCAATATCGTCAATGGTCATTGGTGTGCGAGGTCGAACGGGATTCTGCTGCTGCCAAACAGAAAACTGTGTGCTTGAAATTGTAGGAAGAGAAGATTTGAAAATATGAGATGCAACTGTACATGCTACAAGAAGGAGTTTGTAGAGTAGACAAAAAGAAAGAACCTGTTGAAAGACACAGTTTGATTATTGATAACTAAAATGAAGGAATAAGTGGAGCAGAGGGACAAACGGGAGTGCAGAACATCGAGTTGGAATTGGAGAACTTCGAATATGGGTCTGTAATGCATTGAGCATTGATAAACTAGGTATTGAGGGAGTACGTGAACGTCCTGTTGGACGATGCAAGTGAGTAGAGTGCTAGTGCAGATGGTGTTGAACATACATAACAATCACATTGGTGCTTGATATACCACAATCCAGCGCTTACATCACCAAAGTGAGATTTGAGAGATGATATATGATTGACCAATGGGATCAAGATCGAAGTTGTTGGTAGGAGTTGAAAAGGACTGAAGAAGTTCACAACGTTAACGAAGTTGAAGTGCTCGAGGGAAATGCTTTTGATTTTGACAAGTTGGATTGGGTTGAACAAGGAATAATACCATAGGATATTCTAGATGAGGTTGTGGTGCTTAATTACAATGGTGAGGGTGGCGGATGGGACGAGGCAACATTGATGTCATCGTTAGGAATGTCGTATACATAGCGCCTAGAGTTTTGCCAACGTCATATCGGTTCGGGGTTCAGAACAGTTTGGGACCCATCCAAACCAAAGTCGAACCGTTCTCCCAATGCCAGAACCAAGAACCGTACTATGGTCCGGTTCTGGCTGACACCTGGACCGTGGACCGAACCACAGGGGAACCGGACCAAAAGTCCGGTTCGAACCATGGTTCAGGACCGGACCACGGCAGCACTAACACAGGCTCGCGTTACAATCACATACCTAATGTCCGCATCAATGGAGTTTTTGTTGAAAGTGCAAGGGAAAGCTAGGCTTGCATAACATGAGCACGCTGACACAGATGGGTATTGAGTTGTGATGTCCTGGTACCCTTGGGCTGTAGGCAGTTGTTGTCCAGAACAGTCTGGCCATATAAACATTTATCCAACACTAGCATTGGTTTAAATATGGCAGAAGAAACAAAATCAGCCAAAGGTTCCATGCCAAGACCAATATAGGGCAGAATTATTGTGTATTGTCACTGGTGCTCAACAAGGTGACCATGGGCGTTTTGGGCAGCTTAATCTTCCTGGTTGGTATTGCAATTTTTAGCACTTCAGCGATGAAATTACAACTAAACTATCACATTTGTATGCTTGGTGGTGTCCATCCATCTTAGTCCGGGTATTTAAAGCTTTCTCATGTGGAGTACAATTATGATAGACTTTATACAAATTTTATATCGGATAAAGCTTTCTAATACTTTGTCATTTTCAGGTCATTTGCATGATGGTATTGTGGCTGATAATTGAGATAGGTTAGATTTGCACTGTGCTCATCATCAGTATTCTCTCACACAGACACAGCAACCGATTCAGAGACCTTTTATCACTCCCTCCTTGACCTTTTAGAAGATCCAGATGAGCAGGGAGAAGTAACAGATCTGCTGGTCTGGTGGAATCAGTAAGTGACATGTTTTGGTGTTGATCATTCGAGCTCTTACTTTGATTTAGTCAGATCTTTCCTACTTCTTCAGCTGCTAAAAGGACCTTGAAAATTAACAGCATGCTGTCTAAGATCCACCAAAAGTGTGCCGCTCTCAAGGGCACAACTACTAGTAACTCATAATATTTTTTTAATATATATTATACACATTAGAGCTCTGTAATGTTTATGTATTTCCTATGAACTGAGAACATTTAACACAAACTCTTTGGTACACAACAACACAAAGCTACAAGTTTTCTCATCAGCATTCCTTGTAGGTATCTGTAAGTTGATACAAGTGAGAGAGAGTTTGACAGTGCCACAATATCAAACTAACCTTGCAGCTCGATACCAGACCTGGCCTCGCTGTCGTGATGTGGTAGTGCTCAGCCAGCCATGAACTCCAATGCAGAGACAATACAGACCTGCCTCCACAGAAGAGCACTCTGAGGGGTTGCAAGTGGATAAAATTGAGAGAGTGTTTGACAGCACCACAATATCAGACTGACCTTGCAGCTCAATACCAGACCTGGCCTCACTGTTGTGATGTAGTAGTGCTCAGCCACCTATAAACTCTATTGCAGGGATGATACAGACCTGCCTCCACAGAAGAGCGCTCTGAGCAGCTGTAAGTCAATAACAGTGAGAGAGTGTTCAGCAGTGCCACAACATCAGACTGACCTTGCAGCTCAATACCAGACCTGGCCTCAGTGGTAGCGCTCAGCCAGCCATGAACTCTATTGCGGAGATTATACAGACCTGCCTCCACAGAAGAGCGCTCTGAGCAGCTGTAAGTTGATAACAGTGAGAGAGTTTTTGGCAGCGCCACAACATCAGACTGATGTTACAGCACATGGTCAGCACCTGATCATGATGGTCAAAATGGCAAATCAAGATTTCACCACCAAGTGTTACCTTTAGCTGTCAGGTCATATCAATAACGGAGCTATTTTTCAAACTTAGCATGTTAAGCACATGTTGCCATAGGTGATCACTGCGTGCCAACAGGTGGTGTGATTGGGAGTTTGGGAACTCCTGCCATTTGTCTAACCAATGATTAAGAATTTATTTACTCAACAGGCTGATAGATATTACAGCCATTGCCTTGAACATAAGAGAGGTAGGGGCGGTACTTTTCATCCAAGTAACTCTGGGTATATAAAGCTTTGTCTCCAGATCTATCATAATGATACAGATTTTATTTATTTTAGACTAGATAATGTATTGTATGACATTATCTTTCTGTGGTCAATTGCGTGACGCTGGTTATGGCTGAGTTTAAATTCGGGTCGTCGGCAATCACAGCCATTCCACAGTCTACATAATGAAATCGTGACGGCGCCTACGCGCCCAGTCCCCGACTCCATTTTCGCACGAAACTCGCATCATTAACTTCACTCACACTGCCCAGTATTGGGCTTAAGATAGAGTACATCATGATCAAGCTGTATATCAAGGACAAAAGACAGATATTACGAGATACTAGGATTCTACCCAACCAGAAAGCTCACAGACAGTCGAATGCCCGAAGGATACGGCCTCTTTAACCAGAGGTCACACGAAGAGAGGTCACAAGAACAGGCCAACGTTAGATGTGGTCAAAACAAATTTGTTGTCGGTGAATTTATCTCGTCCAGAGAAATGCAACTGTCCTATGTCGCTTAGTAATGGGAAAGACTACGAGAAATCCCGAAGAAAGCGGATAGAGTCGGCAGAGGTTTTTGGAGATGGGAATACGTTTGAATTCGACAAGAGCCCTCCTCCACTAACGTGGGAGTCGGGGATCAATGTTGACTCTGGCGAGACGAAGCGACAGGACCTACTGGAGGCTTGGAAGATATATCGTAAGTGACACGATCAATCCCATTCACTTCGTTCGTGATACGGGACGATATCCAACGTAAAGCTTTGGGAGGAAACGCATACCTGAAAAATCAAGTTAGCATTGAACAGGATCAAAAAGCTCACCGATCAGCAGTCATGAAGTCTTCCGACGTCACCGCTCTCAGAGCAATTACCTGTAAAATACGTTGACGCAGCGAACAAGAGAGAATGTTGTCCTGCAAACCTGCTTATATGTGCGCTTGTCACCCATCACGCCGATAGCTTTCACAGGAAGCAAGATGGCCGTGGCCTGGCTGATTTGATTGTAGAGATTCGCCTTGTGAATCCCCTCGATATAGATACGATCCGCTTGTTGCAGGATCTTCACTTGTTCGCGTGTGACAGGACCCAAAATCCGAATAGCCAGACCGGGACCTGGGAAAGGATGACGTTGAACCAAAGGCGCTGGTATTGACAGGAGTCTTCCAAGCGAACGGACTTCATCTACATGAAACGGTCAGTGCAATAGGCAATACAGGATTCCCTTGACCAGACCTTTGAAGAGCTCGCGTAGGGGTTCGATTAACGTCCTTGAGAAGCCCACCAACATTGTGATGCGTCGTGGTGGTCGCGCTAGGGCCCTTAAAACTGATGCTCCCGATAACATCTGGATATAGGGCTCCTTGCAATAGCCATTCGATCTTCCCCTTTGCCTGCGCTCCGTTTTCTTCCTTCTCGGCAGCTTCCTCGATCTTCGCTGCTTCCGTCTCGAAAACACCCCATAATCTTGCGTTTCTGTTCCGGATTCTCGACATCATCAAGTCGCATCTGCTACAGTCAGATTGACGCCCAGATCTTTATTCAACTTGTTGCGCTTCGTTGAGACAAAGCATGCCGTTGTCCACCATAATCTGACGCGCGAGTAAGAGTAAGACATAAGTTATGAAAAGAATGTGGTGTGCACCTGTCGCCGATTGTCTCGCGCATTAACTTGGCTGTGACTGTGCTGTCAATGCCTCCGCTGACTACACCGATCACGCGGCCTCTCGGACCACATATCTCACGGATGCGGACGATTTCCTGGCCAATAAATTCCTCCTGCAATGCAGTGAGCATGACAAATAAACGCAACACAGTAATTACTTCACCATTGTCCAATTTGGTCGGCATTGGCATATATTCAGCACAGATCGACCAATGAGCTGCTTTCCTGGCAGGGAATGTGTCACCTCTGGATGGAACTGAATGCCATGAAGCGACTTCGAGTTATGTGCGATGGCAGCATAAGGAGCGGTGTTCGTCCGTCCGATGACATGGAAGTCGGGAGGCATAACGGACAGTTGATCGCCGTGTGACATCCAGACCTTATCAAAAGTCAACTTGGCTTTCGATAGACGAAACGAAGACACGCACCTGCATCTGATCGCCGAGTCCTTCAAACAGGGCGTCAACAGAGCTTACCGATTCACTAGACCTGCTGATCTGAACTTCTGCAAGTCCGTATTCGCGATGATCGCATTTTGCTACCCGTCCCTTGTGATTCCAGCAGATCTCCTGTATCTCGCGTGAGTTAGCGTCCAAGAAGATGCTCGAGAAAACTAGACCTGGAAGGCATAGCGCATGCCAAGGATAGGGACACCCAGAGTATAGATACTAGGGTACACGTGTGGTGCATCGTCGTCGTGTGCAGAGTATGGATATCCGGAGAGGATGATCCCTAGAATTTTGCGTTAGAACGTGGGGTGATGGGAGACTTCCAGACTCCGGAGGCCCTATATAGTATATGATTGTCAATGCATATACGGCCGTGGCCTCACTGGCCTAGTACCCTGACGGGCTGCAAAAGCTTTGCGTAAGTTTGATCAAAAACAATCTATGAGTGGCATACCAGAGCTTAACTTACATAATCACTAACTGAGCTTCCGAGACCTGATATCATGAACATATGGGGTAACGCGTATGAGCATGTCTGAAATTTGTTTTGTAAAAGTACACTTTGAAAATAGCGCCTGCACAGGTTATCCACCGAAAGATCAATGTAGGTACCTCATTTAATTCCGCTGGTGATGGCGAGAAATGCAAAGTTTCCCACGGGGGCTTACAGCTCTTTGCATAAAGGATGGCAGTGGCGTGAAATTTTCATTCAATTAGGAAATGTTGGACTGGGTGAAATTTTGCTCGTCGTACACTCACATTCCCTGTAATTCATTATCACTATGCCATTTATAACTATTCCTGCCTCTAAAAAACACAAGAGCCTGCTAGAGCATGACAGTGACCTTGATTCCAATAGCTCCGATGAGCACGATACTCGAATCGATGCCATTTTCTCTACTCACAACCTCCCACGTATTAGATACAACGCACCTGATAAGATCCTCTGGCGTCAAACTTCGCGGACACGTTATTGGGAGAAGGAAGTTTGGATATTGCCCATTCATCGGCCAGCTCCTGTTGGTCATTGGGTACTCTGTGTTATCCACCGATCCTCCAGGGAATTCTATCTTTTTGACAGTTTTGCTGAAGAGCGCGCTTGGCAACATGACATCAAGGTGAGGGCTCAGCTGTTATGGTATATGCAGGAATGCTGACGTTATCCACATAGGCTATTATGACACTAGCGTCTCGTCTACTATCTATTGCTCGTCAATACCACCCTGCGGTATCACTTGATCTTGGAGGATGGGTAGCTCGTCCACTTATCGTAAATTTATTTGTCATGAAGTCTAAGCTTGAAGTTTCAACTTATATCAGCAAAAGATCTCGACGGTCTTCCTCGACAGAAATCGTGCCACTCTCCGTCAAGTCCACCTTGAGAGTCTTCAATCATAAAACATGGCCGAAATACACGATCAGTCCGTACCATACCATCCTCTTCGGTTCACAGGTTCGGGATCTGCGTTCTAACTCAAATCGTCTCGTGTATTGACTATTAGCGTCGGCTTACTAGTAGTACAGTCACATCATAACAAGGAGATGTCGCGAATTGAACGTATACGCAGAGCTTATTCATTGTACGTCAAAGCTGGCAGATCTCAAATTCAAGCCCAAAGGTTCGCTCATGTGATGCAGCGTTTCTGAAATGAACTTCGCGCCGTACTTCAAGCCTTCAACTTGCGGGGTCCTGGCTCGATTAGTAAATAATCATCCAGTCATTCGTCCCCCACGTTGAGAACTTGGCATCATATCTCAGGGTCTTGGTTCGATTGGTTAAACCATTCGCGAACTAGTGCGTCCCTGATCTGTCTGGCTATAATACCGTGACGTGGTCTGCAACATTCCAATGTGGTCTACAACTTTTCAGGATGATGTCGCCACTGGCCAGTCCCGCCCCACTCCCTGGATGGCGATGAACTCAAAAGACTTTCTCTTACCCGCAAACTCGTTTTGTTCATAGATACCTTGAATATCTCGGCTCTCTTATCTGCGATCCCAGCACTTGAGGCGTCCATGGGTATAACTGAAATTCAATCCACCTGGGTGTTTAGTGGGTTCCGATTAACTTTTTCATCATTCCTGCTTATCGTGCGTGCCCATCCGTAAATCCTGACTCGTATTTTAACGCATTAATGTTTTAGAGTGGCCGTCTGAGTGACGTATACAACCCAAGTTAGTGCTACGCTACTTATACTTGATGTACATGCTGAATGGCTCATAGAAACTGTAATCATCGGAGGAGCGTCCACTCTTGGTATTCTCTCCCTATGCGCAGATTTTGTTTGCTCCACAGTTCCTATCCTTGTTCTCAGAGCAATTACCGGAATAGGTGATCATTCTCGCTGGCGTGTTAGTTCCAACTGACCAAGGTCGCTTCTTAGCTTCGGCGATGACGATTCCCCCTGCCCTAAAACTCCTGGTCAAGGTATTTCCAGATCCGCTCGAACAAGCTCGGGCAGTGGGGTTCTTCGCAGGCTGTGGTGCGGTGGCCAACAGTGAGCATCCCGCATATCGTAAGACGACCCTCATGGTTCTTTTAAATAGTGGGTGGTCTTGCGGTCGGCGCAATGTTTGTTCAATGGGCGTCTTACCATTGGGTTTTCTGGTTTGTGGCATGCGTAGCTTTCCTGGTGGCTCTGATTTGTATTTTCATAGTACGACAACCCCATGCCTTCTACATCACACAGCGCGGCGGACTATGGCGAACAGCTTGGCGATAGGAATGTAACCACCGCAACTGAAGTGAACTAAAGCGTATATTTCTTTAGACGACTTGCCCAGACGTATTTTCGATCAATCGCCCATGGCGGACCTATTATCTACCCCACGCTGGATTGTGACCCTAAATAATATTCCTGTCCCTTTGAAGCGCATATCCGCAGGCATTTACGCATCTATCAATATCGACTCGAGGAGACGCTGGAAATCGACCATCAAAATTCTATCATCCGATAAATCCGTAGCGTGGGGTGATAACAGTGACCATGTAATGTCTATGTAAACTTCTGCACGCGATTCGTGAACTGAATTTGGTTTCTAGATCATCACATGCCTCACCTGAATTTTCCATGATCAGGGCGTCCTATGAGGTTGACTCCTGGGACGAGCTACTCGACCACGAAGATGAACCTTTCGGTGAGCGATGTTCTCTTCATTCATGCACCTCTGACATCTCGTAGATCTATCCTTGCCACCCGTGCGCGGTGTCCACCACTATGCTTGCGACGACCAGGGCAGCCAACTGTCTGACGTGAGTGACGCTGGTCTCTGCTGTAGCCTTTGCTGACGGAATGCCAACGGTAGTCCCTTGTAGACTGCGAGATTTTTCGAGACGCAGATACGGGCCACACACGACTTGCCCAATACGCGACACGCAAGAGGGTCTCTCACCTGAACCATGCGGTGCAGCATTTTCAATTGGTTCGAGACCAGCGTCCCGTCGACCATCCTGACCACGCGGCCGCTCTCACCAACCTCACGCATGTCCACCTTCAAGGCTATATCCAAAACCATCTTCAAGACATTGATACCACCGCGACCCTCTTCTGCGAGGCCCTTGCATTGCGTCCACAAGGTCACCCCGATCGCACATCATCCATCTATCATCTCATTATAGCATTGAACTGGCGCTACCGCCAGGAGTTTACTACCATCTACATTCACGAATCCGCGCAGCTGGGCTGCAAGCTACTGAGGACGCCTACCTTCATAGCGTCGGGGTAGACAGTGCGGTCGATTAGGTTGTCTACAGTCTTCCGATCAATGCATCTGATGAAGGCATCCACCTTCAACGAAACGCGCCCGAGCTCTGTCCTGTGGGCCAACTACTCCGTCCAAAAGCACTTGGCAAGCTGGCATACGCTCTCAGATCACGCTCTACCCAACGCGGCAACATTGATGATATAGACGAGAGCATTCAAATTCACCTTCGTCGTGAAGCCATTTTTCTGCGCTCCAAGGGGCATTCTGTCCATGATGACTACTTGAACCATTTGGCCCTCTCACTCACGTCCCGCCTCAATCACCAAGGCAAACCTAATGACCTCAATGAGGTCATCTCTTGGCATATGGCAAATAGCATGTCAGGGAGGATCTTAACGAGGTCGAGTCCTTGGTCGGTATCGCGTATCCCTTCTGGTAAGGCCGTACGACCATTTGGAGCGCCATTTAATTCTTTCTAATTTGAGCTCGGCGCTCTGCTCTCGTTTCACGCAAACTCAGGAGAATGAAGATGCCGAGGAAGCCATTACTCTCTGCTAAGAACCATTAGTAGCTACGCCTTTACTGCACCCTGGCAGGTATTTCAGCACGACCCTGCTAATTTGTCGCTCACTATGGAGAACTTCAGGCTGGCATCAGGACACCCCACCCAAGACTTGCCGCAGCACATCTTTGTTGCGGTATTAAATCCTGCTGGGAAGGGCAACTCGATGTCCCTGCCTGGGCCTTCACTAGGAGCGCTGCCGGACCTAGTAGTAGTAGATTGTGGGCATGGCCCGGGTGTTTGACCAGGGGCTGGAGCGCGAGTGCCGCCATTTTCCACAGTCCAGTGAGGGTAGTCCATAACTCTCCTCGGTTTCGGTCATGACTTGGAGCAACAGAGTCTCTCGTCCGCTGTATCGTGTGTCTCGGCGCTTTCTGGGCCTCCTCTGAGTCGTTTCGCGGCAGTTCTTCGTCTCTCGTTTCTCTACTTTTCTGGTGAGATTGCTGGCCCGGTGATTGCAAGCCTCGAAGGATTGGGAGCGGCTCACTCGACTGAACATTCTGGTCGCCGCACTATGTTGACTGCTGCAGCGCATGGATCAGACAATGCATCGAGTATGATAACTCCCAAGCTCTCAGTGAGTTCTGGACTGCGCATGTTTGCCGAGGACTAACAATGCTTGTAAGGTTCGGGACGAAGCAGATCTCATAGATGCAAACAAGGATCCTGTCCTCGCTATCGCGGCTGCAGGTACGTAATCTATACGTTCACGTTGCAGGCCCATATTGGCGTGACGCTACGATCCACCGTGTCCATGTCAAGGACATCATGGAACGCCTTTCGACAAGGGATCTATCCTATTCGGAACAATCCGAGGGCGGGCCCTTACTGGAGTGGTCTAATTTGGTATTGCGCGATTTAATGACCGCCTGCGCGCCGTCTACGATAATTTGGTCAACTTAGGATTGTTAGATACTCCTGCTGATATCTGATATGTCACGCGTCACAGGTTTTTTCATTGTTTGTGGTCCACTGGGGGGTCCCAGCCCGACCCTACCCTGATTTCGAAGTATGAAGATACCGGCCCGACATGAATTGTACAGCATGAAACAAACTCAGCAAGTATATTTACTCGAGCGGCTATGCGCCTGCATCATAGACTATCCTGCGCGAAGGCGATGCCGTCTTGTTTTGACTCGGTGGGTTTTGCACGCACGCACTTCATTCGCTGACGATGACTCCAGTGCATACGCATATAGCGAGACGAGTCAGTGACTGAAGGGTCGTTATATCGAAGTTTCATTTTTGAGATCCACCTTCTGTCGTCCAACGACGAGGAGAGCGAGAGTGGCTTGACTTGCACGTCGCGATGCCTACTGACTTGGACTTGTAATGCATGAAGAGACCGGAGTGTTAATCAGCCCCAGTAGGGTCTGATGAGTATCATATGAGCAGCTCTAATGAAGGTGACAATAGATTTGTACCTTACTCCGACATAGTTTGCGGGATCCGATCTTTACTATAACGTCAGTCGAATGGTAACGTGGTTTCTGAAACATACTAGATGTCTACCAAGTAGAAAGCCGATCTATTTCGGCATACAAACGGGTCACCCATCACTCGACGGCGGACAGAAGGCAGAAGGGGGTTCGGGTCGCCCGTCATCCCAATACAACCAGCGTTCGCGATGTCGAGATCTTTTGCTGATCTAAGCTTGATGGGCATTGTTTTCAGTGGTATCTAGTCCCGCTCCCGTTGCATAAGCCATACCACAGAGATCTAGTGTTTCACCTGAAGGAGTGTGAGTACATGTAAAGTCAGAAGCACGTTTGGACTCCGAATCCTTACTTGTACGCTGAACGAGATCGGCTACTTCCCGAATTGCTTGGTCCCAAAAAAATTACATAAGCCTAATCCAAGGCGTCATTGTGGGCAGATGCATTCGTCGTTGAGTCCGTTGGCTGAGTAGACGTGGGCAATCTGCCTCGAATGTTGATGTCTACAAATCATCCATGGATATGAGGTGCGAGAAGAGACAAAAACGAACCTGCTCATTATATTGTCTTTGTAAATCTCGTTTCTCCCGCACAAGCTCCCTGACTTGCGCCCGCAACTTTTCAGAAACTTAGATACGAACTGCCATCTCAGCCTCTTCCATCCGCGCCTGATCACCGTACAGATCATTCAAGTGAGATTCTGCCGCATTCAGGGCAGACATGACATGGTCATTCTCAGGTGTCAGACCGGCAATTGTTTGCTGCTTATTTTGGACTTGGACGAGCAACTGATGTGGCGGTCAGTGAAGCACACGCTCTCTCGGGATTAAGAGCGCACCTGTTCCTTCTTTTAGATCCCGTGCTTCAGGACAACATTCAGCGACTCACGAGACTCTGGACCCATTGCTAGTGCTGCTTTCACAGAAGAGCGGCGTGATACCGTTGGGCCCTGTGAATTTGGGGCGCGGACAGAAACCAGAGCTGGACAGGGTGTAGAAAGGCTCTTCGCGGGGGGAGGCGACATGGAAGAAACGAGAACGGACTTCCTCGGGGCAGAAGTCTGCATGGTAAGTACTAGACGGTGAGTAGGCGCTTCTTGCCGGAGCGACGTGAAAAATTTGCAGAAAAGAAAAGACCGGGTTAAGGGCAATATCATTCCAAGGGAAGTTCAATAGTTGGACGAAAGATGCTAAAGCCCGTAGCGCAGCCACCGCTGGCGCCTTCACCGTAGCTCATAGGGTTTGGAGTTTGTAAGGGTGGGTGTCAAATAGAGGAGGGAGGCGGGGCTGAAGATGGATTGAAGAGAAGTCGGAGGCAGATGCAGCGTCGTTGTTAGTAGCAGAGGCTGGGTCAGCTCTCCGGCACCAGCGACCCTCTCTGAATTCGGCGCTAGGACAGAGGTCTGGTTGTGTTGGGGTAGAGCATTCAGGTTCAAGTGATAAGAAAGAGAAAAGAAAAAGTCCAGGAAGTTTAATATCCAACCGGAGTTCGGGGCCATCATGTGCAGGCGAGAGCCTCCGCGAGACAAGGTGCATGACTCCAAAGGAGGTCAGGGAATGGAGGCAAGACGTGCGCGGCATTGAATTTCACTTGAAGTCTTTTTTTTCACGGTTCGCGCAGTCCAGTTACTGAGGGAACATGGGCTCATCCAAAGGACCCACCGGACTACGCAAGACCACGCCGTTTCGAGTGCGCTCAGCACGATGATGGATCGTACGAGATTAGAGATGTTGTGCTTGCTTACAGGGTCGAGGTACCTGCCTCGTTGATGGAGAACCCTAAATTCGAGTTAGCTCAATGATACGAAAAGAAGCTGGCGTTGACTCACGAGTCGCTATGCGATGAGCTGGCTGCTAGCGCAGTAGAGGTTGACGTTCTTCGGCTCCTTGATCATGGAGAACTGACGCCAGAAGAACCCCAGCTTGAGGAAACAGCGATAAACATATACGCGCCTGCGCCGGATGCCAGGTTCCCGTATAATGAATCTCACCTGTTGGTAGTTGAGCTTAACGGTCAGCAGATCCCAGCTGGCGCTTACCCTGCCATAGGTACGAGCGAAAGACAGATCCAACGAAGGGCGCAGAAAACATGTGTCATGGGCAACGTTAATCACGTTGGATCGCCTTGGACTACGTCAGCATCATCCAAATAACACAATCGAGCATCACAGATTCGCAGGCAAGCCCTTCAGCAAGATCGACTGCCAACAGTGGATGTCATCTTCCATTATGCAATGCAGCTTTCCGCCGCAATAGACAAACTTCTTTGAGGCCAAACTTCTATTGCGGGTACTCCAAGGATACTCCGGTCGGAAATTGCGTAATTTGGAATAGGTTCGATCATATGGGTTCATTAGCGGTTTGCTGATGATCGACACAACTCCTAAGCCTACTCTATCAAAATCCAAGACCGAGGCTAGTCCTCCTGCAAATGACAACAAATTGCGATCTGACAGGCATGTTCACGATCCCTATTTATCATTGAATGAATCTGCAAGTGCATAACCATTCGCCGCATCATCAAGAAAAAACATGATGATGCCCTCTCGGACTAGGAAGGCAACGAAGTCTATGTGCGTCGCGATCAGATTCGTTAAGTGCGACATATGTGAACACACGTGCCTTTGAACCTTGCACGATTGGGCATACTGAGGAGAATGTCAGACAGGTCTACAATAGGGTATTCTGTGGTGGTGGTCGCAACGCAAGTACAATTCCGATAGGTGGAAAAGCGGAGTGACGATGTGTAGCTTCGTTCTGTATTCGCTATCATCAGAAAAATCTGAGGGTCGTGATCGGCCAACTCACGTAGAATGAGATACAGGCCTGGAAGATCACAGTTTGTGTGGGTCATGTAGGATACGCTGCTGATGGAGGCAAAGGTTATGAGTTGGACTGAGTCCAGAGGTTGGGTCACTCAACTATGCCGAGTCCTGGATGATGTGAACCGAGTGTGAAATTTTGAAGCACGATCGAAAGTATATCATATAATGTATTTGGCCGGTTTGTACAGTCTCAATGGAACTTGCGCGACGGCAAATATTCCGATGCGGTTCGTGTTTTGACGTTCTCGGCGGGCCAAATTAGGGCGATTTCATCGCATCGATCGTGTAAGGAGGTGTATCGGACAGTTTGACACTTCTCATCGAACATGGGCCGGTCGTACGTCATACAGTCATCTTCTGTATTAGAGATATATGTTCCCTCAATGCCGCCCTGTAGAGGTTCAGGACAGGTCGAGGCCAAGCGCAGGGCAATTTGAGACCCAAAATGGGCTTCAGGAAGCCTAACCAACGTTCTTCTTGCTACCTCCTGCAGGATGCGCTTGGCACGTGGGGTGTAAGGTTCTATATTATATGGCCGTTCGCAACTGAGGTTGAGATGTTAAAACTTACGTGATTTGGAAGCCCGCCGTGCTGGCGGCGGGAAACACTAAACGAGTCGGTCAAGGATTAACAGAACGAAACCGTGAATTTCTGAATGTAGTACAAATGGGCAGATGATAGTAGCCTGTGGGCAAGAGACCCTGACTCTGATCTCAAGACTCAGTAAGACGAAACGTAGTGGTATATATGGGGAATATTCACGTGACTGTTGATGTAGTAAGCATCCTCGGAGTCCGAACCAAGCGTCTTGTTGAATTCTTCTAGCGCGTCTGAGTTTTGCACTTCGCTGGCGGCCAGCCAGACGTCTGCTTCTGGTCGGCACCCGCGCCATCGAACGAGATACTGCCATCCGCGTCCACGTTGTCGGCGGTCTAGAATATGCTCTATCTCCCATTCTTTGGCACCTGTATTTGTGATGACTGGTCCCGGTCTTTCAGTTCTCGGGACGGATAGAGAGAGGTGTCGTTGGGTACATGTCGTTTCAACTCGGAAGCATGAAAGGTGGGGTGTATGTTAGTATGTGTTAGTAGGTCAACTTCGTCTATCACGGTTGCAAATCTGACCGTACTACCATATGGGCCACGATATTGTTAGGCTCTACCTTGATCGAGCGGCCGGGTTAGTCGGAACTCCTTAGCAAACTCTACATAATTACGTTCAGGCTTCTCACATGACTCCGCATGGACATCGGCGAGCGACTTGCGAATCAGGGGATCTAATCAAGCAGATCTCAACTAAGTTCGACGACGGGCTCGAGCGACATTGACGCCGATATAGTAAATGATACATACATGCGAAGTTTGTGTTTACTGCCTTGCCATTGCAAATGTACATAAGAGGTGTTCACAACGACCAAAGGCAAATTGTCGAGGGATTCAACTCAACAAACCCACAAATCCAACGAAGCAACAACATCTGAAGAAAGTTCGGTACGTGGTTTTCGGGGATCGTTTTGTCCACTCCACTCCAAATACTAAATACTGACATCATCACATCCTTCGTCTAGCACCGACCCGGAGGCAAAGCTGATCGGTCTTTAAGGACAAGTTAAGGATCTCGGTGAGTCCACGAACATGTGTAATGAGTATCCTGGAATACGACTAAGATTGCAACAAGCGCTCGAAGGATTCCCGTAGCCATAACCCTGCTCCCTCGAATATCGAGGTAGATTCTCAAATTTGCCCTTCAGTTTCTGTGCTCTCACTAAATTTTGGTGGTCATGCAGGTTCAGGCGGCTCCGTCTGGCGTGGAAGTGGAGGTTAATACCCAATTGGCACTTCAGGATGCTCAAGGGGCTGAAAGCACATGCATTCACTTTCGGGACCTGAGATAATCGTGGATTCTGTTCTTCAAGGCACACAAGAGGATCTCGATGTTGTTGACAATTTCGATGACACATATCTCCGATATTCGACTTTGTTATCGGAGAGATTGCGGATGTATGCAGGCCTCCTCTCGATCAGAACCGAACTAATCTAGTTCCACAGGTTCATCCATATGCAAAGATAGCACTGGGTGCGTTATCTCGTGCAGCCAAAGTATGTTTTCATTTTCTCCTTCCCTATCTCCCACTGTTACTCAGCAATCTTTTGTACAGATTATTCTAGCTCAAAGGGATCGCGACAACGCGGTACACGAACTTCTCAAGAAGTTGGGTGAAGTTTATAGCTTCACACAAGACGAGATGCTTGGCAAAATCTCGTCGATGCACCCTGTCCTTGGAAAGATTTCTCAGCAGACCCGTGAATGTGCAGATTTATCAAAAAATATTCGGATACCAAGAACTTTTGTGAGTCGTAACAAGCTGTTGCACTCTGTACCGTCTTGAGCTTCTGCCATCGTCACAGGGAAGAGACTTGGAAAAAACGTCTTCTCGGAAACGGAAGATACGATCAAAAAGTACATTAATGACTTGTTCGATAGGCTCATGCAAAACTTCCGGGACCACGTTACTCGCGACATAGCCATACATGTCCTCCATACGGGTAAGGGTTCGGACATCGTCATGACTTGACATGTATTCATACCTTTTCAGAAGAAACACTGGAGCTCAGCGGCATGACTTATGCAGAGGACACGGGACTAGATACCAGGAAACAATGCCTTGAAGGGACGCGCACGGAAATCCTTTCCCAGATCACCGAATGGGTCAACAGCACTGGGGACAACGTTCCAAACGTGCCGTGGCTATCTGACCCCGCAGGCAAGGGCAAATCGGCCATTGTCCACACCATCGCCAAGTCATTCGAAAACATGGGAGAGCTTGGTTCGTGTTACTCTTTTGACCGTCAGCGAGAAGCAGATCGTCGCCATGAAAAGGTATTTTCCCCGATCGTGCGCGACCTGGCTGACCGTGACCCGGAGATGAGGCGGGCATTAGCAGATGCAGTTCAGGCCGCGAGTTCACTCAAGAAGACGCCAGGATATCATCCAGCAGTGGCAGAATCTTCTTATCGAACCACTGGAAAAGTCATCTGGGTCAACTGGGGAACCCATCGTGATCGTGATCGATGCACTGGACGAGAGCGGGTGGCGAGACTCTCCTGCCTCAGGCGATGAGTGGACGCTCATGTATACGGTCACGCCTAACCCTACCATCTACAACGGACTCTTGTTGTCGTCATAACCCTTTTGCATTCCGTTATCTGGGTCACCTACGACTGTTTGCAGATATCTATCATGGTCATTGTACAGTACCACGCTCCCTACAGTATTCTCGCTACTCATCCTGACATCCTTTTTGGCTTCGCCTGTTTCCTATTTCCATTACTCATGACTTTTCTAATCTGCGCAAGAGTACTATAAAGCAGTCTAGATGCTCCCGTAGCACTATCCTAATCTTCATCCCAGTTACTTGCTTGTTGAGGGACTTTGGGTCCTCCCGCGGGTTTGCTCATGATGACGCTGTTGGCGCTGAATATGTATACGGCGGCTTCTGTTGCGAGCTTGATGGCCCACTGTTTTGCGGCTAGTGGGACGAGAATTTTGAAGTCGGTAGCTAGCAGAGTGCCATCTTGTTCAGCCTAGAATGCGCTCAATCAATCAGAGGGTGATGATGTAGAACCGGTGAACTTTACCTCGATATCGACACCCTATACATACATACCTTATTTCTCTTCAGCCCTCATCTCGTCTGTCATCTACACTCTACACTACCGCACTGGTGAGTCTCCTTCTCCCTCCGAGACCAAATCGCTCACTCGGAACCACTCCTGCCAGCCCATCCATCACCCACATTCGCTTATCCTCCGTCACATCTTCTCAGCTCCTCCATTCCAGGGATAGTACTAGTGCAACAACTTCGGTGTCCGCGAGTCGCGCAAGATCAAGCCGTACGGTACAGATGCTCTCAGGTATGTAACACAATTCTCTCTGTGTGCAGAAAGGGTACTAACGAACACTTACAAAGGACGTTTTCGCATACGCGTCATGCTTGCTGATGAAATAGTGCTTGCCAGGGTGTTCAAGTGTATAATGGTTTGCACCCCACGACTTCACACACACTTTGTACTTATGTCTAAATAACGTCTTTATCACTCACACTGCAGGTCACAAACATGTCTTTGATACCTCATTGACCGAACAATAGATTGCAAGCCTTAGAAATTAGCCTCGTGTCTGTAACACACAGCTAGATATTCAATTTACGGTCCGTACTATATCCCCGACATTTGACTGGTTTGTTTCATAACATCCGCTTTTCAACTTCAGAATTGACCAGCGAGTTTTTTAGCCCTTGAACAAAGCTGAAAAGCTTCGCTTTTGCTGAAGTTGAAGCTTTCCTATCAACAGGCTAACTGTACGCGCCCCGACCTTGGTTGTGGACTATGTTGGGCTGTAGTGCTCACAAAAGTCCTGATAGGTTGTTCATAGGCGCATCTTGTCTCAAGGTCTGTTCTGTTTCGTCATATCACTGATCCCATAACGAAAACTCTAAGCTCACGCATGCACCGTTAGATTGCCACCTCACGAAATCCAATAACAAGTCTTCATCTCAGCCATCCACGATCCGACTGTTCATGGAGCCCCAAATCCTGGATCTATCGTTCTCTAGGTACTTGCCCGCCAAACGATTCCATCCGCAACCCTATTAACATCACCTACAGTCGAATAAGTCTTAAATGATGAATAACCCTCCCCTCCCTCATTCCAGGATCCGAGCTCACCCTCTTCACATGGTGCACCCCAATCCACCACTACGGATCTATCCTCCATATCTCAACTCCGCACCACCCACCCTCACACCACTTATCCCTCCCTCCTTTCGCAGCGGCAAAGTCGAACTACTCAATCTCCATATGATATTACCGTAGGGCATGGGAACTGTTGAAGAGAGCGTGCGGAGGACGAAGGGGTGTGTTGCTTTGCATGAGGCAGGGATGACGGGTAGCCCTGGGATTGTTGCTGAGGTCGGGGAGAGGGTTTGTTTGATGCCAGCACCATCATCACTTCTGCATCTTCTGACGGCAGCATCCGCCTCTGGCCGTTCCCGAAATCCAGCGTGCTCGATATCGCTGCTGGCGCGTTTTGTGTCACATTCTTCAGCGGAGGAAATGACCAGAAGATGTCACAGTGGGTACTACCCTCGACGGTACTGGTGTCGGTATGTTCCCATTGATTTCTCATGTTTTCGTTATCTCATCTTTCAGATGAAGACTCAAGTGAAAGTTACTCACTGGCACAAGGTATGTTCTCGTTATTGAATCTCATAACACAACTCGAGCATTCCACAGACCTACACCCTCACCCTCACCCATGGACGAGACCGCCTACACTATAATCACAACGGGAGGGGCGTTGACTATGGCTTTGGAAATATTCACACGATACATCAAGGCAGATTCCAGCAACTACGTCTGCCTTGGGCACCGTTCAATTGTTCATGCACGCATGGGTGACTGGGAGTCCGCGCTTAAAGACGCAATTCAGGTGAGTTGTACCGACTGATACTGAACCCCCTTCAAGATACACCAACTTGGATCATGACAGTCCATTAGCATTCAAAAGTCGTTGATGGGCTATATGGCCAAGTCCATTGCCCACTACAGATTGAGGCAGATTCAGGAAGCGAATATTGCATTTGATCTCGCGTTGAGATTCGCGGCTGGAGATTCAGCAACCCATCATCTTCTCATTTTGATCAGGGTGGGTTACATTTATTCTGACATGCTCCGTGCTTCATTACGATTTTCAGGCTATTGCAACATTCAATACAAATGCATACGATGAAGCAATCATGTATGTTAATGACATGGCCGAGGTCTCTTACGATGCCGATCTTCTTATTCATCAAGTCGTGCAAGTGAGTATCAATTCCTGTTCGTGTTCTGAATCTGAGACTGATCGTTCTGCGCTTCGCGCATCAGGTATACTTCTACGCCGAAATGGCACTAGCTGCCTCAAAGAGCAACAATCGCGAGAAAGCCATCGAGTACATCAATGCCGCTATCGAAATCGCTAACAGCTGTTCCCTTCAAACAATGGACTTTTCTATCTACAAGGAATTCGTTGTGTACGTTGGTACAATATACCACTCAACATGATGTGTGCTCAACTGTGCTTTTTCGCAGATTTTCGGGTGAGACCTCAAGTCATTGTGGCAGACCGTAAGGAGGTATAAGACAATCACACCTCCTGCCCTCGACGTTTGGTCATCATACTCTACAGACCAACATCTCGCTCCCGCTCCACTTTTTTCGTCTCCCGGGTCAAAACTGCTCGACTTATGCCCGGGAACGTCTGTCTGAGTGACTTAGAGGGGGAGGAGGAGGTAATCCACCCATAACTTTTTTCCATCACACTTTCTGACCTCGACCTCTTGTCATCCTCATCTACATATTAATAGCTCGCTCCCGCTCCACTCCGTTCATCTCCCGGGTCAAACCTGCTGGAGCTATACCCGAAAACGTCACTCAGAGTGGCTTAGAGGGGGAGGGGGAGGTAATCCACCCATAACTTTTTTTCATCGCACTTTCTGACCTCGACCTTTTGTCATGCTATTCTATAGGTTTATAGCTCGCTACCGCTCCACTCCGTTCGTCTCCCGGGCCAAACCCGCTTGAGCTATACCCGAAAACTTCACTCTGGTGGCTTAGAGGGGGAGGAGGAGGTAACTTTTTCTCCATAGTACCGGCTGACTTCAAGTGTTGTTCACCTTACTCTACAGACTCACGGCTCGCTCCCGCTCCACTTATTTTGTCTCCCGGGCGAAAACTGAATAACTTATGCCCAAACACCCATTCCTCGCTCTCTCTTCCACCTACTCTCCCTCCAGGAATCAACTGCACCCACTCCCACCACAGACTCTCCAAATCACACTTTCTTAGATCCTCGTTCACGCGATTCTCCTTCTCATCGACTCGTCATCGATTCCGACTCTGACAGTATAGATGATTAGGCTATGCTTTCTCCACATCCTCCAACACACAGACTCAGCATGCAATCTGTCACTTCCCTCACCTCCTCCCATCTCGCACCGCCCTTCCCTGAAATCTCCCGTCGTGCCTCGTGCCTCTCCTGCACATCCTCCAAATCCCGCTCCCGCCCAGTCTCAAATGCCCAACACCCCATATCCGCCCAGCGCAGTTCTCTCCCGCACACCCAGCGGACGCCGTGCCAAAGACGTCCCCGGCATGTCAGCAAAATCTGTGACTTCGCATTTGCACATTCAGATCCGTGGTTCTTGGGTGGAGGACCAAATGTGCCTCGCCCCAATTGTCCCAAAGTCCTCGCTCGCCGTTTGCGCGGGTCGTCCTCGTTGACGTCCTCTTTGACTTTCACATTGTTCACAGAGCTTGATGAAGACCAGGTAGTCTGTTATCGGACGAGGTGGTGGAGTCGGATGGGCAGTAATTGTCTGATGCAATGAAATCGGTTGATTTATTTACTCATACTGCATCCGAACACGCGAGAAATGCTTGAATCCATGACAGTATATTCGCTGATCGTATGTAAAGAATGCCATTGAATAGCTGAATGTACATGGAGCGCACAAAAACGATCGTGTACGAAGCATGGTGGGAACGAACGAGACTAGCTAGTAAGAACGTGCAGCCAGCAGCACACGATTGATCGAAAGTCTAAAATGGTATCAGAGCAGGTGTGTTAGTGAAAGTGACAGGCAGTCCATCCATCGTCCCTCGCTCGCTAATTCATAACCTCTCGGTGAAGGCAACTTCATCGCCATGCAATCGTACCTGCCATGGGAGGGTGCATACGTCGTGCCCGTCACGTTCACAACGCCAGAGTTGTATGTCATAGAACCAAGATGGCGGGACCACGCTACAACGTCGGAGGCAATTTCGGTGCCATGTTGTTCTGCTAGTTGACTGCGGCAAAAACATCAGCACATACAGGCGGGGACAAATAAGAGATAACACACCTGGCGTGATTTATCCATGATAACAACCATACTCGCCATGCTGAGCCTATACGCCTTGGGCATTGAGCATGATGTCGAGCTGGAGTGAGACGAGGGAGAAAGCGATTGTGTACCAGATGTACAAGTTGTGTTTCTCGACGTTGATGTAAGCTTCTTTGCACCCTGGGAGAACGGAGCGGGCGTACCAGGTTTGGGAGATAGTGGCTTCGACGAAAGGTGAGCAATATCCGCAGCAATGGAGCTTGTTTTGGATCCTGAGACGGCCGTCTGCGCCGAGTTCGCGAGACCACTGAGCAAATTTGGCCTTCGAGATTGAAGGTGCGCTGTTTGTAGGGCATGTAACCGGGTGTGATGAGGAGGGCAAAGTAGAGCGAAAGTGCAAACTGTTAGGAAGGAGCGGTTGTTGAGAAGAACGCTGGCCCAGCCGTTTATGGAAGCGAGTGAGATGGCAGCGGCTGTTGATAGAACGAGTTCTGCTCGATTGCCTACGCGGACGGTGGGCGCGAAGAAACGTACCAAAGTCGTAAAGGTTGTTTAAGTGGTCTCCAAGGATCGGGACTTCGGGCAAAACGGATATAACTTCTGGTGCGGTAATGAGCTACAGGAAATATGGTCAGCGGTGGGAGATACCAGTTAGGAAAACGAGCATACCCGTTTCTTGAGAGCGACGAAGTCGTTGTAGGTTGTGAGTTCAGTGGCAGTGAATGTCGATAGTGCGTCAAGGAGAAGTGCACCACCAGTCATAAACTGGCGGATGGATATCATGTGGAGACCACGGTAGGATTACGCCTATCCCAGTCACCACTCTCCTCGATGAATCTGGACGATATGTCAATTCATGGTCACGGTAAAGCGTTGGAATAGCGCACTTTCTGCTCTGGGAAGGTTCTCAGTGATGAGGCTATTATCGCCGAAGAAAAATCCCAGTCGGATGACAGTGAGCACAATATCTATCCTTGAGGTAAGGCCAGGTGTTTTCTCGAGTGCAAGTTTTTGCGCTGCGACTGCACCTTCCTTTATGTGCTACTCAGTGTCTGGACTCTGCATGACTTAGCAGAGGAAAGGCGTACCTTGTCACCAATTTGAGTCAGATGATTGGCTCTGGCTTTCAAAGCGTCGGATATCTCATATTCTCCTTCTCTGCCTCTGCTTGTCTAAATGACAGTCAAGTACTCAAATAATTACATACTGTCTGCCTTAATTCCATCGAACAATTGTTTTCTTGCATTGTCGTGAAGTTCCTGGAGTAATAAGAGTGAACACGTGCTGCGGGAGGCTGAGATTTGGTTGGAGACCCGCCGAGTTACGGCGTGAAACACTAAGACGGATCGGACGAGAAGTAACGAGACAAGATCGAAGAGCAATGTGGTAGTACCAAGAGACCCGAGTCCGAGATAAACAATGGACGGTGCTCGGACGGTGCGTTTAACGTTACTGGTAATAGCATAAGGAAAACTGAACGTGGTTCGATTTCGTAAGCAACAGTATGACGTCTCTGAAGTATAAGTTACCTTGCGGAGCAAGGTCATGATGTTGTTGGGCTAATCTGTCAGTCACCTGACATCAACATCATGCTGTGCAATCACGCGTTTTTGCACCAACCTCACGCGTTCCTGACCAATCATGCGTGCCATACCAATCAAGTACAAAATTACAGAGACACCTTTACGCCCTACTGAATACCACTGAACATGTACCATCAACACGTTGTCAACACCGATAGGGTTCAATACATCTCTGCTTGGCCAAAGACTGAGTACAACTTGAAGACGCAGTATTGAATGTATTACCGTAGTCCGCGATTCCAAAGCCACATTTGTCTGTTTGACCACGTTTGTGTGTTTGGTTTTGTTGAAAATTCGTACTGATACGACGTTTTAATCAGTGTGTCAAACACGATCAAAAGCTGTTACGACCAAACTGAAGACAACATCGAACAAGCTGAAGACCAACCTAATAAATTGCTTCAAAGAAAGCCTTATCGATTGAATGTATTGCGTATGTCTTTTTGGGTTGGTTGAAGCAGCGCGAAAGAGCGAGGAACAATAAGCGTACACATGTACAAATATCCTTGAGAAATTGCAATCGGAGCAAGGTCATCAGTTCGCACGGCGAACCCCTAGTATCTATGGTGTCTCTGAAGTATATGGCGTCTCTGAAGTATGGCTGAATCCAATCCTTTGCACTTCAAATTCAAATCGTTGGTTAGCTGTCCTGAAGATGTTCCGCTTGAATTGGTGCTTGCACAATCTCCTTATGTGATTTCCGTTGTGTTGATATGATCTACTCCAACAGTTCGAGACAGCTGTGTCGCAATTGATTCATTGCCCGGAGTACAATTCGACACTGATCTTATGCTCAGAGATTAGCCTACGATGTCACATCTTGCTTTCCGATTCATCCCTTCCAACCTCACCACGACCTCAGATTCAACCTTTGCACAACCGGCACTGCGCATTGAAGTTACTCCGGAGTCCGCTCCCAGGCACGCCTACCGACCTCCTCAACAGTCGTCTCTACCGCACGGCACTTGCACTCCTTGACACACTCCACCGTTATCTATGGGGAGCACTCGCCCATTACCAGAAACGCGTACAGCATGACGTCCTTATACCGAATCCGAACGCGAGGCAAAGCTCAAGGAAACGCTCGCCAGTCTGCAGCGCATCTTCCCAGGTAAACCCTGCTGCCCTTGTCCCAGAAAGTCACCACTCACATATCACAGGCGTCTACGGGCGCGTGGTTGACCTCTGCAAACCCACACAGCACAAGTACGAGCAAGCCGTTTCTGTCATCCTTGGGTGCAATATTGATGCTGTCGTCGCTGACTAACTAAACCTAACCAGCAACGCATACCGTTGCACCGTGCACGCCTACGCACGTCGCTCATTACTTGCCCGCGTCCAACAGTACGAGCAATGGGAATGTGAATACGCAGGCACACCTAATATCCCAAATCCTGCCACACCCGCCTCACCGATCTCACAAGGTAGGCTACGCCACATCACCTTAGTATCCATTCATTCACCCTTACGCGCTATCTAACAAATCTGAAAGTGTCTTCAGAACGCATACCCGCAAGCATTTATGTGCCCGCCGCTGCCAATTGAAGACGCTAGAAATCTACAGCCTGGTTCGATGTCGTGGCCATGTGCTTGCGGACTCGATTTGAATACTGATGATGTAGATCACCAGGCTTATTACTAGGATTTTGACCGCAGATCAGGGTGTCCTTCGTGCTCAGTCAAATACTAGGTCATGGAGAAGTCATTATCGAACTTGAAATGACATAGGATGAGCTGCCCATTTGTGCATGTGGGCCTTTCGGTTAGCGATCTGCTTACTTTCCCACACGTTCGTGGTGTTGACCCTTCCCTCACGCTAATAGTTAGATCCAACGCGACCTCGCTGTTCAAACCCATTCCAAAGTCAATGTATGCGCTGAACTAGCGTTTCGCATCTGAGAAGAGCGAAAGTTGAAGCTCTTTCTCCAGGACGGAAGTAATCCCGACGTACAATGACCATACGAGACGCTAAGTCCAAGTCATCAGCTTGTTGAATCCGTAGCAACGATTCAGTTTCAAGCCTGCGAATAAAATACCAATCCATGCTCCTGAGTAGGCGTCTAGAACTGGTGATTCCAGAAGCCAGTCTGAACAACGCTGATTAGCGGGGTTGGTAAATCGTTATGATGACCACGCATTTTGCAGACGTTGTGGGGAGCGTCACTGATTTGAACGTGATTGACGATTCTGGACGCAAATCAGTCTGTGCGTTTACCATCCTTGTATGCTGGAGGCCGATCAATGACTTACTTCGCGTAGTCGATGAGCTGTCGACCAAACCGTCTGACCAGAATAAGTAAGTTTCACCCTTACCAGCGTCGCAACGATCACCGTTGCATATAAGTGAGGAGTTCGGCATGGCTGCGTAGAATATGGCCCCAAGCGACATACCTGTCAACCAGTCCCAATTGCCAAGTCTATCGGAGCCTCGACGATCTCAGTCCACGCAGTCTTGAATGCTTAGTACTGCCAGTGGTTGCCGACAACGCCGTATAACATCACCACATCTTCGCCTTCAGATATATGGGGTCGGTCGCATCAGAACGAGTGGATCTATTCAAAGGATGATCGTGTCGACTTTGGGCGGTCTCAACCCCAATGACGCTGCCACGATAACGATCAATGTTTTTAACGCACAGAAACGTTGCGACCTACTTGATTGTCCCAACAACTCAATATCCGGGGCAGTGAGGTGGCCATGGGAGAACATCGATCTAGTTGCACGAAAGGTCAATGGGGATGGCGTGTGAGCGCGAGATCGTGATACATACAGGCGGGAAGTTTGGACGCGAGGGTACCGTAGATGTGAGTCTGTCGAACATGAGGTATAGCGTGCAGAGGAGTCGTCGCATGTTTGGCATTGAGAAGATGGAGTTGAGAAGTTTGCATTCCCGGCGATGTTGCTCTACCAGCTAGTGAGACGCTGTATTAAAAGAAGAACAAAATTTACCCAGTGCTGCAGTTCGGTACTCTGACAATTTTGCCTCGTTGAGGGCGCATGAGAACTAACATGAATTAATTGTTGGTTGTCGACCGACTCGAAACGCTGGAGTAAGGGTGATACCAATAATGCCGATGCAAAAAAACATTCAGCATTCATGGACCTGGAGGCGAAAAGAAAACCGTCACCTGTAGCTAGCTGCCGCTGACGTCTGCCTATGCATTCACTGACTACAGGTTACAAGGACAAACGATTAGCCCCTCAATCATAGACATCGGCACTTCACCCAGTGCAGAACTCACCCCATTTAATGCAAATGTTGCCCTATCCCGAGGACATGGCAAGGGTCACAGGTGAGTCTTGATTACCGGAGCGTAGATTAATTTAACCCTATACTGAGGCGCATATCAGGAATTGCAACAATGGTAAAGATGGTGGCACTGTACACACGAGCCTGGTCGATGCCGTAAGCGCTGAGCCTGTCAGTTCGATTGACGAGATGGGTTACGTAAAAGTTAGATACGATGAATTCGTAATACTACATGGAGTGACTAGAAGTACCAAGAATCTGCTTTTTGGTTTAGACCCTGCTTCAAAGCCTTTTCCATGATGCGGCTGGAATCAAAACGTGAGCATCAGGAGGCAGAGCGCCACACGTGAGGTTAATTGGCCATCATCATATGGTAGTAGGTGGTGGGGCTGCCTGCGAGAGTAGAGATAGGCACAGCTGGGCAGGGTGACGAGGCAAGTAGTGGATGAATCTGTGATACGAAAGTAGGCAAGTAGTACTTGCCGATAGCTGGATGGTAAGTGTTCGCAATTGCGTTTGGCTTGCCATCTCCATTTTCCAGTTTTCACCATAAAGATGCCATATCGTGGTGTCCTGAAAGTCCTTGACACTTTTGGAGGCCTAACTTGAAGCCCAACTGTGCTTGAGGTAGAATGTAGTCCAGTGGCGAATATTGGAGGGTTTCGGAGGGATCTAAAGAGCAAGTCCAAGTATGGCGCCGGCGCGAATTAATGGCGTAAAAGCAGATTGAGCACTGGCGGTCAGAATAAGGATGGCCGCTGAAGGCATAAGTAAGAGGTCATCGCCTTGGCTTGTGCTGCAGGACATGATGTCAACCAAAGCAGTCAATTTGGTTGCGCTGGAGTAGGGGACCCCTAGTAGGGAGGAGGTTCGCAAAGGTGTTTGGCGGTGTTTGGAGCGCAGCCAGCGTTATGATAGAGTCTCGGGAGCAGTAGCACTTCATCACTTCGTTGTAGAGTCCAGTGCACGCATTTAGCAGAGCCCACTCCAGTGCGGTAGTCGACTTCCCGTACTCAACTTCCGTGAAACGGTCCGCTGCAGAACTGTCCTGTATAGTAATGCAAATTTCAACTCACTGGGATTTTGGAGACACCTCATCAGGGAAAACCTCCCCCCCGAAATCGAGGTAATTCCTTGTAATTCCTCTGTTTTCGGAAGATTTCAAGTGAATTCAGGTTTTGCTGAATTATTTAAGTCCGGTAGCTCGTTTTATGAATTCCTTTGAATTCCGAGTAGTTTCTCTGAATTCCATCAAATTCACTCGTCGCTCGATGGATTATTCTGAATATCGTCCAATTCACTCGATGATCGGTCGATGTCAAATTACACGAAAATCAACATTATATTGCATTAAAATGGCTTATCACAATGTATTATACATGAACATGGGTATCAACAGCACACGAAGACGCTAGTGCTTGAATTAGATGCAACTATGATCAAGTCGGATCAGCAATAGAGACACAACAACCTTTAATCCTCGGACATTGCATTAACATCAAGGTAGTCGAGGTTGCTCCCCGAACCAGCCAGCAGTAACATGCTCTGCGACACGCTAACAGAGAGTGTGTGAATGACAGGCGCAATCCAAGGAACCTGAAACGCACCTGACAGCCTTGAAAAGCCATGCCATAAGCGCGTGATACTTTTTTTTTCCCGCGTTCGGAAATCCGAGTGAGGGTTGCAATGTGGAGGGTAGCGTTGAAGGATTTGACTTGCGAGCTCGATGGTGGATTGCCACTCATCCAGTCCATCAGTATAGACTAAGTCTGTGAAAAGAATATACTTAGCATTGTCGGTCTACAGTAAAAACACCTAAAAACCTACGATAGTTGCAACCACAACTCCGATTGCGGGATACGGCCGAAGCACCATCAGCGTCAGATAAGCGGGCGAAAGGACAAGGTTAGCGGGACACGAGAAAAAAGGTCACACACATTCTGAAAGCGGAACATGGCCATGGCACCATCAGCGTTGGGTAAACAGGTCAAAGACAAGGACACGCACAGAGCGGGACATGGACACGGCACCATCGGCATCAAGTAAGCAGGTCAAAAAAGAGATTACACACATCCTGACAACGAGCGCAAACATTCAGTAAAGAGAAGAGTGTGTGCAGCTCGAAGTAGTAGAGAGAAGGGGAATGGACCTCCGTGTCATTTTCAAACCAAACTTTTAAAGTTCAACTGTGAGAATAAACTCGGCATTTCCCGGATTGATCAGAATCCGTCTAAGCGTTTCGCTCCTCAGTGCTGCGCTGTAGCTACCATTTACATTTTCAACCGTTTTGATTATGCTAATGCTCTACACTCATTTCTGCTTGTCCACTTGTGAGTATTTCTTCTAATATGGGCTTTTGCCACTCGTTTCACTCATTTTTAATCATTCTAGTTTGTTTTTTCATGTCTGCGTTTCTGCGCTTGTTTGTCCCTGTCCGCGCTTAGCCTGTGAGTGTTCCTGCTTGTTTTCACTCATTTTCCGATTCATATAATTGCACTTGTGACTAGTGATCTCGCTCGCTCATTCTCATTTGCCAGTTCTCGACGGTCAACGGTCACCGTTCTCATTCTTGTTCTAGTTGTGTTTTCGTACTACTCCCTCACTTAACTAATATTTGATCATGAATTTCAGGGTATCGTGTTGCACAAGTCCGTGTCGTCTTCACACTGACAAGTCATGCTGCGATTGCCTTATTTCGCACACCTGCCAAGGCACCTACCCACTTTGCTTATGTGGAGTGGTTCACGCCATTCAGGCAACCCGAAGCAAACCATGGTTTGTACAAAATTTCCTGCGTCATTCGTAATGGAGAGCGTCTTGCGAGCATCATCGATATTTCTGATATTCGCAGGAGTGTACACCTTATTCCAAAATTCGGCCCAGTCGTACCTCACGAATGGACGAGCAGTACCGTTCTGGAGCTTTGTTCTACCTTCTTTGTAAACTCGTTTAGTGACAGGCATGCTTATCTCACTATAATCTGACTGGCGGAATTTACTCCGAGTTCATTGGAAATACAACGATTTCTGCTGAATCTGACCGGCAGATTTTATTACTTTCGAAATACAAAGATTTCGGTCGATTTCGGTCAAATCAGCAGATTTTCTGGAATTCAGCTGTTTTACATGCGAGTTTGATGATTTCGGCTGCCTCAAGCTCGATAGCCAGTGCTACCTCACAATGATAGTTGCCATATGTCGTCCAAAGGCGTGCGTGACTCAATGTTAAAAGAAAGTCACACCCTCTCACAGACGCCCATCTGACTCGGACTCGGACTCGGAGTGGCTACCTACAAAAGCCTAACCTTTGTTCAACCACGGCACCTGAAGAATATCAACCAACAGGCATTACGCCCACATGCAACTTGAGCCCCCTGACGAGGATTTACCTGCCATCCAGGTGTCTTTGAGCGAATTTGTCTCAGCTGCAGAACGGATGTTCGCGCCAGACCAACTAGAGAATTTTCTTCGCTTTGTGCTGGCTGGACGCCTCCAAAGCCACAATAAGCTCGCTCGGATATTTTTAAATGCAAGACAAGGAGCACTTGCGCCTCCCACTTCTGAATTCCAAGTGTACAGAGACATCGACTCTGTTATAGGCATTACATGGGATTTACCATTCCAATTACCTATGGCTATCTTTCCCTTGGCATCATTCCGCGATACCCTTACTGAAGACAACCATTTAAAATGCCCTCTATCTTGTCCCAAGGTGCGTGGATCCAGGTCAAATATCCAGCATTCTGACAGGAGTGCCTTCACCAGGATGTCATAGGCGTCTCACTTCACCGAATTCCTAACATGGCGTTGGGGAAAGTCGATCGACGTCATATCACGCGTATCTTCTTCCCTGGATTGTATTGCAAAGGTCAAAATCCGGCCATTCCTCCAGAGACAATGACTTTGATCTATGAAAAGTGCCTTCGGCCTGCTGTTGTCAGTCTCAACCCTGTCGATCGGAGCCGATGGCCAATCACATATTCAAATGCCATGGATTTGGCTCGTGATCAGAAGGGGCAATTTCACTTTGGCACTGTCGATTTCCCATCTAACCTCCTGAACCAGCTGGGGCCTAAACTTCGGGAAATGTTTCAGATGCAAGATGGGCTACAGGATGTATTTTTTGTTCACGAGCTGCGAGGAACAAAAGGTGCATCTCACCATGATCCATGTGATGCAGGAGCAAGACGTGCTGCTCTTGATACCGTATTTCATTTTTTTGACATGTCACTTGTCAGGCCAGAGGACTGGGTGGTGGATATTGGACTTGAAATCCAACATGAAGGCCATATATTACAGTGGCTTACCAAAGGCCATCGTCATTTGCTGCAATTCCTTTTGCCATCCAGTGCAGAAAGTAAAATAGATGCCATCCTGGCTTCTCAGACTCAATATCATCGCGACCTCTCAGCGCAATTAGAGGATCTTGGAGGATTCCGCGCCCATCCAGGTTCCCGTGGAAAGGATGATGAAGTTTACTATATAAACGCCTACACCACAGACAAATGTGCAACCTATCAGCTCCATGATGGCATTTTTAAGCGTCGCCAGGCATGGCACCTATTCCCAGGCAACATAGGAAAGCTCATAAAGGATCTCGAGCGCATGGCAGAAATATTTCGCCTGTGTGGGAATTCTCCTAACATAGGTGGACATGAAGGCAATGCACGGCTAGAGGTTCGCATACCATTCCATCTAGCAGACCAAGCGCTCTTGCAGATGCCAGATAGGGTTATACAAGATACCCTTGTTACCTTTGATTGCAAATTATTTTGGTGAGCATTTTGGTCACCACCAGTCTCACCCAAGGTACTAATGTGAAATCCAATTTGAAGGTACTTCAAGTACTACCGCATGGCTGCCCTTTACTATGTGGTTAAAAACCTACAGAGCGCAAACCGAGCGGCCCGTCTCCAGCACGAGTCATTGAAATTGGGCGCTCTGGTTACTTACCAGATTAACGCCCTGATTTACCGGCCAGCAGAGGGTCAGGCTGAGAACAGCTTGCTGGAGGCTTCCTGCCAGCACATACCTGTGGATGGTACCAATGGGCTAAGCACTCGTCCCATCATGTACGGCCGAGGCACATACTTTATGTCAGACTTGGTCAATGATGCAGGAGCTTATCGCCTTCCTAACGTCAGACCAATTGACGTCAGTACCTTGCTAGCTCTGTATCGAAGGGATTTCATGGAGGACGTGGAGGTGGAGTTTTCAGACTCTCATATATCAAGCTGCTCCAAACGTCAAAGGGTCCAAGTCAGCCACCTGTCAAGGAAGCGCAAGACAACTTACAGAATCCATGACTGTGATGAGGCCAGCAGTAGTGAGGAGGACGCTCAAGTTGAAGAAGATGTTGAGGAACTAGAGAGCAGCGCTTGCAGGGTGGCATCATGTGGCGCCCCTTCCAGGAAGACAACAGATTCAATCATATCTAGCGAGCTATCTGCTATTCAGCGTCAGTTTGCATCCGATATCTTTCAGCTGGCGCCATCTCCCAAGCTAGCCTTGAATTCCCCTTGGATACTGCTGGATCAAGAGCAGAGAAAGCACATCAAGGTTGATGTCTTTCGTTCGCTGGATCTCAGTGGCATTTTCAGCCAAGTTCAATATCAAATTGTTAGCCATGCCGATTGGGATAACCTGGTATTCAAACGCTACTTTCCAGCCAAAGGAGCCTTGACAGCCAAGGCTCTTCAGCAATTTCCATCAGCCTCATACTATCGGCAATGGAAAGCTCTTATGGATGGGAATGATAAAGATGAAGCGGAGATCATTCAGAACCACCGCTTGATGCCATGGTTTGAAAAACTGTACTGGGTACCCCATCCTGCAAGCGACCGTATGTGGTCTACAAAAAAAGGTGGTAAGGAATGGATAATGCTGCCTCCTGGAGAGCCGAGGAATTGCCCACGCCTAGCAGTCAATCCAAGATTTATTGGCCAGGACGCAGCTGTAGTGCTGGTTGCAGGAACTTCTTAAAGGCAGCGCTGGCAAGGTTGTAGACACCCCATCATCCATTAATATAGATGTTCAGCATATTTCAATTACAAAAGAGTGCTAGATTATGGTCGTTGAAACAATGCCCATTCTCATTGTCTATCCCTCAGATATCAAAATCAAGAACATCCTCATATCTGAAACAGGTAACATCCCTCCACTCTGTCAATCTTTTGTTGTTCACCATACTTCGTGGCTCTTCAGCTCCTTAATGCCAAGGTCTGCGTAGGTCCAGAGGTTGATGTATGGAGTTTTGGAGTTGTCCTGTACGCACTCGTATGCGGCAAGCGCCTTTCGAGTTCGCCCCAGTAAATTTGGATTAGCTAAGTAGAAGCAGGTTGGGGACGCCACCAATAGCAACGCATTCACCTGATTTGATGTGGAAAGACAGGTCCTACAAAAATTTAGGTTCATCTTGCCAGCAATGTTAGAATGCGGAGACGCAAGCTAATACTCGCCGATGAGTAGCGCGCTGACAGATTTTCTATGCAGAAATCACCGCCTGCAGGCCAGTACGCCGACGCAGGCAGCTGCCTCCCTTCAGTAGATTCAGGCTTCTGTTCAATCTTGATATTACTATCGATCCGTTCCAGACCATTTCACGTAAGCAACCGTCGGTGATATTGTGCGTCCGCGCTCACCTGTTTCCTACCCAAATCAGTTAAACACTGAAGGAGTGATGCGAGAAAGTAGCTCACTGCCGACTTCCACATCATTGAGGATACCACCCCACCAAATGATCGTGGAACTAAAACTAACTGTAAGGCGTGAGCAAAAATCTGCGATGGGCACACCATGTGGACAAAATTTACCTGCCATGTTCAGAGAACACGCCTCATGGACTCCTCTACCGTACGCTAGATAACCGGCAAGACCAGCTGATAATCCACCACCGATAATATTAATACGGACGCAAATCCAGCTAAAAACATCTGTTAGCGACCAGTCGCTCCGCAACTTGTAACGCAAACAAACCGATTTAAGTTACAGAACATGCGCCCTGATTTAAGGCCGATTAAGATATTCTTCTTTAATTACCCCCTGCACCATATATGCGGATTGATACTGTTTCAATGAACAAGCTCGTATATTATAGAAGCCTGATGATCGCCTACTAAGTCATGCAATAGCAATCCTGAAGTTACCAAGGACCGATACTTTCGCATTGCTCATCTCTCGAGCTTTTCATGTAGATGCGACCGACCCTTCCAACTAGCAAGCCGAATGGCTCCGAGTTTCACAATTATAGCCAAAGAAACTTCAATCCCACCAATTCCCTGCGCAAACGGACCATCAACTAGATAACCTATCAGCGAATATTGACCATCTTGGATCTTATCATTTTGGGCGCTCTGAGTGATGAATCGAGATGTAGGTGTTTAACGATCTGTCCAATAATGAATATATGCGTGACCATAAGATCAAGAGAACGCACCTTAGCGTTGTTCCAAATACGGATTGAACGAGTTTCTTGCGAATGGTTCGTGACGCCCGCATTGAACTCCGATGGTAGCAAGGGTGATTGGTGCCTAGCATGTTTCAGCGGCCGCATGCCCGCTCGTGAGGAATGTGATCGCCTTCTGACCGCCACTTTCAATACGAAGTCAGACTTACGATAAACGAAGGCTCAGCTCGTTGAGCTTACTTCGGCGTAAGACCCTTTCTCCATTCGGTCGCCCTCTTCGAACAAAGTCAGGTCACGTTTTGAATCAGGGAGAGTCAGCAAGTATGATCTGGAAGGAACTTACGTAGCTTGGGCATATCTTGACGCAAGGTGGCACTCTGTAACATGGATGCGTTAAGACTAGTGAAGGTTGCCAAAGCATGCGTATTGACAGGAACGTGCCGGCCGGTAGACCTTCGTTGAGAACGTCTTTTCCAATAGGGCATTCGGGTATTGGAAACGGGCGTTTGAATGGAGTGGCAGACTGCGTCTTAACTTTCATTGAAACTGTGATTTCATTATGCGAAGCGTGGAAGCCTGCGTACATATGCGTCTCGGATATCTGCTGCAAGAGAAGCCAATTTTGGAGAGGCGTGCAGGCACGTAAGATGCAGGATTGGGGACGTACGTCGGATGTCTGACTCCTTGGAAACCTGGAAAAGACAAGAAAGGGGGACGCGGTGAGATGTAATGGCTCAGAGACGGAATGAATGTTACGCATGACAAAGTGAGTGTAGCTCGTCGCTAGTGATGGTGAAATATGGCTCGAAGGTGCGGAGGTTGACAAGAAATTCGGTTCGTGCTAGGTGGATGAGGGAATGTGATGCCCATGCAGTTTGTCGTGTTCATCAGGGAAACATAATTCGCTACAAGCTGCTACAGAGCGCTCAGTAGCACTCTGTAGCACAATTGATCCCGCTGATGTTCTGTGATTTCGGTGCTATTCGCCTTCCATGGCTCAATAAGTTCATGGAATTTATATGTTGCCGACTCATCACATACATCAAGTCCACGGCCTGTGTGTAGCCATCATCGTCAATATTGTTACCACCCACGCAAATTAACACACCTACCTGCACTTCGACAGTGTCTACCATCGTAGGACTTTGATATCCATAGGTTAACAACATCACGCTCACAGTAGAGTGCGCTTGTCCTGAGCACTTCTTCTGCAGGATCTGTACCTTGGCGAGCATTGTTGTTGAATGACTTTGAGAAAAAGAGGATGTGCAGTACCGTGTGACTGCATGGCAGGCGCCATAGATTTGTGAGAAGGTGGAGGAGAGGCCGGGGAAACGTATACCTGAGGAATCGTCAGTATCTAGGCGTTCAAGTCAAATGAAGAATGTGGGTTGATCCCGTCCTTGAACTGCAGTGCGATCGTATCTGATCTAGAGAACCCAGGACGGACAGATATAGCGACAATGTTGGAAGTTTACACATCATTGTTGACCGCGTGGATGATGGAGTCGTCTGTCTTGGGTACCTGCCCGATTGACGGGAGTGCATCTAGGACGCACTGGAGTTGGCAGGTGAAAATGACAATTTAAAGGGCGTGCCAGCCTTCGTGGTAAAAAAAGTGGAGATGGGGAGTAAGAGCGTGCGGTGGCCGCGTAGAAAAAGTTGACCGTATTGATGGTGGGTGCAACGAGGAGAAGGGTGTGAATTAAGATGTTAATGAGGTTAGTAGTACAATCGACCGATGTAGAACATACGGACATGATATACATCCAGTCTAGTCACCGGGGGCAGACGAGAAGCAGCCGTACGCTCGATGCTCATCCGGCATCTCCGAAGAACACTACTATGCCGATAGCGCCGAAGAACCATTTCTGGCTAGACACGAGGTTGGACATGTTTGAGAACCAGCATTCGTCTGGTGTGGGCGTCATCGTTGCTGTCGCTGGTACGGATGGGGATGAAAACGCAGGTTTGCTGGCTTCGTCCTCAGCAGTCCGCGGTCGTCTGAGTGGGCTTAGGGTGGGATTCGCTGGATGTTGGTGTAGCATGCGTCATCGTTAGCTTTAGAAAGAAGCTGGTACGTATGATACTCTGAAGCGGGAGAACGTAGGTTAGTTGCAACTATACGAGGCACGCGTGAAACGCACTGTTTTCGATTCCAACCTTTTCCTTGTCATTGAAGACCGCATTTTCGGGGTACTTGGCATATCCATCGGCCTGCTTGATGAAAGTCGGGGAAGACAGTACGCATAGGTTTGGTGGTGCGTAAGTTGCGAGTTCGTGAAGTCATAGATCTACGTGAAATATAACAACATTAAAATAACCACGAGAATGCTGCACGTTACATACATTCTACTATCTTAAGGCGATCAGCGCAAGTAAGGATGAAACAGAAGCACACCTACAACGTTTTTTTAAGGCCGTACATTTCCCGAATCCATAGTCGCGAACAACACCAAAGAAGCGTCCTGCCTATTTTGCAGTTTCCTTCCATCCCTAATCTTTCCGCTCAGCGGGGTAAATACAACAGTCGAGTGTGAGTTCTTGTAAGTATGCGTATGCGTATGAATAACAGAAACTCACATCAGTTATAGCGCACCTCCTTGCACGTCACCACTGGCTAAGTTACAGTCTGCTCTCATCTGCCTGAGCTCAGAACTATGACTGGCTACCGTAGGGCCCGCGTTGCAACTTCTGAGCAAACGGTCCATAGCTGGGCACGCCTCCTGGACGTCACTTAGTATATCGTTTGCAGCTTGATTGGCAGCAACTTACCTATTGTATTATGTTGTAAGTAACTTCTTGGCACGAGCCCAGTCTCCTTCCTTGGTATAGATCTTCGCCATCATCATAACGGCACAGTCGAATTCTCCACCAGTCAATTCAGTAATCTGCAGGGGAGAATTTAAATGAAATGACGTCGGGGTTGTTTTCACTGCATTTAATTGTTAAATTGTCTGAAGCCTTGGTGAAGCGAGCCCAGATGACCATCGAGGTGTCTCATAAAACGGGCTCAGAGAGCAATACCAGTAACCCAGCGAACGAGTGCATTCGTGTTGTCGCGACGATGAACACTTCAATATTTGAGAGCCAGTGAAGTCCGTCACGGTCACGTGAGTGAGGACTGACCTGTCAGATAACAGCGGGGGTTTCGACATTTTACCACATTTTGCTACTATAGTGAAATGACATTTAAAATGCAATCTAGAGCGCTCCAGAGCGTTCCAGGCTAGGTCTAGAATGCTCCCAGATTTTCTTTTAATTGAAATCTTGCAAGAGGTAAAATGTCCAAACCTCCGATGTGTCAGTGCTTCTTCGGTGGACCATTTGACAGTGACCGGTTGACCCCTTGCCAGAGCTGTACCTGGTCACGTGGTGTGGCTGCTTGGCTTTGTTACTCACCAGCGCTCACCGCTCGACACTAGTACTATTAAGTACTCTTGTTCGGAATCTCAACGTCAGATGTACAAACTCAACTGCTTTGTCTTGGGCGATGATCCTCGCCATATATTTGAGATCGAGATTGCGCTGACAGAGAGCGTCAGCGCCCTCCGAAAGGCTAACGTGATATTTTGGAAGGTCGACCTGCCTGTCGACGAGACGATCGAACACAATCTTAGCAGTCTTACACTTGACACAAAGGAATCACTATCACCTGTGGCGAATTTTCTCTGAAATACTACCTGAGGATGAACACCTACATATTGTTATCCAAGGCCCACCTGCCGGTGAGTTGTCTTTCGATACTGACGCCCTTTCTTAGTGCCTTCTGGACCGCTCCGCCTCAAACTCAAACTCAACTGCATTGTCCTGGGCGATGATCCTAGCCATGCATTTGAGATCAAGATTGCACCAACAGAGAGTGTCAGCGCCCTCCAAAAGGCTATCAAGGACGCGAAGAAGCCACATTTTGACCATGTTGCTGCTGATAATCTCAAGCTATGGAAGGTTGAGTGAGCTGATGCCTACAATTGCATGTTGATAGTCTGATATTTTGGAAGGTCAAGATCAATTTGAACGACCCACACTTACTCAACGCGATCGGAGACGAAGGCGTGGAGTTGAAGCCGTTAACCGAACTGTCCAAAGTGTTCACGGATGGAGTAGAGCGTGGATGTATTCATGTCGTCGTACGACATCCTGCCGTTGCACGAGGCAGAAGTATGGAAGACCCAAACGATCATATGGCGGAGCTCAACAAAGGTAAGGCTACACCACCTGATATAACGCCTAGCCAACTCTAACGGGTAACAAGAACTTGAGCTAGTGGAGGTGGATGCCCAGATCAAGCATTCATCCCGAGAGCTGCAAAATTCCCAGAAGATGCAGGAACAGGTGATGCTGAACGTCAGCAGGCTAAGCTCTGCCCACTCACGCGGGACCTTGCCAATGTTAGGCACGCAGCAGACAAAGCAGCAGGTAAGCCATCTGTAGACTCATCGTCTTCTTTGGCTTCTACTTTTTGTATGCAGAGGCCCACAGACGTGCATCTCAACATAATACTTCCCTCAGCGACAACAGTCTAGCCGAATATCGCTCACTGTGAGTCCTGCACGTCAGCGTATCTTTGCAGTGTTAACGCCACAAACAGAAAAGCATCTGCTAGCGTCCTTGCCGTTTCTGAGCGTCAAGCTCTGGAGACACTCAGCTGAGACGAGAAGACTGCGTCCCGGATCTCGCTCGAATCAACACTCACTCTAGATGCCGAGATCGCATCGTCAACAAACGAACTGCGAACCAAGACTGGCGTTATCGAGGCCCGCGATTCAAGTTCTCGAAAAGAAGATCCTCGAAATCGGTGGCTCCAAACTGCTGAAGCAGAAGTCCACCGTTGACGGTATTCGCTTGCTGCACCAGCTAGCTAACGAAGAGGTCGCAAAGGCTGAGGTCATGAAGGCCACTGCAGAGAAGAACATTGTGAAGTATACGTCCGCCCTTGAGACCAACCGTGCGGCGCTGGAGGAAGTTGAGAAAGAGCTCGAGGAGCTGAAGGATCAGCTGGCTGATGTCGCGCAGTATCTGGAAGATCTCAAGGAGAAGGTTGAAGCCGCGCAGACTACTCAGGAGAGCTCGAAAGACGACCTCGATTCACTCAAGCGCCAACTCCAGGAAAAAATTGATGAGTTCCGAAAGAAGGAGGTTCGTTCTTTGCTATCCGCTGGATATTCAGGTACTTGCTCTTAGGAAGTACCAGCGCTGACGTGCAGCACGTGATCGTGTTCAGCGGTTCTCCCATTTATTTCTGCTTCACCAATAACCAGAGCGTTCTTTTTCTCCCTTCTTCTCTCACTGCCACCAATATTGAGACATGTCTCATTCCACTCTTTCCGTACTTTTGGCCATCGCTGCACGCCAAAATTTGCCCTTGACCCACCTGACCCAACCCCCTTGTCGACAAGACCTATGCTTACCCGTCAGGAATCGTGAGTTTCAATTCCTCTTTCGTTGCATACCATGTTCACACAGGACTCAGGAGTCACTTTTCCAAGCCCTACCAAGTCGACTACAACACTGTCGCTATCGTAGCCCTCAGGTTGGTTACAACATCTGTAACTCTGCCACCGAGAACCAGAATTCCACGTGCCGCACCTCAATGGTGAACCACATCGACGGTGCGTCCTTCGCAAACACCGCACGGGTATACCGCTCATAATGTCAATATTCGTTCTTATTTTTCAGATTTCTGCTTGCGAGCGCCTTTCACCCTCCACTCCACTATCGGCGATACTGAGCAGGAGGAGGTTGTATGGCGCACTAAGCCTGGCCACGGCACTCGTGTCATCCTCAACGGTACCCTTCAGGGTGTTCAGTTAATCCGCACGTCGGAGTACATCTAGATCGCTGGTTATGGGCCTTTTATTCTCTTCCAAGGGTTCGACTAGGGTTGGACTTTTGGCCTATCTCAGCACTGATTATTTCATTTTGATGTGGCCGTCCTGGACTCCCGCTGTGTATGGAGCAAGATATATATCAAGATATACCAATATGTACATTGCTATTGCTATTGCTATTGCTATTGCTATTGCTATTGCTCCATACACAGTGGGCGTCCAGGACGCCCGCTGTGCATGAACACAATACAGATTTTCGTATGTCGATGTGGCCGTCCAGGACGCCCGCTGTGTATGAGTCCATACACATATAGATATATATTATATGTATCTCGCCGTGGCCGTCCTGGACGCCCGCTGTGCATGAACAGAATACAAATTTACATCTGTCGATGTGGCCGTCCTAGACGCCCGCTGCGTATGGAGCAATATACATATTCACATATACATGATATTGCTTGATACACAGCGGGCGTCTAGGACGGCCACATTGACATATATATATGTATATCTGGATTGCTTCATACACAGCGGGAGTCGAAGATTACCACATCGACATATGTATATTGCTCCATACACGGCGGGCGTCCTCGACGGCCACATCGACAGATGTAAATTTGTATTCTGTTCATGCACAGCGGGAGTCCAGGACTCCCACATTGACATGCGTATATATTATATGTATCTCGCCGTGGCCGTCCAGGACGCCCGCCGTGTATGGAGCAATATACATATGTCGATGTGGTAATCTTCGACTCCCGCTGTGTATGAAGCAATCCAGATATACATATATATATGTCAATGTGGCCGTCCTAGACGCCCGCTGTGTATCAAGCAATCCAGATATACAAATATACACATGTCAATGTGGGAGTCCTCGACTCCTGCTGTGTATGGAGCCATAGCCATATACATATCCTAATATACAAATATGTATATGTCAATGTGGCCGTCCTAGACTTCCTCTATACAGCATCCCAATTGTTTTGAAATAAACCCTTTATTAGGGTTATTAGGGTTAAGGTTAATACATTGATCTAGCGCTAACAATGAGACTTTTGTACACCAGCTGGACTTCAGGGACCCCCCGAGCTTGCGAGGGAGGGATGAAGTCCAGCTGCGTGTACAAAAGTCTCATTGTTACATTCTTCTGAAACACTGCAAGTTTATTCCAGAAAAATCAGTAGTAGGTATGCAATACATCAGTAAACTACTACAACTTGTTCACCTGAGGCAAGTGGTGTGCATTCGCAAAATCCCAAACACAGAGCTCAACTTTAGATAAGCAAAAAACCTTAATACATAGCCACATGAAGTTACGAGCCACACATTTTGAGTTCCTCGCCAGCGGTCTCAAATCATCGTAAAATCGTTTGGCAAGTACTGTAAAGGGGGTGTTTTTACTACTGTAGAATAGATTTAGATAGTTATTCTAATGAAACACGAGCATATAGAGACAGTACCTACTAAATGTCAGATCTTGGATGTGATTTTCGAGAACACGTGACTAATAATATGCCATGTCAATATTAATTTGATGCATCTCATCAACGACTCGCATCTCTCTCTCCTTAAACCTCATTTATTATGTATTCTATGACACGTTACGACTCATGGTTTGCTTCTAGTAATAACGACGACAATGCTGCATACATCACAGACTTCGAGGATGATTCCTATCAAACGACGCATTTTGGATCAAGTCGTCATTCACATTATTCTAATACATCATCGGGACATTCGCAGACACCAACTATAGACTTTCAAGTACCATCACACACGGACAATCATTTGCATAGTTCATCTTGTAGTATACTTGACTATACCTCACTTAATTCTCGCTCTCTGAGTCGACAATCCTCAACCGACAGCCAATCATCAAATACATCTTCAGTCCCAGCCTCAGTCTTGGATAACAATAACAACATCGATATTGAGGCACTATTCAAACTCAATACACCCAAATCCCTGCATGCAAAGGCCAATTGGCTACAAGTATCGGATCAGTTCAGAGACTGATGGAAAATTCTTTGTCCTGAGTGTGGAGACTGGTCCCAGACCAGTGTCCACACAGGCCTACCTCTATGCACACCCAGCCAGTTCAAATCATTAACAAATCATCGAGGAAGCAAAAAGTGCGCAGCGGCTGCTGCAAAAAAGCAAAACTCGACATCTCAAAAAGCCAGTACAATGGTTGAGCCTCACCATCAACACATTTGAGTTCATTTTGGCCGGATTTCGTCAACAATTGACTAACATTATGTCATTTTCAGTAACATGGATGATTGGGACATTATGTGGCATGTGTCATATACCATATTCCCGGGTAAAGATCCGAAGATCCGGATCTCAGATCCGATGGACATATCCGTCGTCCGGTCCACAGATCTGATCTAATCCTTATTTCATGTCCTGTTCATATAACTCTAACTATCATTCATCTCCTTTCGGCATCCCTGTACACCGGTATACCGGTTATCCTTTACTTCCGTTATGCTTACTGATCCACTACACTTACTGATCCGCTTTAGCTTAGACTTCATTCCCGGTTATGATACGTTATCCGTCCAACTTACCAGTACACTGTACACATACTTTGCTTATACTTCGTACATAGCCTCGCACCGTTGCTTATTGATCATTCCATTAGTTATCCGTAGTATATAAACCCTTGTGCATGCGCTGTAGTAGATCAGTTCAAATATCATCTTAGATTGCACTCATTCTGTCTGGACCCTAAGTCCATCCATTTATCCGTCCGGACTTGAGTACGATACTCTTGTCTACTCCGAGACTTAGGATTGATTCCTATAGTCTACATATCCGCCTCTGTCTTCGGACAGTCCTCACCCGTTAGTTTCTAGTTCGGGTCCGATCCGGATTAGCCGTTACTATATACGTTCGATATCCGGAAGCCATAATGGATCCGTTACGAGACTTATCCGTCTCAATACACGCGATACTCTAGTACTCTGAAATAAGGGGCAAGACTCAGGAAAGGGGCACAGCGCACGAGCTGAGGCCGAAGCCCTGTGGATCCGATACTACTTGAGTACGGTCTTAACAAGAACCTTCTTCCTCCAGAATCAACTCTCTATGGCACGCTGATCAACATGCCTGGACTCAACTTATTCACTGGCACAGGTGAAATGACACTCGACTTTGATTTCAAGCATATCTTCAAACGTGAGTTGTTTTTTCTTCTTGAATCAATATCGGCTGATCTTTATATTAATATAGGTATATGCATGCTCATCCGGTCACCTGCAGGCATCGTTCTTAACAATGGCCACATCATAAATTCAATGATGCTTGCACGATATCTTTCGTGGTTGCCTGCATGTGACGAGCAGGCAGTAACGAAGCTCCTCCATCCAGACGACCCTCAAGATGTTCCTCATGCAGTCGAACTTATGCTCGCAGTAATTGAGTTCTCCAAATCTCAGCATACTCTCATCAGTGATTCATTTTCTATCAATGTCGATACTTGTGCCGACCTCACTTCCATTTCTCTCCTTAGTGCACTACTTCAATCCATCCTAATTCCCTTCATCGACATCGATCTCTCATTATCACAGCAGTTTGAACATCTCAGCCGCTATGCACACCTTGCTTTCGCATTTTTCCATGCTCACCATCACTCCTTCATGTCATATCAGCTATACTATGACATGCAAACCATGGTCAAGAACGCCTTCTTCTGCCTCGCTAAGCAACAATGCCTTGACCCACGTGCTCCTTTCTTTCTTGGCGACGTCAGAGATGATCCCCTGGAGATATTGTTTGGATGCACACACATGATCGGTGGGCACAATTCAGCTTGTTCCTATGCCCAGGCTCTCGACCGCCTTGCCGCTGCAAAAGATATTGATGGGGTATTTAAGCGTCATCCCGAGCTTGATCCGGGTCACCGATGATTGAAACTAACTCATCACGAGGGGGTTGACCACATCAACTGAGAGGTCTGGAAAGGTGATACCGTCTCTGGTCAATGTGACCTCCCATTATTGTGGTGCAAAGGTTGCAACAATGCACTTTTGATACTTACCACTTCACAGCTTAATCTGGCTCATTACTCCTATGTGGAACTCTTCACTGCTACCTCCAGCATCGACATGCTATGTCCGTTTGGACAAAACAAGTATCTCGGCATCAGTGGTACAGATGACGAGCTCGACAACCCAAGCCAAGTGCCCAGACCTCCCCCTCCCATCACAACGTCTCCTACCTCACAGTGCCTACTAGAAACGGTGTTGAGTGAGGATGGTGTTGAGGGTACTTGTCCTAGAGAGTTGCAGGGAGAGAATGACAATGAAGAAATTATGTTGACATTTCAAGAGGCCCTAATTGATGACTCGCCTACTGATCCCCCCCAGCTCAGTCCAACCAGCCTCACACTATAGATCCGTTGTCCCCTCCCTTACCACAAGGCCCAGGTATCTGTCCCGACAACTATCTGCTGTATAGTGGACGCTGGATTCACAAACAGACGGTCTGCCGTCTAGTGGTTAATAAGGACTTCATTTCAAAATCGCTCAATCTACTTGAGCACATCCGTGCAGGCTATACGAAAGTCAACAAACGAATCGACATGTCAGCAGGGCGTATCACTAACCAGAACTTATTCCTCGTCGGAGATATCTTTCTTACCATCCTTCGTTCCACTCAGACTCTTTCTATTGGCATACTTCATTCGACTACAGCAACTCTCAGCGGTATTTCTCGCTCATCAATCAACATAGGTGTGATGAAAGCTTCAAGAACCACGGTGAAAATCACTGGTCAACTCCTCAGCATCATTTCTACTCGCCCTTTACCTGACATCTCCCAGGTATTCTTATGGGACAGTAGATATATTACAGCACGTTCAGTGATTCAAGGTTCCTCGCAGTCCACAGAACGTGTCATTGTTGTGACCGTCCCAGGTTCTCTCGTTGAGCCTGTCAATCCCGAGCCTACCTTCATTAGACTACGTGACGACATCAATGTGGATGAGTTCTTGCAAGTGAATGGGGGCCAGAGCACATGGCAGATATCATGAGACGCTCTGCAAGCAGCTTGTGACCTGCTATGGGTGAAAGCAGTGGAGATAAATCTCCCCCTTAAGTCAATCACAGTTGTGACTCCTTCGGACGAGACCAAATTTCCTTACAGACATTCAGATGGTAAGTGTTTTGTGTTTGTCTTGCCAATTTCTTCCTAATGGTACATTTTCACTTACAGGTACTCCCGCTGTCATTTCTATGGAAGCTAGTAATTTGCTTGGAGTGTCCGAAGGGGATCGAATCTCCGTGTGTCTCCTGTGCGAGTCAAGGGTTGTCAACATGCGCAATCATATCGGTCAACATATCCTTCGTGCACTGAGCAACTCGCCAGAGGAGGTCACATTGAAAGAACTGGTACATTTTTTATTACATTCTGACATTACTCTTATGACTATGTACAAGGTCAGCGACATGTTTCCGTGCAGCTTTTGTGGGTGTTCCAGATGACCAGAGTGTGCCATTATTATCACTGTGTGTTAAGACCATACTCAAGTAGTATCGGATCCAAAGGGCTTCGGCCTCAGCTCGTGCACTGTGCCCCTTTCCCGAGTCTTGCCCCTTATTTCAGAGTCTTAGAGTATCGCGTATATTGAGATGGATAAGTCTCGTAACGGATCCGTTATGGCTTCCAGATATCGAACATATATAGTAATGGCTAATCCGGATCGGATCCGAACTAGAAACTAACGGGCGAGGACTGTCCGAAGACAGAGACGGATATGTAGACTATAGGAATCAATCCTAAGTCTCGGAGTAGACAAGAGTATCGTACTCAAGTCTGGACGGATAACGGAGGGACTTTAGAGTCCAGGCAGAATGAGTGCAATCTAAGATGATATTCGAACTGATCTACTACAGCGCATGTACAAGGGTTTATATACTACGGATAACTAATGGAATGATCAATAAGCAAAGGTGCGAGGCTATGTACGAAGTATAAGCAAAGTATGTGTACAGCATATTGGTAAGTTGGACGGATAACGTATCATAACTGGGAATGAAGTATAAGCTAAAGCGGATCAGTAAGTGTAGTGGATCAGTAAGCATAACGGAAGTAAAGGATAACCGGTATACCGGTGTACAGGGATGCCGAAAGGAGATGAATGATAGTTAGAGTTATATGAACAGGACATGAAATAAGGATTAGATCAGATCTGTGGACCGGACGACGGATATGTCCATCGGATCTGGATCGGATCTGAGATCCGGATCTTTGGATCTGTACCCGGGAATATGGTATATGACACTGTGCCTGCAAAAGCTGCAACAACCTGGGACACCAAATGTGCGTACCAGCACTCATTCCGATAACGCGTCTGCCAATGTCAGCTCGAAGAATCAGCCATGCCGCAACGTCCCGCTGAAGTGTGAGCTCTGCCATCCTACTCTCCCTCCAGTTCCTGGCAGGAACACAAGGAAGACTTACAGTGTCCTGGTCAGTGCCGTGTGGCACTACAACATGCATGAGCATGTCTTCCGGGAGCACGAGGAATACGCGGTCCCAGGACAGAGAGAGAATGGTGTACCGCTGCCCGCAAGTGTTTGGAAGGAGATGAGGCTCACCGACCTGGAGCAGACCACTTCGCGCATCCCAAAGACTCATTGACAACCCTCCTACATTCCTCTGGGTGAAATCAGCAAGGAGAATGTGCCTCTGTTAGTTTCTCGTGGATCCAAACACACTGGAGCACAAGCTGGTCCATCCCGTCCATCAAACAAGGCCCGAACGACCGTTGGAACTGCAGTTTCTATACCCAGTGCTTGATTCCTTACTTTACGAACCTATTCCAGTCGCCTACATACTTGTGTTCATCCATTATATTACTGCAGCTGGTTGTTTTGCTTTGCAATAGTTGAATTGATCCGTTTTAACTTGTCATTTTGCGATGAATAACTACCTAATATAGCTAAATTACATGATCGGTCACGCTGTCATCATGCTGTCACAGTAGGCATAGGGGGTACCCAAGTTATGACAGGTTTGTGTCTTGAACTACTCGATCCCACACCTCTTGACCTGAGGCATTACTTCTCAGTATCAATAGAGACTGTCATATACCATATATTGAGGTACCAATCCAGACATCCAGATCTCAGATCCGATATAGATCCATTGGTTATATCCATCATCGCCAGAATTGAGGAGTAGCTCTTTGGCATAGATGAGTAGCAATTGTTTTACAGAGATCAACCAGCCTTGGTCAGTCTATTCAACTTACTTGCCTTGATGTCCATTCACATTTTCAGCACTCTAGTCAATCCAAGAGTAGTCCAGCATCCACCCCACCCACATCCAAGTCAGTGGCACCTCAAGCTGGTAGCTCCTCCATGAAGGGCTTTATCTTGGACACCAAGACCAATACCAATACTCTTGACATTGATAAGGGTAATTCCAGAGTGACAATGCAAAGTATTGATTCTGGTCATTCTGGTCGGCACAAGTTGAAGTGCTCTCATCACCAGTGCACCTTATATCAAGGTGACAAGGATGCTGGCTTACCCTCGAAGAGAGCAAGATTATTGAAAATAACCGTACATCATAATCTAGATGATAAGAGGTCCAATACCCATATTTTAAAGTGGAGTCACCCCTGCGCTCCAGGTTCTGATACCGTAAATTATCTCAATGAGTGTATGCTTGAGCTTTCCCATATTACTCGCTGAGCTCTTGCTACTCACCTCAGATATTGGTGCCTTTGCACTCACAAACTTGACCTCATGAAGGCTATTCATGAAGATCAAATGGAGTTGACACAAGCAGACTTGAGGGATGTTGATCTTCAAATCGGATCAATCCAAAATGTACTTTGCGACCGGGGGGGTCGAGGCTATAGGGAATAGGGGGCATGAATTTGACCCTCGTGATGGTGACTGTAAATATTGGCACGCCAGTCATTCCTCCGACAATGAATCCTTATGCATTCTTGCTTCTGAATCTGATGGAAGCTGTTCGGAGTCGGACGAATAATTTGGTCTATGGTGTTCTGTGCTGTTGTTTCATATGTCCATAGTGTGTGATGTATGTACTTTTGTTCCTTTGCAAGCAAGCATGCTGACTTGATATTTCCTTCTGTTTAGTGCCAGCTTGAGTGAATCTATGGCCAAGGTTGGGCATAGGTTGCATGTTGTGTGACTAATAAGTTATTCAATACATGAAAAATGATTATGACCTCACTGAACAAGACATGCTAGTGATCGCTGCACTGTACACCTCTCTAATCTCCAATCATGCGGCCACATCCAACAGCATGGTAAGTTTTGGACAGTTATTCCTTTTGGTTGAGATCACCGAACACTAGTATAATCTCAGTGATGTCTCAGCACTCAAGCTCGATCCTGTATTGAACTTAAAATTACCAGGCTGTCGCCCCAAAGTCTAACATGATCATGCAGTCTTATTACAATTATCTATGCACAAGGTTATCACTGGTGGCGGCTTACCAGAAGAGATTAAAGTAATTGAGTCTGTGCATAGGAGGGTTGTCATGGATATGATCATGATAAGAGGTTGGAACAAAAATACTACAAAGAAACAAAAACAAGCAATGCACACATATGTTAGAGAGGTGGTCAATGAAGTGAAAGTGTTACTTGAGTGCAGTGATACATACTGGATATGACATACTACACCCTGCTGCATGTGCTGACTTACAATCAGGACTAGATACAACATCTGCCCTCATGACCCTTGTCATCCAGGGCTTGACATACTGTCACTTGAGACTTGTAGACAATGCAGGAAAAGAGTGCCTGCCTCATTACCGCAACTACCTTGAGCCGCAAGACAAGTCGCTGTCTGTCGAGGATCACATTCCAAAAAGGAAGTGAAGATAGTCCTGGCTTAAGTCAGTGTGCCTAGACCGGTGTGACAATCATACCAGCGCTAGGCGCGTATGAGTGTCATAGGCATATTTTGCCTTGCCTAGAGGAAAAGAGTAAGGCGCTAGTCACCAGCGCTATTCAGCTCCCAAGCTATCCGCTTTGGAACCACTTTTCTCCCATAGCGCGCTACCCAGTCCGACGCCTAGGTATTCCGTCCTCCCATGTCCTGCCTATGTCCACCTACCTCCGCTGGTGCATTATTAGTCCTTAAATGTCGCTACTCATCAGTCGCAGGTCTTAACATGTTTCCTCATGTTCCGCAGCACTGCATGTCCTATTACCTGTCGCTACATCGTGCCCTCGCCAGTGTCGCTACTATTTGCCTACGCACTCCCAAACTTTTACGCAGTATGATAAAATGACCTGTCGCACATACAGTACAGTACTTCCCTTCCCTGGACCTTTGCTGGTGTCGGAGTCACTTTAGTCGCTATATCCTAGTTTTGGTGCAATCGATTCCGCTCTTGCCAATCTCTCTGATCGCGTGTCGCTTGACTTGCTTTAAGTGCGCGTCGCTAAAGTTTTCCTCATAAGTTCGACTTTCACAATGTCGGGATCGCTATCGGTAGTCAAGCTATAATCTAGTCGCTATCGGGCATTTCACTTGCACTGTCTTACCTTACTCCTCGCTTTCGCTCCCTTTGATTTCTTCTCGCTGTCGCTAGTCGGACATCGCGTAGCGCTATCACATAAAACAACTTGCATAGTGCCTCTCACTTAACACACGTTTCTCTGTCGGAACTCACTTGTCGCTAGTCACTGATTGCTATAGCGCTACTCATCAGTTTTAGATCTTAGGTCGCTATAGGTTATTAGTCCTTTGCACTATCGCTACCCTTGCATATTAGAAGGGAGTTGCTTCAATAGCAGTCCTCTTGGGTCGAATACTACACTCGCGCCTATTTGGATAAGTAGTGCTAGTTTCTAACTGCTTAGTCGCTATTTCTCTTTCACAACTGGAGCCCACCATGAGGGGGCCATTTGAAGCTGGAAGGCACACCGCCTAGACCTACCGAAACCCGAAAACCTCGCGACCTTAGCGACATTTCATAAGAAGATTTTTTTTACTCAGTGATAGATTCCACCAACAAAGAAGTCGAGGACAATTAACATCACATTACCTTCCGCTCCCTCGAGTTATGTTCGTGACTGTAGACACTCCCTCCACCGCATCATCACTTACCCCCTCTACTCCGTCTCATGACAAGTCACCCAAAAGGCAGAACCTTTTCGTACCCGCCTCCTTCATACCTAGCTCTATCCCATCTCCGCAAAAGCAACTAAGCACTCTCCCACTGTCCATACCCGACCCCACTATTCATACCGTGTCTTCCTCGACAGCACCGTTTACTACCGCCCTTCCTCCAGTCATACAACCTGCTCAACCTGTCCAACCCGCCATCATGTCTTCCGCACCATTCAAGATGCCTCTTAGAGGAACTGACGCTGCGCCAAAGTTCAATGGCACACCAAGACTATGCAGGACTTACCACTGAGCAGCGCATCAAGGCTGCAATCCGATATGCACCTGTAGACAAGTTGGAAACATGGGCATCAAGACCTGCTGCAAAAGGTAAAGATTGGGACATACACGATGATGGGATCCTGGTATGTTACACAGCTTCAAGGAAGTAGGGTTGAAGTAGACATTAAAAATGTGACCACTGAGACGTTCAATGGAGTTGTTGAATGGCAGGATGTGTATTCACTTGTCGTGAATAATTTCTTGCTTCTCTGACATGTGTTCAAACTTCCATTGAATGTGTGGGCTCTCGTCCATGCGACTTGGGGTCTGAATGCTTGGCATGGCCACTGAGGTTAGTGGATATCAAAATATCAAAATAATGTACCATTGCCCACACAGATAAAGTTTCCCTCGTGATGAAGCTAGACAATGTCTCAGCGGATGTGAATAGACAACGCTAAATTAGATCTACCTAGACAATGTCTAAGGCTACATGTCAGCAACAAGAGTAAGTACAAGTAGTAAGACATGCATACCTCAGCGGACGTGAATAGACAACGCTGAGGTAGGGCTTTGTGCAAGAAGACTTTAAGTATCAAATGGACACATGTCCGAGACGGAAAGACGATACCAGTGACAACGTGTGATGAGGTGATTTTGACATATGTCCCTGAAGATGTGGATGGCGTCGTCCATGTGCATATGTGGATTGCCAGTGGTCAGTATTTGACCTACCGTGGTTCGCATCCGTGTTCTGTATTTGTTGGTGGTTTTCCGGGTTCTTGTTATAGCATTTTTCGTGATGCATATAGCGTCATTTTCCTCGATCCGATTCCTTCGTTGCCTGTGAATCATGCCCTATCTTCTTCTGTCAATGGATGTATTCCTTGGCATGGTAATATTCCCGTTGTCAAGCATGTAGGCCATAACCAATGAGTGCTACAGTCTATATCGTTTGAGGAGAAGGCTCTCATGGATGCTCTTTTGTTAAGGTCCGTTGTCTTCTTATGTTGTTGATGCCTTATTTAAATTTCTGTCTGGTGCAGCCTCTCTATGTTATTGTGGAGTCCTCAATGATGCTTTGCTTCAATGTCTACCGTGGTGTAATTACAATTGTTCTATGTATCTTAACAATCGTCTTTTGCTAGCTTCTTTGATTGGGTCAGTCCCGCTCTTCATATACCACCACAGTGTTCTTGCAAGCTCTTCTACATCTACATCACACTCTGGTGACCATGCATCGAAATTTTCTCCATTCTTAACCACGAATATGTCTCCCTGTGGACAATTCTTTTGCCAAAGATCTCTAGCATGATAGGATGATATGGTTGGTCATCATCTGCTCTGTGTGCATGATAGATATGATAGTACCAAGAGGTGATCGATATTTGTTGTGGAAACAATACTATCAAGGGTATCATCAGTTTTCCCCTTGGTAGTATTGCCTCAATCACTCATAAAGCATCTACATCTGACTGTGGGCGTTCTTGGTTAATTGGTTGGAGCCAGTTCTTCAATGATATTAACCCCTCTTTGACATCGAAAGATAGGGGTATATCACACGGAACTATGACCCCAATGCATGGCACTAGCGCTTCATGTTGGGTTTTTTCTGACCATAACTTCTTAACTCTCTTTAAGAAGCTCAGTATGATTTGACGGTCACTCTGACAAGATGCTCACCTTGGAGCTGACATACCATCCCACATGTTCTTGTTTGAGCTGCTCACATACTTGCTGATTCGTAAGAGTCTGTCCATTATTGAGGGATCTGATGGCCTCTATGAGTATTTGTGTCATTGGTGGACTCTTGTTGTCTAGCCCGTCCATGGATGATTGTGTATTTAGCAGTATATTGAACGTCCTAAGCAATACACACAAGATTCTGACATATCCTTTTTTATATTACATACACCGGTGGTGAGGTCATGTGATACACAAGTCGTCATTTATGTAGTCTTAGTCAAATAGCCAACCTGTCAATCTTGCTCATTGCTTGAGTTTCTTCTTCAGGCGCTGGTCCAATATTAAGAAGTGAAATTGCCAGCATCTCATACTGCACTCGCGATTGCCACTTGCCATCTTCTCCTTTCTTGGAGTATCGCGTCAACCTCATCTCCAGGAGGATGAGATCATCAGCCTTCAGATCTGCCAGGTTCCACAGCGGGCGTTCATCGTATGTCTTAAGTGATCCTTCCTCCCTAGCATTGTAGACTGCATCGAAGAGAATTGCCTGGACTAATGTGTTAGCATGAATAAATGACATTGAGCATGTGTTACCTCTGTCTGCTCATTGTTGCTCTTTGCATTTTGCCATTTGATGGCTCTGATGCTGTGGGTGGATTGTTGGTTCACGGCTATGGTAGTTTGAGCATAATAAGAAGTATGTGACCGAAAGCAAACACTCATGCAATACAGGATTAGATAATTTCGCCAGTAATTGCGCACTCTGTTGTGCCAGGTTCTGGGAAAGTGGAAGCATTGTGATGGATGCTTGATTCTCAGGCACTCCTTGCCTGGTGAACCACTTGCATGTGATATGGCCTACTACCCATATGGTGAGTGGTTCTCCAGTGGCTGGGTCGCATAGGATTTTGCTGCGGTCGTTTACCAGTTTGTATTGTCCCCAGGTGGTGGTCGGCAATAGTTTTCCCAATGCGTATATGTTAGCCCTCTGGTTAATGTAGTTTGATAACTTATAGAGATGTCTATGCAAGTGTCAACGACCATTGCCATCTATTGAATGTATATACTTACATTTTCAATGAATCTGGATAATCGCTCATGGCATCTCCATCTATGAGCAGTTTAGTCAGGTTGGGGATATATAAATACGTGTAAGAATGTAATGACACCACAATTACACTGGATAAGACTTCTTGCCAGTCCTTGATTAACACGGTCTACGACTTTTCTTCTTTCGTGGTAGATAACGTGTGAGTTCTTGGGAGGCTCGCTAAACCAATCAGTCAGATTAACTTAGCCGGAGCTTTATTATCTCTGATTGAAACTATGGGATTGTCTAGGATATACCGTCTAGACACTTGAATTGGTTTCCTGAATATACGATTAACTGTTGAGAAGCTGGTCTCAAATGTGACTACGTTGACCAAAGCTCGTGTTGGTCAATATACAAATACCTGGTGAGAATGCTGGTCTCACAAATAACAACAATGACCAAAGCTCGTGTTGGTCAGTATACAAATACCTGGTGAGAACACTGGTCTCACAAATAACAACGGTGACCAAAGCTCGTGTTGGTCAGTAAACACTACGTGGTGAGAACACTGGTCTCACAAAACTGGGTTTCTATCGCGAGAAACTTACGTAATCTCATGGGAAACACTTTCCCTGCACTTGTCTGGACAGTTCTTACAAAGGAAATGGGCTTTGTAAGCAGCAATTTGTTCAGACTGAAGCTTCTTAGGTGAGAGTTCAATTTGCTCAAGTGGGAGATTCTTGAATGCAACAAGTGGGAGATCTATTTTTTGGGGGGGAGAATGGGCTCTCCTTATATACATTTTGTGTGGGAATATTATGTAAGTAAAAGGTGATGTAATGACTTCAGAATGTGAGAAGAATATTCCAAAAACTGGAGCAGAATGTTCTAGCAGGTGCAAAAGAACATTCCAGAATATTCATGGTGGGATAATGACATCATTCTGAGTCACTATGAGTCACTATGAGTCATTATGAGTCATTGGAATGTTCTAGCAAATTCCATGGAACATGACATCATTATGACATCATACCCTGTAGGTACAATTTTATGAAGCATCTGATTAGTCAGAGCATCCTAATAGAAAAGTAAAGTAAAGAAACACTAGAGAAAACAACTCAGAAATAATGGAACAAATAATAGTACACAATACACGGGCTTTTTAGATAGGTTTTTGTTAGGCTTTGAACTTTTCTCTATGGGTTTCTCTAGCCAAAGTGAATAAGCCAAATGAAAGGCAATACCTTAACCTTCATTTTGCTTCTCATATCAACTAGGTCATTATGTGATTCCCATCTCACATATGACTTTTCTTCAAAACATGGTGGATTCATGAATCACTGAGGGAAAACTGAAACTATTGGACCAGGGTTTGATACCAAGGTATGGGTTGACTAGTCTGAGGACTAAGCTAACAGACTTTGTCTTTTAGGGGGATACCTAGTAGTCATGTCCATGCATGATTCCAAAATCATGCAGGACAACGTCTCTTGGGTAGATGTGCTGGCTTCGGCACATCCCTCTTTTGCATCATCTTGGTTGTCATGAGTCGGCCTGTTGGTGCAATCCTGCCTTCAAGTCAGTCAATGTCCTCTCCATCTCTTTATTGCAAGGTAGGCTCACTCAGCAATTTGCAAATCTCCTGCACTATCATCTCTTTCGTCAGCTCTCTCCCTGCCTCCACTAGACACCCCTTTCCAAGTGGTGTGAGTGGAGCAAAGCATCTTCTTATGAAAGATATACTCACCTGTGTCAGTCATCTTAATCTTTTTATTAGGCCATGTGTGCGTTGCCGATTCTCTATCTTCGACAACATTGTTTTTAGATTTGACCATGATGATGTCGTTGGTTAATCAGATTGCATGAAATTTGTATTAAATAGCTTCTGACTCGTAAATAAACAACGGCAAAGTACCTGCAACATGATTAGTCATTTGAAGCCCCTTATTCTTTGTCGAAGATCAACATAGTATGCCTTTTCTTGATTACTCTTTCTTGCGAAGGCGGCGTAGTGGTGTGTTTTTGGTTGGGTGGCTTATCAGCCTGATATGAATAGTCAGTGTAAAAATGTCCTTTAATTTATCCGGATGCTCACCTCAGCTAACTGTTGCACATAATGTTCCGGAATTAATCACACAACGTGTGTGCAAGTCAGAAAGCACTTTAGTATTGTGCCCTTGTGTCAATCTCGACTCATTACGAAATCCAATTCAGCCCCGACATCTACGAAATCACCTTCTGTCAAATGAATAGCATCCATGGGCAGGACTTTGCCTTTGCCTGTTAAGTCAGCTACAGTCAAAGGATGGACAACATTCCACAATTCCTGCACACAGATGTATTTGCCTCCTGGATCTTGTGCGGCCATGAGCGCAGGTTCCTTCAATTGTTGGGGTTGATCTCTCTGTCACTATCTTGTCAATTCCATCTAGCCAATGTACGTAGCGCACACTAACCTTAATGAATGCCCACCTTTGCAAGTACAATTCTTTCCTGCTCACGATTCCTTGCATTGGTACATGCAAACATCAACTGACATATTCACAGGCAAGATTAAGGGAATGGATGGTAGCTTCCCAAGCTTGTTGGTGTCCTCCACATGAAATATGCATGTATTGGACAGCGCATGTAACTTCTGATTCATCCCTGCAATACCTGAGCTACATGTCATTATATAACTTTACATCAAGTACTCACCCAGACCAATATCCGAACCTCTCGATACAAAATCTGCCTAACATTCCTTGAAGACAGATGGCCACAGGATAGATGGTTCCCGGTTGCGCGTCTTCTACATCTTTGTAGATTAGGATGTGGTCCCTTGACTTATCTTTTTGCTTGGGATCTTGATATACATCTGCCCATTTCGCCATGGCTTGCAATGAACATGGAAATAATTGCCATGCAACATAGCCTTCATCTCCTTGCAACCTCCTAACCTCGTTCTTCATAGCCTTAGGCCACAACTCAAAAGCCATAGTGTCTTCAGAAGCTGCGAACTTGATAATGCATCATCAAAACTGAGAGTGTGGTGTGAAAGCTTACCAGCTAAGAAAGACATGATGGTAAGAATCAGATTGAGCAATGGGCGTAATGTTCACCCTTGCTGGACCAGTCTGTCTTGGTTTTTTGATGTCATGTCCAAATAAGTCACGTGCTGGTTCTGTTTCCATCCACCACAATAATCCAACTAAAAAAAAGCAATAATGATGCTACTTCATCATAGGCCAGATTCGCCAGAAGTGATATGTTTATGCAAATTATAGGACAACTCCGGCAATGGTATAGATGGGGGAAATAATTGTCGCAGTCTGGCGATAACACAGAACACTGCCGTGCCTGCAGCCTCAGTGTGTGAACACGTCTAAGTTGAAGAACACTCTACATACTAATTATGTGCCTACCCAGTGCTGTGTGGTTCGATGCCTTTTGTCTGTCAAGAACTGTGTCTTGTAGGCAAAATGTACTGCAGACTTGGGCTAGGGGTTGCACCAAAGAGGTGACTAGCTCACAAATCGTGCAAGTGGTTGCGTCACCTCGGTTCTTTTCTCACCAATATGCATCAAAATTTCAGGCCATGGAAACAACCTTACAAAACTCGAGAAAATGACTACCATTAATGTTCGACACGCCTTAATCTTGATTATTAACGTGTTTGAGGAACATGTGAGCACCTTGTCATTGTTAAGCTTGAGAATTTTCACTTGTTGGGCATTAGTAAATTTTGCAAGCAGTAGAACCTGGACACATTGTCCCAGTGCAATCTCATCAACTAGAAAGCAACTAACTACTCGACACTGAAGCCAACACACACAGGTGTGCCGATCGATAAGCAAATATTTACCCGGATCCTACATAACTTTATGTCTGTTGACTTTACTTGTGACCTCATCTTGCTATCCCTTTCTGACTTCAATGGACAGCGCACGAACAATGATCATATGCAAATGTCATCTCCCTGACACGTCATACATTGTTATGTTGATATGTCACACATTTTTCGACCTTTCTATCTTGCTTCAAATACTTTTGACGTGTCATCATCGCTAGGTTGTCTAACCGTCGCATTTCTTCCCACATATCACCTTGGAGAGATGTTAAGACCGTAGCTCAAGGGTAGACGGATCTGAAGGGCTTGACCTCAGCTCGTGCGCTGTGCCCCTTACCCGAGTATGTGCCCTTAATTTCAGAATGAAGTCCAGATGGAATCCGACGAAGTCCGAAGGACTTCCGGAGGCTGGCTACTCTGGTTGAGTGCTGGAGGACTTCCGGATGAGTGCGGGAAACTTTCGGATGAGTATAGGAAACTCTGGAAGAGTTTCACCCGCTGCATTAGATCCGAAGGTAAGCTCCCTAGATGGAAACACATAGAAGATTGGCTGCAAGGGACAGAGTCCAAAGCAGGATAGGGTAGGAGGAGTGGTCTGAAGGACAGGACGTCCGGAGGTCCGAAGGTTAAGACGTCCGAAGGTTGCGTCGTCCGAAGGTTACGACGTCCGAAGGTTGCGACGTCCGAAGGTTGCGACGTCCGAAGGTTACGACGTCCGGAGGACCGGAGGAGCGGACAGGATTCTAGGACAAGAGAAGAAGGGCTACAACGGACAAGGTCTGGAGTAGAAACAGACGGAGGTAGACTACACTATGGTAGAGTCGGATAGACAGGGTTTAGACAGAAGTCTCGGAAAGACAGGAAGTGCCGGAAAGGCAAAGCTTTGGCTTAGGGAGTCAATCCCTAAGCATGGATATAGACGGAAGGATAAATCCGGAGGACCGGAAGGTTGGCCTAGGGAATCCTTCCCTAGGCCTAAGGAAAGGCAATACTAAGATGGACTGAAGTCCGAGATCAGAATGAGTGAAGTCTAGGATGCGAGAGAGCAAGTCTATGTTGAGCAGAATCTAAGATGATATTCGAACTAAGGAAACTTTACAGGAGTTGTACAGAGGTTTATATACTGGACGGCATCCGAGAGGATCAGTAAGCTGAAGACAAATGCTATGTATGAGCATGTGGAAACATATTGGTAAGTATGAACGGAACATAAACAAATGAACTCAGAGATGAACAAAGTACAAGGATCAATAAGCAAGACGGAAACACAGATAACCGAAGTCCGGAGTCAAGAGGATTACCATAAGGAGATAGACGCTGATTTAAGGTTTGAGCTTCGGATATGAGTATAGGTCGGATCCGGAGGTCTAGAGATATCGGATGAGGCGTCTGGATATCGGATGAGCGGATCCGGAGATCTAGGTGAAGACGAGACTAGGATATAGATCATGGATATCATCTGGTAGTCTAGGGAAGGTAAAGTCTCAGGTAGGATGAGCTCGGATCCGATGGGATCAAGGGTGGATGAAGCAGGCATAGCTGTGGAGGTCCGAAGGTATGGATATATGGATGTACGAAGGTGTACGGATCCGAACCGATAGTGGACTGGAGGACTGCAGGCATGGATAAGGGTGTGGAGTCATGGATAAGGGTATGGAGGTCCGGATGTGCATCCGGAAGGCGTCCGGAAGGCGTGGGAACATCATCGGACATAGGTCCAGAATACGGGATATGACAAGAGATCCATAAAGAGTCCTGGATAAAAACCATTACAAAATCACCACATCTTCTAAACAACTAGCTTGGGATAACATTACATAGATACTTTGAAGGGATTTTGCACCGGTGAAATCAATGACAACTTTTGGCATTGTGCTCCCTTGAATCTTATAGTCTGTGAAAGCCCAGCCCAGTAATATCAGCAATTGTATGCACCTGACATAGATCTTCTTTGCTTCAGTTGGAAATTCAAAACTACTTGTCACTGGCAATATCGGTACGACTTTATCAGAAAGCCCAGGTATGTATAAAGTGCTGTCAGGAATGTGTACTAAAGCACATACAGCAAATTTGTTACCTGTGTTATCGACATTGTAAGTCACAGACTTCAGTATACCTCTGCTACCATTGATGATCCTGCTACTGGTCGCGGCATTTTCGGTAATCATTACGGACATGCCAGGAATCAGCGGCAATTTACCAATTGCATCACTTGTGCTAGAAGTGCTCATCTTCCACAAACGGCGTTGTTGCTCACTTATCACAGGTTTTTTAGATATTTTGTCACGCGCATGATACATCTCGAAATGTTGGCCTGATTTGATTGCGAAATTCCATGCCTTTGACTCATTCAATGCGTCTTGCAGAAATTTTCCAGTGACCACAATTGGGGCATCTTTAAATTTGACGAATTGTGCGGGTGAGTGATCTTTGATTGCATCAAGCAAACGGCTTTTTAGGGTGTCATAATCACTCTGATCTGTTAAACCTACAGCGCATTTTTTAGTCTTGCCTATACAGATTCAATTAAGAAGATCAACAAAGGCGGCATCATCTTTTGCCTGCCAATTTTGTCTAAGTTCTACAATAGTATTCACCTGCTGCCACAGAAAGCGCCATGAAGTGCAGATTGTCCTTTGATTGTTTGTGTAGTCGCAGGTGTGAGGCGATTCACAAGCACATGACTGTACAAAGCATTCGATTTCGGTGGACGTAATTGCCCAATGTCTCCCCAAAAAATGACATTGATTCCCCCGAAAGATTTGTCTCTTGTGCTTGCATCCCACGATTTAGCTTGAGATATTTGGTTTGATACTTGTATCATCAGTTCCGCAGACATCAACGACACTTCATCCAAAATAAGATATTCTACATATCACCAGACAAACACGGGATCCTCCTGCTTGATGGGTACTTGTCTCTTTGGCAAAAAGGTCATTGCATGAATGGTATATCCATTGATGAAAACTGCTGTGCTCCTGGTCGGCGCACTCAATGTCAATTTCTCAGGTGCCCCACATCACTTGAATAATTCCACCATCACACAAATCACATGGCTTTTTCCTGAGCCACCTATCCCAGTTATAAACATGAGTAACTGCTGGACATCATCGTGCACAAAATGCTCGCCAATGATCCTAAAGCTCATCTCCTGTTCAGCATTACCATTTAATTCAAACTCTTTAACAATGTCTTCTAATATAGTCATTTTGTCTGCCCGCATGAGCTCAGGACGATGAAATATATTTGTGATTTCGACATTTTCTTCCATCTGCGCCAAAGACAACGTAGGAGAAGTCTCTTGTTGCTCAAGACGTGCTCATTTCACTTCTGCATCAGTTGCACCAACATCTAATGGATGTTTGCATTTTTAGCCGCCTTCATGATAGTTGTGTATTCCTGGATGCGTGATCAAGCCTGCTCCGTGAGTTGTTCATTTGGCCCTTGTAATTGGCTAATGTGTGCGTGGTCCTCATTGATAGCGGCTGTTAGCAATCCGCCATCTTTCGCCAAGTGCAGACATGCCCAGATATCTCCAATGTGCTTGGTTGTGTCAATCTTAGTTTCTGGTGTGTAAGTCTCCCCTCCTTCCACCTCATCGGGGTCTAAAGCAGTGTTAGCGAATAATGCCTCATCAAAGGCCGTCATATCCTCTTCGACATTATCCTCCTCTGTACCCGTGAACCCAAATTTGTGTGGTTTAGCTTGATCTGCAATAACCAACGCAGCATGAGCATCTCGTGCGTCTTTACACTCGTTCTCCACGTGCATATTGTGAATGATCTTACATAAATCCAGTGCGAAAGTCTGTCGCTCAAATGTATCAGCCCATGTATCATTTGCGTTTTTCAGTTCTTCAAAAGTATGCCAAGGTGTAAACAACAACAATATAGCCCGACAATATATCTCATAGTCTTCTGTCGAACCATCTGGTCGTGGAATGGCAGCACCTAGCATTACAGGGACAAGAGGGGATTTTCACAATCGCATATAGTGGGTTTCGCTCTGTCCATGTTCCAGTAAGAATTTGGCTCGAGGCAATTTCTGTTGTTTATGTTTTCTAGGGTTCCTATCTCCATCAATTGATTCACAATTGGAATCAACCTCACTGGTGTTTTGATCAATGATTTTGCCTTTGACTTTGATAGTGTATTCGACAAATTCCCAATGGCAGACATGCCCAAAATTTTCATCCTCTGGTCGACAAATATAGTCTTGAATGTCGCTTGCAAAGTCCACAGCTTCCGCTGAAATGTCAACAGTGACTGCCTCTTCAATGTACATTGGTTCGTTGTCATTCTCAACACCTTGATTGTCCGATTTATGCAGGTCGCATTCGAACTTGTCTACCGCATTAGTAAATTCGAACCATTTGAACACTTGAAAGGTATGACTGGTGTAATGATCCCCTCCACCTACTAAACAACTCATAACTTGTTGATGGGACATTTCCTGACGACCCATCATCGCATTGACAGATTTTGTAATCAATTTTTGAGCAATGCGAGTATCATTCATATCTGTTGTGCCGACATATTTAACCTCATGCATTTTAGTTGCATAATCCAATGCCTGGAGACCAACATACATTGGAACATCTCCCTTTGTGATGTACTCTGTGATATAAAATACTGCGGCTTTTGCTGCTTCTCCTGAACCAATAAATTGTGTGTCCGTGTTACATTGCATCAGGTATAGTATCAAATCAGTGAAGCTATTAACATGCCCGTGCCAGCGCTGGAGTTCAATGAAACCAGTTTCTTCATCTATCATTGTCTGTTCCTGAAGTTTGCTGTCTAAGCACATCCTGCAGTTAGCGTCGCCTCTCCTTTAGCCATTGCTGAGATGCTTATAACAAGTTTCATTGTGAACGTGCCAGTTACATTCTACTGCTAGTCATGTCAAGAATTCTGTGTATTCATACTGAAATGATTGATCATCCAATTCCGCTAACTGTGGTTGTTTCTCTAGATGAGGATCCATATCCTGTTTGCCTTGTGATGGTTTCTTGACATCTGCAGTATATCGCTCTGGGACAGGGCCGATGTCATTCGGTAACTCACAACTAATAATATTTTCTAGCAGAGCGAATACAACACCTTTAAAGTGACCATCTTCAGTCATTCTGTCTCACAATTCCTGAGGACTAGGATTTCCCACAATTCACAGGAGCATGCCCCTTCCCTGCGCTTCAACCATTCCATAATAAGCCTGACAATGTCTGAACACACCAGGGCCATGTTTATATCTTATTATTATATCAATGAAAGCCTTTATTTGCATGTCAAATGCGATAGCAGCAGCATCTGGTCGTTCTGCTACTACTTTGGTGCGCTCAAAGGACCCCATCACCATCCAATCATTTAATTCGATTCCAGTGAGCACAGGAATCACACTACTCGTCAGATCATGAGGATTGACTATCACGAAAATTGCAGGAGTGCAAAATTTCTTCATCAATGCGCGAATTTCATTACGACGACATAGCTTGTAGCCAGCACTACCTCGAAGAAATTTCGTAGAGGCTTGTAGACATCGGAGAATGCGGGCAGCTTTCTTTTCTTCTGTTGTTGATGGTGAACTTCCAGTAGAATGACTCCACTTTTCAGCCAAAAGCGTGAAGGTAGGTGCAATATCCTTTAAATCCTTGGCGAGATTGTATTGCAGCGAAGCACTTATGCGAAAAGATGTATTCATACTGACCTCTTTCTTTTGGATCATATTCCAACAAATGAAAGCAAAATTGGCATCGACTCGAAAAGGCAAATCATCTTGCAACAAAAGGTTTTTCACTTGGGCTTCCATAGACAAATACTGTTGTCGTGTCCTCCCACTATGATAGAAACCGCCTATATCCCAAGGGTCAAGGTGTGGAAACAAATAAGACATCAGACCCGGATCATTATCCATGATAAATTGAGAGCCTGTACGAGATAACAGAAACTTCTTCTGATCTAAACATAAGCTAACACATGTAGCTTCATTTTCTCTCGACTTGCTGAAGAGTGATCACCTTTGGTATACCCCATGGCCTCCATGACATACTCAGTCACATCAGCCTCGACAGAACCACAGCCATCCGTCACTTCAACGTGATCATCAACGTCGTCTGAACTCTCTACATCCGCAGGCAGATGGCAGATCTGTAATGCACGTGGAATGGCGCAGTCCACATTACCATCTGCATCATCAAACAACGAATCCATGTTCTCTTGGCTATAAGACACACCACTGTGCTGATACTACAGATTATTGGCGAGCAAAAAGTCAATAAGTCATTGCACTCGGCTTTTAGTGACCATCACAGGTCACATGGACTTGACTGTATCTCTGGTAGGAACCTGCTTTTGACCAGCAAAAATGACACACATGGTGTCATGCAGCTCATCAAGACAAGGCGGTAATAATGTGTGCAATTCAGTGGAATCTAGTGCTCTCACCGTGATGTTTCCTTTGTTATATTGCTGAGAAGTCTCTTCTGCAGTCCAATGCAACGCAAAAGATGATTTGTAGGCATAATGATGTACAATTTGTGACACACGTGCACGAGAAACCAACATCAAATCATAAATTGAAGCTTCAGAGAATGCTGAGCATATCACAGGTGGCAGCCATTCATGCACGTAATATTGGAAATTGGCCAAAGAATTAATGGGTTGGCGTGGAGACTTAGATACCAAAGCTGAACGACAAGGCCAACACAGATATAAATCAGATTTTGACCATGGATCTTGTAGACCTTTAGGATACAAGATAGCCTGCTCAAACAATTCAAAAGTGTAAGTACATGGCAGAGTGTGCTCCGGCAAACAATCATTACGGAGGAGATATAATGGCACCTTTTGAACGTCAACAAGCACCAGTTCCATTGCTGGAACATTGTGTGCACAACTTGCACATGCGCAGCGTCTCAGAGACTCCGGGCTCATCAGTTGCTGCCATTCAGCTATGATAACTTTTTTATCATCAAATGATAACAAGACCGGAAAAACGTGATCATCCTCAGTATGAACAGTATGATGTGGGCGAGATTCCCGATGCTGCTTAGCTTTAATTGTCTTACGATTGTTCACCAGAACACCCTTGAGCCAAGGAACTTGTGAGCGAGTCACTGGCTGCAAAGGTACTGAAAATGGATCAGGCATCATCTGGTGCGCAAAGTATTGCCAAGGTGTCTTTAAAAGTTCAAAGACCACGAGATTATTGACACACTGAACATCACATACATGGACTCATAACATGTCACATAAATGATCTTTGCGATCAGAAGCTCGGACACAAACAAAATGTGCGCCGGCGATAGCAGCATAATCATTACGACTCATATAAGGGAAGTTCTCCATGACATGCCACAATGCAGGAGCACTGACAGGCAAAAATGGTCCAACGGGATACTGGTCACAAAAAGCTCGTTGAACTTGAGAGACCTCAGAGAACTCAAAAAACTTGCATAAAACGCAGGAAGAGACGACAGACAAGGTGTCGTCAAAGAACTCCTGATCCGACGAGACCAAGGATACAGGAGGCATAAGGACAGAGGATGTGGCAGACAAAGAAGATGACAGCCAAAGTCTTCATCATCCAAGGCATCCATCTCGAGTTCCCGGTCAATGTCTGACCCATCTTTATCCTCCATATATTCCTGCTCAAAATTATTTTCAGGCCGTCAAACATGACACTAACAGTGTCTTCATTAGCATCTAAACTCGAATCAGAGTCATCTGAACTTTGGCTACGAGACTCTCCATTGCTTGCACCCATCATAGATGAAGCCTCCGAGGGGGAAGAAGGTTGCCTGCATTGGCCCTGACATCAGTGAACCAATGAATGTATTAAAATGTCATAGTAGACTATATATTGATAACCATCACAAGAATCTCCGTAAATGTGGCAGTGTGTGTTACATATACATATTTGACCTTATGTAGGCACAATGTATTTGAATGGTGGTGAACCACGTTATCCTGTGCTCAATGTACAATCTTCTGTTTAGATTATCCTGCAAATGCGAGATGGTATCCAGGACAACTCAGTAAAATGGTGGGCCATCAGTGCCATGAGGACCGCAAAAGTTGCCACCTATCATTGGTGCGAGACCCTGGCGTCATGCGACAATCAGTAAAATAATAAGCATAGGTCACTTGTTTCCTGCGTGGCAGACACTTGCCTAGGCTGACTGAGATATCCAGACTTCAGATCAGTTCCATCACCTACCCAGTGCGTGTCTTATGTTTGGGACTTTCAATTGCAAATTTTCCACGACCAATGCTACATGCAGACAAGATGATGTTAGCTGTAGCACTCATGAATATAGTCATTTACATACAAAAGATCCCTTTGACTCGGTAGATTAGAAAGTGCAATAAATTTCGCAGTAGATGACATGCTGAGGAGTACTGTAGAGATACGCACCTAACTTCGTCACACCGTCACAGGCCCAACAAATCAAAGCTATTTCGAGTGACTGTCACACAAATTCAAGGTTGTTGAAGTTAATTTGTGACATATTGTCAAAATACAAAAAAAATGCGTAGAACACTATCAATGTTGCCAAAAATTGTTGTAACGAGTATTTGCAGTACGTCTGCGTTTTCCACGACCACTCTCAATGTCATCAGTGCCATGATTGTCCAGGATTGTTTCAGAGTTCACCATCCAAGAGCTGAACTGATGCCTTACCGAACATTGGAGGATCCATGTTTATATGACATTGTATACACATATAGAGAAGCCTGACAGATGGGTAGATACAAAGTGCCCCATGGTGAGCGCAAACCTGAGGATCACTGTTTGCATTGACCAATCGAGAGCCTGTTGCTGCAGGCACTGACAGCGGCTGGTAGTGGTGCTTCGAAGCTATTTGTCAGATGTCACAGGTCACACCCGCCTTCGAAGTATCGAAGCTAATGTTCAGTTGGTCACACCCAAATCATGTCAAAGTTAGGTGTGTATCTCTACAGTATGTAGTATGATCATCATTCATTTTGATCCCCAATTGGTGCGATATATAACAGTAAATGATTGCATTAAAAACAATTATTGTAATGAGCATGGATCAATCTACTCCGAGTCAAAAACTGAATCCTCTAGCACCTTTCTCTGCTCGGCCAACGCTGTAACAGACATTTTCGAAACGACTTCCGGTGTTAGGTCCTCGTGGTGGTTTTTTCTGAAAACCTTCCTAAGAAATTATGTTAGATATCTAATACATAGTACGGCACAACATAGACAATACCTGGTCCACCATTCAAGAAGATTGGCCACCCTACGTTGTGCGATGGGGCCAGGGACATCCTCGAAGAAGTTGACGATGTTGTTCCAGAATGATTCATAATTGAAGTCACCATCGACAGTGCGCCAAGACGAGACATTAGACAGCACGAAACGAACCTGTCAGAAGAACTTTGTAAGCTAGATATCAATGGTGGAGTATTATTTTTACTCACTTGACAGACAACATAAGTGATAGAGCGAGCGGTTACCTTCCTCATGTTGATGATCGAAGCCACGCACATTTTAACCTTCACTGGATTTAATGCCCGCCGAGCGCGCCTGGTATTCTCAATAATATCAGCACCATCACCATCACCATCAGCTTCCCTTGCAGAAGATAGAGACGTAAATATGGCTTTGAAAGCCTGGCACAGTGACAACTTTGAGTCGATATTCAAGACTACGACCACATGTACTGACCTGAACTAAAATCTTGGACTTTAAGAGACCTTTCTTGAGGTCGCTAGCGTTGAATGAGTAGTTCTCATAAACAAAAAGAGGCCAAGAGTTTTCCGACACAATATAATCAGATGTTCTATCGCAAATGCTGGCCTTTACGCTGCCCAGGCTTCAGCGTCACATAATGGTCTGGCAAAGGTTGATACTCACCAGTTGTTGCTCCAGTCCCACTCTGCAGGGCAGAGCAATTTCCCACAAACGTTGTGTGTGAACCCTCGCAACTGCTTGTCATCAGACCTGAGTAGATGGGACGGGCGAAAATCCTGATTGACCCATGCAGCGATGAGGTCCTTGAGAGTGGACATATCGTCACCATGGGCCGCATCAGCTCCTCTTTTGAGCTATAACATTATGAGTAAACAACACGAAATTATTGAGAGCACGGACCTTTTTCAACATGTCTTCGCAGTCATTGATGTCAATGGCTCCAAGCTTAGGATGCAGCCACAGCAGAGCCTGCGAGAGTGCAATGTAACCACATTGCAGTTGATCTTGTCTAAATAATATTATTAAACCTGTCATGGGGAAAAAGACGACTTACTCTATGGTGGTGTCCACCACGAAGCCGTCCACCAAACCTTCATCGCACCTGCGATCGTTCTCGGCTATCAAGTCCTCCAAGCTAGTATAGAGGACAGCCATTCGGCAAATTGCCCTGCCTTGAGCAACATAGTAGGTTGTCTTTCTTTGAGAAAAATGAGGAAGAGGCAGCGAGGAAGATGGAATGTGACGAAGATGAACCTCTGTTTCGTTCCTTTTTCTTGCTTCATGATGTCCAGTTCTTCTTCCAATGCAGCAATGCGGCGCTTGGCCCTTGCCTCCGCAGAGGTGGGAACTGCTCCAGAGAGGTCCGGAACTACGGGCGCGGAAGGATGAGTTTGATCAAGATGTTCATGCTCTGATGGAGAGTGGGACTGGGACTGGGACTGGGACTGGGACTGGGACATGACAAGTGGCAAATGTTGTAAGTAAGATAAAGAGCGGTTGGTTAAAGAGAGGAAATAGAAAAAGATAATATAGAACGAGAATGGAGAGTGACAGCTAAACCTCAGAACTGTAGAGGAGGATGAAGGTAAGAAAACTGGTGACACACCATCAAGTTTTATATACTCGCTACATGTTGAGACATAAAGGGTAATGCCTAATGAGGATACGACAGAAACCTGATGATTTTGAGCCAACTCATTACCATCCCGAATATCCTGATGGTCACATGTACTAGAGTACTTGTGTCATCCCGGAGTCCACATCTTCTTCATGATGAAGAGTGGGTTGATAGGGGATGTAATGATGAGGTGCGTTGGATGCGGGAGATCGAGTGGGGTGACAGCGCATACATGTGTCTTGCACCTGAAATTAAATGATTGTGATTGTAGATACATAGTGACTTGAATTGCAGCTATGACATACTACTGGCAAGCTGTACTATTATATCATCTCATGCACCGCACCAGAATCAGGCATACCGCGACAAGCCTCATGGAGATGTTGAGAAAGCACCCTTAAAGAAATAGTGAATTTGTCATCCCTGAATAAAATTGAAATAAACAAAATAACTCACATTGTTTGAGAAGACCCATTTTGAGAAGACCCATCAAAGGGGAAAATAACTGCTGGAGAGTTTGGCGGCGCAGCCATTATTAGCAATGGTTACGTCCTCGAAAGCACTGCTAGTGCCTCACAATGTTCTGCTCAATTATGGGAGGCCAAGCATGGGAATTCATTCCCATCGATTACTAGTCACCAACACCGATTAACGAGATGATGACCAAGTGAGTTGGCGATACTGAGTAACACTGATTTTAATGTTTATCCCACGGCATGGAGTTGGACGAGTCACCAAGATAGAGTCCCAACACTGTGACACGACTAACGAGGATCTGCATGGACAAACTCATGTTCAGTGATGAACAGATGTGTCAAAGACAAATGGCTCACGTCAAATGATGAAAATTTCTTGTCGCTGCCATGGGCTTCGTCGGTTCCTAATGCATGCTTAGACCCTGCCTGCAGCAAGCACACAGAGAAGCTCTAACCATTTTATGTCGTTGCAACCGAGTTTGGATTGTGATGTGATCGAGTATCCTAAGATTTGTTATCATTAGTGTATGATGAAATGAGAGTGTGTAAACTCACGCTTTGGGGTTAATGTGGAGGAAGCCGGTAGAGTAGACTGCATTGAGAAGGTTACAGAATGAAACGAAAGCGGTTGGTTGGGGGAGCAGCATGAGTAATCCATATAGACACTTGAACAAGTAAGGATAAGGCTCAGGTTTGAGCAGTTGAAGGCGTAGGTCTTCTGGAACTTCATCATCAACATCTGATTGTCTCATTAACAAGCAGATAACTCACAGGTGAACACAGGAGATCCAATCAGTTGCACCAATTTGTCAACTTGGAACAGCGATCTTCAAATCAGCACTGGCATAACATTTATTAGCAACTATCAAACACGCCATGTAAGACAATCTCACAAAATAGATAGCAAATTTGATATGCTTGTAAGCCTGCACATGCAGACACATTGAAAACACTGCAACCACATCATAACACCATCCTTGCAAAGCGTAGTAAAACAGCGCCAGGCCATCTTGCTGCACATGTTGTCAGTCAAGAAATCTAACGAGAATGCCACCAACTAACTCTTATCTAAAGACTTTTCAGTCAGTTCATTGACTATTGCCTGATAGCTAAAGCGGTCCGCTTCTGAGTCCTCCTGCACGGATCGATGAGGACGCTGACTGGTTGTTGCCCATTGAAGAGGTATCTCTGGACAGTGGCTGAGCAGTCATTTACTGCGAAGCAGGGTTGGTGAGCTTGCTGGCATAATTTGACTTCTCTGCTCAGTTCCGTCTGTTGCCGGGATCCAGGGTGTGATACGTCTACCTGAAAGGACTGTAGACGGAACTTTGAAAGAATGTTCGCAATGAACCGAGCATATTCGCAAGCAGCAGGGCCTCTACATTTCATTGAACTTGAAGTAAGTTTTGATAATGATGTTTTGGCGCACTGATTTAATGGCGTGTAGCCTCACCCCTATGAAGTCGAAGGATGCAGCACTACTCATGTTGACTGTTAGTGACAAGGAGTTTCAAAATATCGACATCCGTACCAAAGCTGCAGGACTAAGTTAGACTGGTATGCTCCTCAATGAATTTGGCCTGTGGAGATTAATCTCTGATCCGTCCAAGTCACTCCAAGTGCATGCAGAGGAAGGGTACTAGACATTTGTAGAAGGTGAAAGCAAAGTTGCTGTCCTGTGCGACCTCGACATGAATTATATGGAGACAATACAACACAACTTTGCTTATTTCACCAATTCTGGCTTGGATGCTGTACCAGAGGGCCCCGGCGCGGTAGGCCGCAGAAAAAAGTTATTTAATTCTGTTTGCATCCACACATCATACTACTACCACGGATTGTCAAGGATCATTAGTTAATCATTGGTATGATCATGATGTACAGATTGAGTAGGACACAGAAGACGCCGAAAGGAGTGGAACATTAAGAGAATATGCCATTATTGGAACTTTAAAATTTTTGATCATATGTGCTTCGTTTAGTACCATGTAATACCAAGCTTTGCACTTAGAATATGTGAGCATTGCGATTAGTGAGTGTGCATGAGGTTATGCAGAAATAAAAGTGGTGCTTATTGTACCATCCTTGGCAGAGCTCCTTGCGGTGTTTCGTTGATCCGTGGTAACTCAGAGTTTTGAACCCAGGCAGAAACTTCTTGAATCCCATCTCCCAGTTTAAGAGGACAATCTAGATGGGTGATTTGTAAACGCAAAGAGCAAAACATGAATCGTGTACAATAAGCTGCGGACCCCATATTCCACAGTCACAAGCTAGATGAGCAAGGAGCGATATTGTCTGTATAATTTTCCTATCGAATAGAGTGAGCTAACACATTAAATAAAGAACCCAAAAGCATACTACACCAATCCCATTTCATCAGCAAGTATGTCGTTTAGATTGTTGACACGGAGGCTTGCAAGCCATTCCAAACCGGACTGCTGTTATGGATGGAGGACATACCATAATAATGTGAAAACTTGTCTTCAGTGTCTCAATGGACCGGCGCAACTGCGTACGGTTTAAGATAGTCTGACATGTTGTCCTCTTGTTGAATGTTCTCCATTTCATCAAGAAACTCAGACTCGCCAACTTCCATACCAAAGGTAGGAGATGGAGGGGAGGGTGAGAAGATGGTGTTTCGACCGCTGGGATGCCTGATCACCTTTGGTCTCGACTTCAGTGGCTTGACCCATATCAGCATCGTTAGCACCTGAGGCCAAAGTGCCCGGAGCAGATTTGGTGACTGTTATCTTCATCCTCTTATTGCCATCAAAATTCAAGTTTTCAAATGCTACAAGTGAAGTTAGCGAGTTGTTAATAGGAAGGGAAAAAAATGCGCCTGACAGACAACGGTACGCTCAAACATGACGAGCATGAATAATGTGAATAAGCTGTAGTACCAATACTCATCCAGGCACCAGAATGCGGCACAAAATATTTGGAAAATGAACAAGGGAGTGTCATATGTTCAGCGAAAAGCTCCGAGAAAGAGGGGGTCAGAATGCTGAATTCGTTTTTGCCATAGTGACATCAAGGGTGATATTGCGTCCAGATTAAGGTCAGTGAGGTGTAAAAAGGTAGACGATGATGGACGCTTAGGTGGATGGGTACGGCAGGCGAGTAAACACAATGGGATTCTTTCTGATTACAACATAGGTATCTCACTGATAGTTGAATGTATAGGATATTGACTCTGATGAAGTACCCTTGAGCGATGGGGCAATCTTGCCTTGACCACGGTGGACACGAGGAACCAAGCATATACAGTTTGCATCCTCGATAGACCGCACCTTTAGAATATATGAGGATTTTGTCTACATCTACAGACATAACTGCACACCTTTCGCATTGTTATCCATGCTTTCGCCACTCCATCGAGTGACCAAGAAACTTGAGCACACAGAATACACAAGCCAGGGAAGTTCACTCCTCGCTTTTCAACCAGTCATCGTACTTGATATAATACACATATGCAAGAAGTGGATAGAGCGAGAAGAATGGAATGGTGTACAAATGTGTGTACCATGGAAGGGTGACATGTAAGGCGGCATTAGCAATCTTATTAGACTGCACAGTGACAGAGGCCCTGCACTTCCGCAAGTTAGCAACAACTCAAAAAGCCAAACCTGATACTTGCATATTCGTCGAAGATGTCAGGTATCAATAATTGCGCGATTGGCGCGTCTGCTAGTCTAGCCTCTCCGTTCCTTACCCCAAGTAACCAACGGTTTTGATTCAAAATCTGCAAAAACTTCTCAATCACCCAACAACCAACAAAGTGGGCAATTATGATGCTGGTTAACTTCACCTTGAACTAGACAGATGAGGGAGCAACCATAAGATTTTCATGCTAAAAATCAGGAAAATGATGTACTCATCCCTCCATCTCGACAATCCATAACCATCGGTTCTATTCGGGCATAAAGTCTGTAGCTCCAGAGGATGTAACAGCAAGTACTAGCACCGGCAAGCACCCAGTACAAGCTCGAGTTCTTGCGGATTCCCTCGCGGAAAGGGCAACCCTATAAGATATGCCATCAATGGGTCAAATTCAACATCCTCGGCAAAATAATGATTACCTAGAAATTGATAGTGAATGTCAAGACCTGTTGAGAGACCCAGAAAGTGGATGGCAGCATTCAAGAGACTGGGCTCAAACATCGCCTTGAGGTCAATTACGCCGGCTCTGTACAGGACTCAGTATATTTTGAGAATGAATCAGATTGAGACTTACGGCTCATGGAAATGTGGCAAGTTCATGATGTGAATGAGTGATAAGTATAATGTGGGGGGCAAACTGGAGCAGCACGGTAATAGCACATAGAGATTGAAGATGTTGCCTAGCGGCCTCTCCTGGGAATTTTTTTCAACAAGCTGTTGTCGAACACTCAGTACGGCCAAAAAAATTCAAGCAAGAATGCACCTTAGTCCAAGATATGCAGAAAAAACAGACGAACATCAACATTCCGCTAATGGCTACCTGATTATCACCAAACTTGATACCATCGAGATACTGAACCGGCAAGCTGTACGCAGTGATAAGGCGGTTCAGCGTCAAAATCTTGTACATCTGAATGATAGATACTAAGGTACAGTGACCGCGCCTAATAATGTGGGTAGCTGTTCAAAGTTCAGTAGCAACCTTACACAGTAATCATACACAAACTCACTGGGAGTGATGTGGGACAGCTTCGATGTGAATGGTGCGGTGCATGATGGGTTTCCAAGTTTGATCTGAGGAACATCCTCATAACCCTCCATGTTAGCCATAGCATCAGTAATTGAAGCAAGGTCGAACTCAAACATTGTCAGCCAACGAACCCTCATGAGGACAACAGACACCACCTTCTCCATCAGGTTCTTTTTGTGCACAACTTGTAAATTCTCTGCAACTTTTGTCTGCGCCTTGACAACATCTGGGTAGAGATGTGCAATAGCAGGAGGTACAGGGGTGGCGCCTTCTCAGCTGACTCTTGTAGACTTCCTTAATTTGTTTGACCTCCTGATGACCCACTATTTCTGGAGGTCCTTGGGTGTGCTGTCTAGAAGAGCTACACCAATATGAGCCTGCTCGAGTGCACCGACGTCATCTGTGTCATCTCCAGCCATGAGCCAAGTGTAGCCAAGTGTTTTAAGACTAGTAAGGACGAATTCCTTCTGTGTGGGAGAGACACGAGCACAAACCCAGGTGTTTTGCACCAGGTCATTCCATGAAAGACGATATTTGAACTACTTTATGGCAGCACCAGTGATACAGAAAAATGTACTCATCGAAGAGGCATTGGTCCAAAGTGTCATATACCATATTCCCGGGTACAGATCCGAAGATCCGGATCTCAGATCCAATCCAGATCCGATGGACATATCCGTCGTCCGGTCCACAGATCCAATCTAATCCTTATTTCATGTCCTGTTCATATAACTCTAACTATCGTTCATCTCCTTTCGGCATTCCTGTACACCGGTATACCAGTTATCCTTTACTTCCGTTATGCTTACTGATCCGCTACACTTACTGATCTGCTTTAGCTTATACTTCATTCCCGGTTATGATACGTTATCCGTCCGACTTACCAATATGCTGTACACATACTTTGCTTATACTTCATACATAGCCCCGCACCCTTGCTTATTGATCATTCCATTAGTTATCCGTAGTATATAAACCCTTGTGCATGCGCTGTAGTAGATCAGTTCGAATATCATCTTAGATTGCACTCATTCTGCCTGGACTCTAAAGTCCCTCCGTTATCCGTCCAGACTTGAGTACAATACTCTTGTCTACTCCGAGACTTAGGATTGATTCCTATAGTCTATATATCCATCTCTGTCTTCGGACAGTCTCCAGCCGTTAGTTTCTAGTTCGGATCCGATCCGGATTAGCCGTTACTCTATATGTTCGATATCCGGAAGCCTTAACAGATCCATTACGATACTTATCCGTCTCACTAGATGCGATACTCTAACACTCTGAAATAAGGGGCAAGACTTGGGAAAGGGGCACAGCACACGAGCTGAGGCAGAAGCCCTTCGGATCCGATACTACTTGAGTACGGTCTTAACACAAAGGCTGAGACAGATCTACTGGGATGATCTTAGTTTCATCCACAGTGCGCCAGACTAAATCTATGACAAACGTGACTGCACGTACTGGCTGAACAGTAATCAATTCACCTGCTTCATGTGCAGGGTTCGCTCGCAAATCCAGAATCAGCGTGTCGCAATCAACAATCTCAATGTCCAGCACGACATGGACCACCGTTGATGGGTTGTCGCCAGTGATCATAATGCGCTGTTCTGGGATGAGTAAAGTCTCATAGCGGACAAACGACTTACCCTGTGTAACAAGTCGGCAAGCATCTTGAGTGTTCCAACAGGATGATATAGCTTGAGAGAACAATGTAGGACTAAAAATCTTGCAAACAGAAGGCTGCTCTCACCATCCTCGCGGGATAGTTTATTGATCTACATCAACTGTTAATAATGCGGATGCGGTTACAGACTATGACTAACCTTGTCGATTGACATCATCTCCTTTGTTCTTAGGGCCAAAACATGACTGCCATGCCTAGTATACCACTTGTATGTCACATTGTACCATTCAGGAACTTCCGTGAGAATGCCTTTGATCATATCTGGTGCACCTTTAACAGCGACGAGGACCTTGCCGCTGGGCAAGCTCGACACCGTGGACATGCGCTTGAGAGCCGACGAAAATTGGAAATGGTGTCGAATAAAAACCCTCGAGGCATTGGGCGATTTGGCGGAAGATGGCACTACTTCGTTGCCGTTCATAATCCGCCAGTCAAGAGCTTCTGACGTCGTCTTCTCCGTTGGGTCTCCAACAACCGTGCTGTCATCTAGACGAGCGAGTGCATGTGCCACAGCCAAACAGAGGGAGGTAGTACTTGGAGCACCTTCGTTCCACTGAACAGGACCACATTCGTGTGCACGCTGCCCCCATCGGGAGCATTGGGTGATGGCTTCTCAAACTACATCCCAAGTGTCACAATCTTGCTTTGGTTCGTGGAAACTTATGCTACTCCTTGTTTTGGACATCCGAGTCTTTTTGAAGGTCGTGTGGTCAGCCAACCCTGTGGCCGGAAGCTCTCCATCCTGTCCAGTAGTGTAGCCTTCTTCTGAATCATAAGATTTCGATCATTCTCGCATAGGTTTGAGTCATCGATGGAGACATATGAGTGCAAAAAGCTGGAGAGCAAGGAATGGAACCAAGGTCAAGGAGGTTGCTGGCGGGATTAGAGTACAATGGAGGTTGTGGTCGCACTATGAGCTTGACGAGTATGGTATTAAATTGTGATTGTGACGTTCAACTTTGGGAAAGTGTTGGTGGTTCTTGTATCATAACTGGAGGATGCCGCTGAAAGATGTTTGAGCGAGCCTGAGGAAACTGCAAAGAAGTGATCAACACTCACCAAAGATTTGTGACGAGCAGAAATCTGGGAAAGGATCCAACACCATCTGGCCTAGTCACTTTACTTGTGCCCTACAATATTAGGAATCTCAGCCACTTAAGTTAATCCCGGATCCTGGAATTTCCGTTTCTTTTTGGAGCAGCGGATGAACCTGTGGGGGAAGCAACAGCGATGTTCCTATTCTTGACACGTACAGGTCCCACAGAGATAGAGGCCTTGCCATCCACAGGCAAAATGGGAGCCAGAGCTCGAAGTTTCTGAGGCCGAGATATAGATTTGAACTAGGGCTCGGTTAGAAATACAGATGTTACTAACATCAATTTTTAACATCAGTTATTGATTGGTTAATAACACCGGGAAAAGTCAGACGCACATTTAGCATGTTAACAATTGTTAATAATTATATTTAAATGCAGCAGCATTCAGCACCAGCCAACACCATGGAATGAGTCTAGATACATCTAAATCTCGTCTGAGAGGGTGCGGTGTGACATATGTCACAATTGTTACAGGTAACATTCGAGTGTTGGCCTACTAGGCTACTGCCTAGCTTTTTCGTGTCCAAATTTCAAAAATATGTCCGAGTCACTCGTAACGGAGGAGTTTGTCAATGTCCTCAACAGGCTTAACATTCTCCTCACCAACCTACCTTCCCAGCTTCCCTTGGCTAATGACTACTATGACTCCCAGTACCCCTCATTTCTATCATTCTCCTTGGATCCTGATATACTCGAGAAGACTGGTGATCCTCGCCATTAAGATATTTTCTGTTCTTGTCAACTCCATGCCCGATGAACGTACAAATTCGACTATCACATGGCTCAATTCCCCAATATGAGGCAGCCAAAATGCGCAGACACTCGTCGACATGATACAAATAGGACAATGGTACGGAAAACATCAGAACAAGGATTACGCGCCATCAAAATATCGTCCGGTCGTCAAGTTTCAAAACATCGAAGACAGTGTGCTACGTGCTGTCCAAACTGGCAGTGCGGATGATGAGTCGATACCAGATGTTGACGGACTGGCAGATTCGGATAATGAAGATGAAGCTGATGACAAGCCGTTGGAATCAGAGATGGATGCACACCAGCCTGCTCAAGATGTTGCCTTCGAGATTCATCCTGATATCGACATCAACTCGAAGGCATTGAAGGATATGGTCTCTACTGACCCAGTTTCCACAGTCTCCATTGACCTATCGTTGGATTCGGTGTTGTCTCCGCGGGCTGCTACAATGACTGACGACGGAGATGCAGATTGGAATTATTAGACTCACGGACGGCATTTTTAACAGTTGTTAACCGTGTTTTTGTTGTTAACATTGTTAACAATGGGTTTTTAACTAGTGAGTAACACTGATGTTAGAATTTGTTAGTAATTTGTGTTAACAATGGCTCCGGGGTGCCCCATGTTACTAACAAATGTTAAAAATCGACCGTGAATTATTCACCAAGCCCTAATTTGAACGTGATGGACCTACCACATCAGTAAATTCACACATTCCTTAACGTCCTTAATCAGCTTATCTCACTTATTTCAAAACTTGTTTTCTCTCTCTCACATCATTCACCTGGCATATCTTGTATTTTTTTAATGTGAAACATAATAAAACATGTCCATTAATACATCTCAACATTTTTTTTCTTAATACATTCAAGTTGAAATTTCGGACAAGTAGATCCACTTTCAACAAGGTGGTTAAGTGTGAATAAGTCTGTTTAAGGGCAAAATAAGGAATGTGTGAATTTCCTGATGCACTCCAGTGTGGAGGCTTTCGTGTGGCGCAGGAAAGTGTACACGGTGACGTAAGGAAACTTCAGATCTCAGAGATTGGGTGATGCGGCATACTAGTAGTGCCAGTGACTTTTAAATCAAGAGCTAGCGCCGTGAGCCTGAGGCCATCAAAAATTTGGTGTAAAATTTGCAGACATCGTAACGACTAACCAACTGATAAGTTAACGAGTCAGACGTACGAAGAGACCAAAATGTTCAGAAAACGCGACTCGGACTCGGACATCCTGGATTTTTGTTTAGCTAGTATGAGAGACTCGAGCGTAGTAAAATCCGTAAGGGCGAAACAACTTGACAAACTTGGAATCTGTAGTACGTGACATTGTATGGGAAAACTATTCAGGTAGGTGAAATCTATGACTTCATATACGTTTCATATCCAAGTCATTGTGATAAATGATGGCACACAAACTTGAAGAGGGTAAACCTTGACTGAGCGAGAGAATTACTTTCTTCTCTTCGAGGTTTTTTGCGGGAGCGGCTCTCCGGCGCCACCACCACCACGACCTCGACCTCGACCTCGCGGTTTTCCACCTCCCCGTCGTGATCGGGTGTTTGCTGCCGGTGTTGATGCTTCACCCGCGTTGCCCTCGATCACATCGACTTTCCGCTTCCTGATTGCCTCATCATACCATACCCTATAACGTGAATACGCAGTTTCCTCCATCGCCGACACAAGTTTTGTTCTGATCATTGAGATATCGAGGTGGAAAGGGATGGATGGATCTTGGATGGCGTGAATGTCGATGTCGGGGTTGATTTCCTGGGTAAACAAGGCAAGTCCCCGTTGTAACGCACGGGCTCCTGTCTCAATCATGTTGTTCACCGCGTCCATGTTTTCCACCGGGTAGAGAGTCTGAAAATATAATTAGTCAAGCGTAACATTCGAGTATAAAAGTGCACATTTACCCCCTCTGCCATCAGGCTGACGTCGTCGGTGTCGATATCGATAGGGTCGTCCCCACGGACCCACACCTTGAAGCTTATAGAGCCCACTGAGCACCACTTGTGCCCTAAGATGGACACGGGTACGTTGAGGGCGGCGACGCTATCGTCATCCGACTGCGCGAGAAAATCACCAGATTCTTGATGAAACGGCTGCTGCAGCAACCTCCGCGACGCAAGAGAATTCCACAACGGAGAATGGAAAGGATTTTGCTCTTCTATCAGTATCATGATGATCAGCAGCAGCTGGGGGTTGGCCGCTACTGCCTTCCTTAGCTTGGTGAGCAAGGAATCAACATCCTGCGACAACGCCGTCTCTCCTATCATAGTGTATATGAACTTGTTTGAACGTCTGCTCCCCAACTTATGGAACGAGATTCTCTGGTCGGGAGAGACGCCTGAAGATATTGATACGGTATTGAGTATCTCGATATTTACGACTTTGCGGTCGTACGGAAGGCTGGCGAAAAAATTAGAAAACACATCCTTGAAACCTGCGAATGGGGCTTCGTGCAAGGCGGATGGCATCTCTACAAGCAGTATGTGGTCTTCGGGGATGTAACTAAATCTGTAGAGACCTAAACAACAATAAATAGTCCGATCTACGCCATAAACTCACCGTGGTTTCGAACTTATGTAGGAAGTGTCTTCGATGAAGCGTAGCAGTTCGCTGTATTCTTCGGAGTAAACGCCACAAAACTGCTACATTAAGTGACAAATTAGCGTCACTGTAATAGGCCTATCGGCACGACAATAGGCACTTACCATATACTCTCTTCCACGGTTTGGGTTCGCAATGAACGTCAGAATCTTCCTGCACACGCTTTGACCTTCAAATGGAAAATGGAAACATTGTATCAGCTTACGCGATGGATTTCAAGTTAGGTTGATACAAACCTAGGGTCGAAATCTTGCCACGGGTGGCTCGACTAAAGCTTTCGAGGAGACAGGTCAGTCTATCCGAGTCTGTACCACCGTGACTTGCAGCACCAGGCTTGATCGGTTGTTTAGGCGGATAAGATAGTTGTTTGGCTGTAGGAGTGGTAGTCGGCTCGACCACTGAACTCTCTCCGATGTCTTCAGGTTCAAGTGCGGGTCCGGGTGAGGCTGATGATACTTCGGATCTGAGCCAATAATTACTATGTGTGATGTTGATACGCCTGGGAGATATATAGTGATCGCTTAGCTTGGCACTACTAGTGCTATAGTAGCAGGGAGATTTTTCAACTACAAAAGTTGGCATGATCATGATGGCAGTCTGAGATAACTTAAAGTTGGAGCTACTAGGTTATCATCATTGACTTAAAAACAACAGACAGCGATGGCGCTGGAGTGGCATGCTTAGCTAATGTGGACGTAACCTAAAAGTAGATGGCCATAGGAGAGTCAGGGGAATTAATAAACAAGACTAATGACTGAGGGGAATCAATGATTTGTTTTGAGCACAATGTCAACTCGGAGACTGTGACAAGCACCCGTATTCTCTAACGTTGTCAGTAATGCTGGTGGTCACGTATTCACAAATATCAACTGAGTCAATACTAGCAAGTTGCTCACTTAAGTTTTAACAGACGACCGTGACCGTGTCACTGTGTAGTAAGCGATAGCGCGAGGAGCTTTCAAAATGTCGATGATCGAGTTCACGCCTTTCAAACGTTCGATGATAACTGTCACAGGGCATGTCAGCTTTATCGCCGGTCGGCGGTGACCATCAATAGTTCACGGACCTTTGCTGCATTCATTGGCAAGAGGGTTGCTCTTCCAATGTCTAGAAGTTCCTATCCGATGGCAGCGATGCCGCGATGGGGCTTGTCCCTTGCATCAGCACGGCGGCGGCTCTGGAGATGTGGGACGCATTTTCGCCAGTATCAGATATGATCGGAAGTCCGGAGATGTTCTTTTGCTTCTTTGTTGGGCGTCCCCGTGGCATTTTGGATGAGAAGAACTCACACCTCACGTTTCATTTGCTGGAAAGCTTGTTTTTTTTCTCCGCCAGCGCTTATCATCGTGCTACACTCTTTTCAGCATCATACTCGGCTCACTGAAAGCTGCCGATTCCGCATTTTTCGGGATTTTGAGCGATTTTTTTCATGGCACCGCCAAATTTTGAGCCTGTTGGGGGACATATTTCACTTTTAAGAAAATTGGCTCGTACAAATGTAAAGTACGAAGTATATACATGGTTTCTACACTGATTTGAATGTATCTCGTGCAATTCCGGAACCAGGAAAAATCAATGTCTAAAGTTGGTGAGTTTGGTTGTCCGCAACTGTACAACAGGCAAGGGAAAGTTAGTCCAATCAGTCAGAGTCACCAGTGATCGCATCATCAGCGTCATCCGTCCTAACATCAGCTCCGAGGCCTAACTCCGCAAATGTGATCTGGATGTGGTCGGTGGAACGATCAATGACGCCCCAATGCCTTCGTGTGCGTACACGCCCAACGGTAGCTTTGATGTTCCGGATGTCCGTTATAATTGGAACCAGTAATCGCTTGTACTCGACGCGCTGAGAAGATGCATCCAGTCCGTCTGTCGCACATGGAATAATGAGAGCAAGCAAAAGTGTTGAGTTGCGCAGGTCACCATAATGATTGTTGTCATCAAGGCGACACTCGAGGATGCAGTTCAGTTGACCATAGCAGACTACATCAACATGCTGACCCGATGCTGAGATGTAGGGCACCTCGTACTGTGCAAGACAAATCTGGTCAAAAGGTTACTTTCGTCAGCCACGCATCAGAACTTCAAATTAATAATACACTCTGCCACAGGAAAGGTTAAAAATATGAAGCAAGACACGAAACGGGTAGGACAAGACGTACTGATTGTCTCTATCCACAAACGCCTTCACAGGATGGGAGTTCACCTCCACCGGCACGCTACCGTCCATCAGTACCTTTACACTCTGAAGTCGAAAAAATACTCACTAAAGCATCGTCACCCGCCCAAACGCCTCCGGGGAGTATTCAAGCGCATGCTCTATGTATTCCATGACTGCCTGCTGACGGATAGTTTCTTCGATACGACGCTGTGCCTCGACATCGAACGGGTGAGCATTAAGAGCTGAAATCTCGCGCTGCCGACCAAGCTCGGCTTGTTGTGCACTGTCCCGTTGCAGTCGCAGGAGCTCTGCAAAACGTGTGGGTTTGGACTGGGCAGCGGCAGCTATTTCCGGTAGTGTGTGAGCGAGGAATACTCAGTAAGAAACGAAAGAAAGCAGAAAACAATATTCACGCACCTCTTGTAATTGTCTCATAAGTTGCGGATCTCCAAGGATTCGCAGTCTCATCATCTCTGCATCTTGTTCTATGGGTCTGTAAAGGGTCATCAATGCATGCGTACAATGAAGGCCGAGAAACGGGATTAGGAGCTCACCTGCCTTCGGGGGCCCGGGGACGTTGACACGCCTGCGTAAGAGGAGTATAGCGTGTTGGCCTACACCAAGCGCCTGGATGGTAGCCTTTGGGTCTGTAAGCTAACGCCCGTTGTGCGAGATGCTTTGTTCGCTGGGGGGTATACTCGACTGCATGATCCAGAGTCGTAGACAGGTCATCGTATGAACACAGGAACGAGGAGGAAGCAAAGACAAGGGAATTGGCATGTATTAGTCAGGGCTGGATAGTAGATAACAAGCGACTCACCTCTGCCTCTAGCAAAGCCATCACATTCTCAAGCTCCATGTCAGGGTCGATGTCAACGGCATATGACTGGCCTAGATCTGTCACGAACGTCAACTGCATCGTTGCCGCGTTCGCTGTCTGTCAGTGTTATTTCGACCAAGCTCGGCTTGTTGTGCGCGGTCACGTCTCCAGTGGTGAGCTGCCCTGTGTGTAGCAGTTGAATCAGAATTTGATGGAGGAAGGGAAGGAAGGTAGTGCTCGCCGCTTGGAATGCCCACTGCAGTATTGGATGGATGCATTAAACCCTTGGAATATCCATCGCTCCAGGGTGTGCAAAGCCAGGGGTACTCCTCACTTCTGTACAATTGATCAGATCTAAGCTCACTACGCCCCGACCACCCCCAGAGGCACTCCAAGAAAGGATAAGCGTGCGGGTAGAGCAGTGCGGAGCATTTTTGCCAGCGGTAAGGCGTTGGGGAATGTACGTTGAGATACCAGAGGGTGCCGATGCGGATGGGCTGAATGAAACGCAACCGAGACAACGAACGCAAACCCACTGTTGAAGATGAATGATAAATTAGCCTTTTCGAGGGAAACCATTAATAACTTACAGCACAAGTGCAACCATCTGCGAGACAAGCGAGCATGTCTTTTGGAACATGGTAGCTTGTGACACGTTTCCGAGGGGTGCTATAATGAAGGTCAGAGGAATTCGCAGGGTCATCAGAAATGAAACGCACTTACAGCGGACGGTAAACACGGCGAGGTTGTCCATCGTAACCTGGCTGGTATCCGACTGCTCGAGTGGTAAGCTTTGTGTTTAATCAGACAAGAAACATGAACAGACCTAGTAAGAGATTGCGAACGCAGTCCCAGCAATCATAGACTGGTTCTGTGTATGCACTACCCATCGTCAGCGCGACTGTACGACCACGCTTAATTTGTACTCACTGTTTGGATCACCTATGCAACCACCAGAAGAAAGAGGGGCGCCCCCCAAATTTGTAATGGAGTAATCCTCGGGGCGCCTTCCACCATTACCCCACTGGGTTGCGAATTGTCCATTAAAGGACAGGGACGTCACACCGCGGTTAGCGGCTACTTCGACAGTAAAGGAACTTCCGGCGGGTCTGGGACAGACAGTGAGATTTACACGATTAGATCAGAACGCAAAACACACAGTTCAAGGAGGTCTCCTGGCGCAGGGGGGAATTCATCACACTCAAAATGTAAGCATAAACTCATGAACCAAAATTATAAACATACCTGGTTGAAATGATGAAACCAATAGTCACTCTGCGACAGCATCTACGTGAAGCTAAAGTTAGTATGACAATACAAGCTACACGAGGAAGGAGAAGCAGAATGAAGTGACAGTCAGCCAAGACAGGCGCGTGCAGTTTTAGGACTTACAAAGTGATGTCGAAACCCGCAGACATTGGCTGGATGCCACATGTAGAGCACAGCAAGCACCATGATGGTAGTTAGTTAGAAGATAACTTGAAGATCAAAAAAGGACTTAATGCATGAAAATAGTGTCGGGACTGTTAGTCACAGTGCAGAGGGTCTGCATCTTGCAGGCGCGCCATGGATCCTACGCAGATGTTCAATGAGGCGGGACGTGATGTTGTGGATGATCACGGTTTATCCAGAGGGTCCTGGGAGGGACTGCACGAGCAACTCGGAGGAAGCAAGATCATTTAGGCGTGTGCTATATTTAGATCCTCCACGAGGCCAGGTCTCTCAGACCTAACATAACATAATACAACATAATACATAATACAACATAATACATAATCGCGCATCTCAACATATTCAGCCCTATTCGGTTCTCACTGGGGTTTATCGATGAGATAAAGTTTGCTTGTGGCTGGGCGCGTAATTGCACGTAACCGCGTAATGTCGTTAAACTCATTATCATACTATGTCCGTCCATGAACTGATCCATCTTACAGACTCAGACTCAGACTGACTCAGAGTGCCCGTTTTGCCCTCAGAAAAATGGGCCTCGCGCGGCCACGGTTGTTGAATTTACCTCACAGATTAAACCTGCAAAAACAAAGTTTTACTCCCGATTAATATTTTGTGAGCGTAACTCAACTTATGTCACTTAAACTCGGTTCTGGACCCGTGTACAGTGGCCGTCCCGGACGCCCACCTGCAGTGTGACGTGGAAGCGGGCATTACGGACACTGCAGTTTGTTTAACGGCCGGAATATCTCGGATCTAAATCCGTTTATCTATGTACAATATCAATCAGGGTCTATTATCAAATCTAGGGTTTGCATGCAGCTGGCCCGGTGCGTAACCGCGTAACATCGTCAAACTCATTATGTCCGTATGTCACTAATGAACCGATCTACCTGGTTACATACGAGATGTGTTACGAGATGTGTTAGAGCGCCCGCTTAGGCCAAAGCTTCAAATGTTTTGTTGAGCGTCACTTAACTTGGTTTAGTAGCTGTTTGCACATCCAATTTCCGCGCGGCGGTATTGTTACGTATGTGTTTATCCCATGACTTTCGAACCACGTTCACAAATGCACGTTGTGCAGTTGAAACAGACTCAATAGCCGCAGTCAATGGAGGACCCTTAGCCCTCAGGAGTTCGAGTCAGAGTGGCTGGGAGTTAACCGGCGACTCGGAAGCGGGTAAGTATTATCGTGCTGCTTTACATGGGCACGGACATTAAACAAGATTAGGATAGGATGCGCGAAAGGCTCCGCACGGACTCAGAGCAACCTTGGCCCTTCGAGTTAGAAAGAAAGACATCTTTAAGCGAGATGTACGGGTGCCAGATGTTTATAATGCAGAGCGCACTAGCACGATTCCTCTCATCCCCCCCTCCTCTCTGGCCTTTTCATTGCAATTTGCGTCCGTCCTCACTGTCGTTACAATTTCTTGCTATGCAATACCCGGATGATGCTGATGATCTTACCCAGCTAACAATGGAAGAGTTTGTCGGCCATTCTCGACATCTGTTCCAGCAGGTGCCGACCGAGGGCGATCTCAAGTCGGAAGTAGATTTTATCCGTTTCACGTTGGCAGGTAGGGTCGGGCCGCAGGCAGGCGAGGAACTCGACCAATGCCACATCAGCCTGAATTGCTTGCAAGGCCTTCCCCCCCTTCCCGAGACCACGGTTACTCGTGACCTTGACTCGGCTATTGGAGTATCTAATACTTTACCTTATACCAGCGCACTGGCGGTCTGGCCCCTTACTCCTTTCAAGGAGACGTTGAGAAAGGACAATCACGTCAAGAGTAAGGCATACGATGCTCAGGTAAGACGTATACTTATGATGAAGTTATACATGCTGACCATGAACCAGGGCGCCGAGATTCGCGTTCCTATGCATAAGATTCCCAACGTAGCCTTGGGCAAAGTTCAACAAAGGCACGTCGTGAGGATATTCTTCCCCCGGCTCTATAGTGCATCCTCACTTGGAGTGGGAGTGTCTCAAGCGGACTTGGCCCTTATTTATGACCGTTGTCTTCGTCCTACGATGGTGGAAGTGATCCCGGAATCAACCGACCAATGGCCGACCTCTTATGCTACTGCATACACCCAATTCAGGAATCGCTTCGGGACGCTCGCATTCGGCAGCATCGACATTCCATGGTACAGCTTGCAAGAGGTCGCACAGACCTTGCTAACCAAACTTGGGGACGAAAAGCCCGCATTCAAAGATGCCTATTTTGTGCACGAGCTGAGGGGGACGAAGAATGCCACCGTGCACAACGGGAGTGATGAACGCGAGAGACAGCTAGCTTTCGAAGACATGTTCGAGCATGTCGATGTTCGAAACTTGGTTGCGCAAGATTGGCAGGTGGATGTTGCGCTCGCCATTGGCGTACCGGGGCACGTTGTCACCTGGCGCGAGTCCTGCCACCAAGAGCTCCTGAGTCATCTCATGCCTAACGCACCCATACCACGCATCGAGCGCCTAATGAAGAACAAGGGGAATTTTCACCTTGATCGCGCGTTGCAGGTCAAAGAATTTGCCGGTTTTCGTGCAAACACAGCCAATGTTGCAGGTAGCGGGGGCATATCGTACGTGCAGGCATATTGCACTTCGAAAAACGTAACATACCAACTCAATCCTGGAGTATTCCGCCGACGTCAAGCTAAGGAGCTTCTACAAAAGGAGACGGAAGAGAAGATCGTACGGGACCTGGACGTCATGAGTGAGGTCTTTTTTGAATGCGCTGGCGAACAAGAGGGCGTGGCAGGTCGCGATGGTTGCGCCCGTTTAGAGATTCGAGTTACGCTAGACAAGGTCATGGACTCGCTGTCTGCTCTCCCTGAGGATCTTATTGGGCGTTCCGTGGTTGCAATTGACAGACGGCTGTGGTGGTGAGTGCATCTGCATGTTTTCCTTCTGCGCCCCTGAACTGATTTGTCGTCCCAGGCTGTTCGTTTATTATCGTCTGGCTGCAATCCGCCTTGTCCTCGTGAACTTGACAAAGGCAGAGGGCAGGATACGTTCCATGGACTCTACACTGGCGTTGGGAGCTGTTTGCATTTACATGATCAACGCGTGCTTCATGCGTCCTGCCGAGGGATTCGGATGGGAGGACTTGATTGAGAGATCTTGTCAACAGGCGCTTGAAGACCCCGACGACGACGCGGATGACGAAGACGCCCCTACCGTACCCATTTTGTATGACACCGGCGCATACTTCATCTGCGACATTGTGCTCAACAGGAACCCAGCGTTTCTTCGAATGCCTGTGCAACGCACGTTTGATGCAGATTCCATGGCTCGCATTTATCATAAAGCATCCATGATTGACATCCGTGCTTCGTTTACTTGGAGCACAGTTCCACTCGGCAAGCGCCTCCCCAATCCGGATCGAACGCAAAATCGCAAGAAACGGAAGACTCGCGATGTTGATGATGTCAGAGAGCCCGATCGACAGCGCTTGCGCCTTGACACAGAAATCCGAGGCGTCCGCATCAAGCCTGCTGTTCGCTTGGTAGGCAGGGACGTGGACTTGCACGTCGTCAACGGGGGCCATGAACGAGAGTTTAATGGGGCAGGTGACAATGAGGAAGGTGAACGCACGGCTAACGAGCGAGCCGCCAAAATTTACGAGCAATTGTTCCTTGACCTCATCGAGGAGGCGCCTAACCGGAAATCTGCGCAGCGTGGATCATACCTCACGATCCCTGTCGACATGCGCTGCGAGCTGGCGCGGCCAGAGCTTTTACAGACCGCGGAACTTCCATTCGAACTAGCTCAATACTGTGTCTGCACCCCAGAGCAGTGGGATATGCACTTCAATCGCCTTTTCCCCAAATCTTACGACGAAGCTGCTAGCAGTCCTGGTCGTCAAAACTATGGGAAATGTACATACTACAGCGATTATCTTGCTCTTGCTCGTGTCATATCAGGCAACGCCCTCGCCAAGACCAGGTGGGCACTAAGGGTCGAGTTCGATAAGCTCGTGTGGGTGCCATACACTCAATCGGACCGCATCTGGTCGACCAAAAACATTAACACATCCACATGGAGGGCGCTTCCTTCTGGGAAGAAAGGAGGCCCATTGATTGGCATTAACCCGAGGCGCGCCCGGGAACGGGTCACCCTGCGGGCGTTTGATCAGCCTCGTGAGGGCGACCAGCTTGCGGCAGACTCTGAGGGGGAGATGGAGGATTGAACTTGCCCGTATATAGTATACCACGGACACTCATTAATTGATACACGCATTCATTACATACTCGCGCTTTATTACGGACCTTTTGCTATGGACATCCTTTGGACTAACACCAGTAGACACCAGTAGTTTGTCGTCTTTGCTTGGCTCAACCAGCAGAATCTTACTGCCGCATCTACGTCACGGTTTGTCGAGAGTTTTGACACCTGCGGCACTCACCCATCATTGAATGCATCATGTTCTCTGGTTGCCATTTGGCATCTGACTTGGACGGAAGTTCAAATTCACTTAGAGGCGGAGTCACTGCAAAACAGGTGGTGCACAAAAACGTTGGTTACTCTCTTTCCCCCATCGTACGTTCTACGCCTTCGGTGGATAAATCTGAACAGCCCAGGGTTGTATGGAATAAACGATCTAGGTGCCTTTCTATCGTCTTCATCCATCATGATTGATCGGTTGCGTGGCTCGTCAATATCGTTCAGTTATTATAAGCGCCCACTAATGACATGGCCAAGCCAAGAGTCAGACGGTAATTCGCGAAGCTTCTGTGATGGGAAATAATTGACTGCCGAACACCATTGAAGGTACACATATTTGACGCTTGGTCCACACCTTCATCCAACTCGCAAGAAGTAATGTCATCAGTATTCGAAAGTCCTATGTGCGTATCTTTTCGGGAATGTAGCTTTCATCTTGCTGAATCTATGCCTCAGTTGTATCCCTGATCTCACTGATCAGATAATCAAAGACTCGGACAAACCGGCTGCAGCGGGCGGTTATGCCAAAATTTTCAAGTGCAGCTGGAACTCGCCTTCTGAATCTTCTCCAGTAGGTCCCTGCTAGTTGTAAACATTACCAGGTTGCAGTCCAGGTCATCAAGGTTCAGCATGATTCTGACTCGCTCAGTGAAAAAGGCGAGGAATTGAGACGAGAAATCAACTTATGGGGGCGACTTCAGAATGAACACATTTGCCTTTGCTCGGGCTCGTTCACCGTTCACGGATATGGCCCATTACCTGGCCTTGCGGCACCCTGGATCGACAGTGGAAGCCTCATTGAGTTATTGGTTAGACATCACAACATCCTGACGCGCCATGAACGTTTTCGCCTGGTGGGTGATTTTCGGTTATGATTTCGCCCCATCTAAAACCGAATTTGGTTAGCTGCAAGATATTGCCTCAGCACTGGTATTGTATGTCTGCTCCTCGCTTACGATAGTAGGCATTCTCAAGTGATCTTTTTTACTAGACTCTTTTGCAGTGGTTCACGGAAATGTAAGCGGTGTAAGTTCTCATCGAAAATCAAGGCAGGCAAGCACTAATCTCCGATGTGCCGACGTCAGCATAACATTCTGGTGGACTTGAATGGCCGTGCCTTTGTAAAGGGTAGCGGGCTTTCCACGATGCTCGATGAGATTGCGGAATCAGAATCTTACGAGACTCGTCTGGGTGATGTTGCATGGACAGCTCCCGAGTTAATGGTTGACAGTTCCAGCGGACTTCCGACGTCCCACAGCGATGTGTGGTCTTTCGGTTGCAATATGATCCATGTACTAACCTCCTTCATCGACGTTGGTATCACCGTATTTAACAACTTTCTTAGGTTCTTTCTGGGCAGGCGCCCTGGCAAAAAGCTCCAGATGACACTGTGAAGGCCCGTTTGCGTGACGACCAAGTCCCGCTATTCCCAGAAGGAATCAGCCCTCAAGATCTATCTTTCCTCCGACGATGCTTCTCACTTCGGCCTGCAGATCGCCCTTCTGCAGATCAGATCCTAACCTTTGTGCATGAAGAATCCTTGCGTTGTATACCCGGAATACCGCAGACCGTGGAAGTTACGGTCTCCGAGGTTAGTTCTTTCATTGAATCCCATCTGAACATCTTACAGACAACTAAACCACCTCAGCTCACGGTCTTTGGGAACCTGCACAGCCTAGTGGATATGACACTTTTCTTGCTGCTCGTCAACGTCCTTGCCGCATTGGTCTGCGTACAGCTCATTCGTGGTGATATGCCAGACTCGATCGCGTTGAATTTCGGACAGTTGTGGACTTCGTTCCTCGCCGTGTACCAGCTCTTTTCCTCCGAGAATTGGACGAACGCAGTCCTTTCCTTCGCTTCCACTAACACATTTAGTTCAGCTACTCGCTCTGTATCATCTATGCCCGAGTCTATTGTAGCCATATCTCCGTCCATTCTGATAGCATGATCTATTCCCCGTGCATCAGCAGTCGATGCCGCAAGCGCATCCATAGTCTCTTCAATGTTGCCGTCGAACTCGTACGTCTTCATAATCTGAAGAGGTTACTGGTGAGTAACACGGAATCTACAGAAGAGGAGGGGTAACTCAATTCCACATCACCCGCACCCGTCTCTACACTGAGCAATGTTGACTCTAGGGATCCCAGACGCTTTGAAAGCAGGTCATCCAAATGTATCTTAAACTGCAATTCTGCTAGTGCAATCGACTTGCGCTGCTGACGCAAGGCGTTTGAGAGAGGTGATCCACAGCAATGATTTCCTGATAATGACTCGCCGTCACGATTTAATGACCTCAAAGTGATGTCAGTCAACAGGTGAGATATGCGACTAAAACACCTACATCGTCATTCGGTACAATCACGCATCTTTCTCCATTCGAAAAATTTAATCACTATCTCACTCAGCACAACTCTGGGTAATAATAATATCTTGGCCCCAAATTCCCTGTGAAAACCTTTGAAAGTGTTTGAGTCCAGCACCGTCCTGCAGAGTTTCAAGGGTATCTGCAGCCTGCACGACAAGCCCAAGCATGACGTAGTCCCCTTCTATCTTCCAGGTTCAGTATAAGAGTCTTCTGAGTGGACTATGTCCAGCCGCTCCATCGCCCACCAATGGTTTTCCGACCACGAGGGAAGCAAGTCAGCATGGGAGCCAGCCTGGAACATATACAGACCGCTGCGAAGTAAGAAATTGGGAGAGTGGCGTTATATCATCATTTCGTCACATCCCGGCCTTTGCTAGTGCAGTACGGTGAGTTGAACATCAAAATGTGTAAGAGCTGCTGAATGATGCACTACGGTAGTTCCGAGGCCGAGAGGCTTTCCAACACCTTCATAGCACAACTTATACACCAGAGCTTGTCGTGCTCCCAGGATAAGTTTGCTGCAGGTTCCGACTCGGAGTCCATCAGACCCATCGCTTCCTTGCCAACCACGCGAGGTGACATCCTTGAGTGTCCCATGCCACCAGTCAACGTAAGGATGGAAAAAGAAGGGTTGGAATATTGCTGTCTGTGAATATCAGAATACAGCGACTGCGGACGAGATTTTGATGTTGATCAGTAGGTTGGCAGCGCTGATAAAGCAAGTTGGGATGACATAGTTATTGGCAACGCTGCATGAACGTAAGCGACTTCTAAACCTGCAGAACGCAACAAAAGCCACTGCCCAGCGTTATCGAACGTTGATCGTGAGTATGGGATGTACATCAACAAAAGTGACAAAATCAAATATGGAATTTTACTGATTCTATCTTGATGCCAACCTGATACACACATTGTATGCACATTAATTCGGTGTGAAATAATTCTAGGTATTTGCATGACTATGCCAGCCTGGCACGCACATTGTATGTGCATTTATTCAGTGTGAAATTGTTTGAGCCATTTGCATGACTCTGCCAGCCTGAGATACACCTTATAATGGGAGTGAAATGTTTTTGACCGCACGCAAGGGCAGAGGGTGTCAGTGATATGTTTCAAATGACTACTTTCAAAGCTCGGCATAACCGTCGTCGTCGTCGTCATCATCATCATCCTCCCCATCCTCTGCCCCCAGACCTGCGTCATCTATTACTTGGTCGATGTGCTTGCTGCGGGGCTGGTAGAACCTGCCAGGAGGCTCTGTGTTGGTGTGCTTGTAGACTGTGGCATCTTGTCGGCCACCAGCACCTGGTGGAATTGAAAGAGCGTTCCTTGAGATGTGAAACGGGAGTGTCGAGACCCGACGGAGATCGGGCACGTGTATCATTCTTCAGAATATCCTTTAGGAAGTATTGAGATCTTGGGAGGAGGGAGGGATAAGTTCGGAAGGGAGTTCGTCAGGTATGTCATTGCCATTCGGTTCTGGTGTTGTGTCAGTGATGTAAAGTAGACGATGAAACGTAAGGACGTACTGCAGCGTAGGTCCCATGCATGTGTATGTGCCTTGACGAGTTCTTTTCTCTCCTTGAGCCACCGTGAGAATTGGAGCGTGAGCTGCAGCGGCGAGCTGAGGACATCGAGGTGCGGGTGCGCGAGGGTATGCAGTGATGTACTAGGTCGTGTATGGGGGCACAAAAAGCAGTACTTTGTGGGATATTGAGCATAGGGATTAGCACGGGTATCAGAGGCCATACCCGCACCCGTACCTGGCGAAAACCCGTACCTGTCAGAGCGGGTATGAGTTTTTGGCAGGTATGACAAACTCAGACCTGCACCCGCACCCATGCGGGGTTCACCCGCAGGTACCATATATAAATAAGAAACTTATTAGATACAAAAACATTGGAAAAAACGAATCTACATTACCAATTGCAAGTGCAAATGAGCACGCAGAACAAGCACGACGAACAAGCACAAATGAGTACAAACAAAAACGAGTGCGTGCAAATGAGCACAATTGCAAGGAACCAGTGCAACAAACAAGCGCAACAAACAAGCGTGAATGAGCGAGTGCAGACAAGCCGGAACAAATGCAGACAAGTCAGAACGAACCAAAAAGAGCCGGAATGAGTGTATGCAAGCTACAATGAACCTGAGTAAGTCAGAGCGCGTGCAGACAAGCCAGAACAGACCAGAACGAGCCAGAACGAACATACACAAGCCGAAATGAGTGCAGGCAAGCTAAAATGAGTATATGCAAGTCAGAGCAAGTGCAGACAAGTCAGAACGAATACATACAAGCTGGAATGAGTTCAGACAAGCCAGAACAGACCAGAACGAGCCAGAACGAACATACACGAGCCGAAATGAGTACAGGCAAGCTCCCTACCCGTGCCAATCCCTAGTTGGGCATCAGTGTGAAGTCCCGCTTCATATTGTGAGGGACAGACTCACCACAGGAAAACCTCGCCCACACCCTTGCATCCATCTTCGATCGCTGTCTCGAGCTTTGAGACGAGCATGTCAGATAGCACAGTGAGTTCGGATATGTTGTGAAAGACAATGCGTGCGTCTGCGACAGATAGTGGGAGCTCGCAGGTCATGTAGGAGCCTTGGAATCGGGCAGATGAAAACATAAGTAGGCTGAACGTCGTACAGAGTATCATTGAAGGACCTATTTGCGTGAATCCCTGTGCCAAAGAAGTGGACAATGTTAAGGTCAGTCACACAGCACATCAAGGTTGAGCGGGACATGTGAGTCACAGAGCATTCTGTGATGCTGATGGAACCTTCAAGTTGTTACTCTCATCGTAGGTTGTGCTCTGCTTTTATCACTGAGACGTACAACTCGTTTGGCACACTAAGGACAAACCGCTTAGAATGACGTAGACATCATGTGACATGTGGTTGAAACTCAGTTTGAACTCCGATCCTCGTGAATATGAATATCGACGCGACGCGTCAAGAGGTGTGCAAAACTAGAATATCGGATATACACCCGGAGAAACTTCAGAGCCCCCCCCCCTACTGTCACGGCGTGACGATCACCGCAATTATACCATATTAGGTAGCTTAGTCACGCACTCTCAATGCAAACAAAGTCCTAGTATTGACGCGAGGGAGGAGCAAATGAGCGCGAGTAAGCTACAAATACATGAACGGGCACTTCGGAAAACACGTAGCCAAGCAAACCCAAGTGTCGATAGTGAATGGTAGGCCATCCTGGCCATCATGGTAACGTTCCCATGGAAAGAGCATGACCAAAGGACGCATATCCTCTGGCCAGATGATTGGGACTCCTGCGCAAAGGTTATAATCAAGGGAGGGCCCAGGAGGCGGTTGACTGTAAGCGAGCAATATTTATATTACATGTATAGAATTTAAAATGAAACGCACCTGTTTTGATGTGAGAATGCCACGAGTGAACGAGGGGTTGGCTCATCAGACACGTTCCGAACATGCTGCTTTTGTTTATTAGTCACGGTCTGGGCGCACTTCTTACTGCCGCGGTGGTTCCTCAATGGTATAAATTTGGCCTTCGATCCAGAGTGCAATGGAGGAGTGAGTACTCGTTTGGCACCATTCATCACAATCTGGGCAAAGTATGGCCCATCTCTGCTGAGGGCCGACCTGGACTTTGAGTTTTCCTGCCTTGAATAATCGATAGAGTGAGTCTGCAGTATTTAATTTAAGTTCGAGCGCTTCGTCGATATTGGTGAAGTCCGTTTCGATGATAGGAGGCTGCCAGTTGAGCGGATCACGATCCTCGTTATCAGACGTATTGACCGAGTAACCAGAATCATAGTCAGGAGAATAAGGTGCATAGTAGCATGTATCGGATTCTGGTTCTGGTTCTGCATGTGATGGTATTTCGAAGTCTATGAGAGGGCTTTGCGAGTGTCCGGATGAATGCTGGGTATCGAAAAACTGTGAAGGATGATTGGATCTCGGTTCCGTAGTTTGATATGAATAATGGTCATTATGCGGCGTGCTGTCATGATGCTGTTGGATGCTGTTATACAGATTGTGCTGGTTTGAATACATAATGAATAAGTCTATAGTTTTAAGAGAGTACAAGTGGTGGTGCGATGCGACAGGGATACATATGAGACGCGATGCGTATATTGATATCGACGCGTTAATGATATAAATCACGTGGCTAGTTTTTTTGCTTCAAAATCACTCGGTAGTAGGGCAGCGTCATCCCACAAGCGAGTTTTATTAAACTGTCTATCTAAATGTATTCTAGACGAGAAAAAAAACCCCTCTTCCAGTATCGAGTTAACGATTTTATGCAACTCGGAAGTCACCATCGAGAACCTCAGATACAGTGCTCTCGAAACTTCGTGTGGCTATGTTTTAAGGTTTTAAGCTTATGTAAAGTTGAGCCCTATGTTCGGGATTTTGCGAACGCACACCTCTTGCGACGCGTTGCTCAGACTTTGCTCACACCCCACTATGCCCTTCGCCCTGGCTGCCCGAGTCGTTCTCCTACTGTGTCCATCCCGACCGCCCATCAAGTTGGCAAAATGATGCGAGTGGGTAAGTCAGAGATTCACATTGTTTGGATTGCTATTGTAAGGTTATTGACTTTGCTCTGTCATATACTCGGTGACACGATGGTGCAAAGGCTATTTCCAACAATTGGGAAGTATTTTAATACATACTGTTGCCATTCCCTCATTTACGCTAGTTTGCAGGGCAGAGGCAGTCAAGGCTTGAAGCTTGAAGCACAGTCGATGACCGCATACACGCAGGTATGTAGTTTGAAAACTGAGGAATACATTTAGATTCTAATGTGTGTTGTGCTGGTGCATAATCTAGCATCGATTCATCGTTCGATCTCAATATTCGATGTCTGTTGAGTTCATGCTCACTGAGGGTGACATGATGAGTTTGCCTGTAGGTGGTACTATTTAGTACTTGCTTGTAGTCGCTTTGTCCCAAATATGTATACTCGGAGTCGTAAATCAAATCAAATGCCCTTTTCTATTTCTTGTTTTCGAGTGTGAAATAATAACAAGCCCCAGTATGCTATGGTACATGCATGACTCTCTAGCTTTAATGATGGACCTCACATACAAGGCGTGAAATTGCATACATCACGTAAATTAGCATACATACTGTGTCAACCTGCCATCAAACATCAATGCAAGCAGTCGCAAGCATCAACATTTAAGGGTGTGTGCAAACCTGGCACTAGTATGTACTATCTGGTACCTATTTTACTGATTCTATGTCGTGGTATGCTATTACATGATAATGTCACTTTTGTTGATGTACCTTTGGGTTTTCATCAAAACTTCAAAAACCTGGTATTGCCTGATTAGGCTGATGCTGACAAATTGTTTTGGGTCATGGGTGACACACCAGTGGTTTGGGAGTTTTTCACTATGCGAGATTGCTTTCAAAATGTTAGTGATAAAGTTGGAGTTTTTACTATACATTTTGACACAGTAAAGATAAAAAATTTGGATGTGTGCCAAAATCCCAGGCAAAATTCTACATTTTATGTACCATTTTGAGCGCCATAAATTATAAAGTTTTGAGCGTAGGAAAATCTTCCTCAAAATATCATGTAACTAGGGACATTTGCCGATTGCAGCATAATTAAATTTTTTGCAAGATAAAATGGGTAGGTAAAATGTGAACTTTTAGCACGAGAAAAATGACGTGGGCACTCATCGGGCATTCATCGAGCACTCGTTGGGCATTCATATTGGGTATATAATATTGTAGAGTACAAGTTTAGAGTACAGGGAGTCTGCAAGAGTACGATATAGATGCCTATCAGAATCTACTTTCCTCCACAAGGCATATTTGATCGAACTGCAAAGTGAAGCTAGTCCTAGCAGTAATCGCAATCTCAACAGTATTCTTCTTCATGTTGCACTTCGCGACAGTTATGATCTCACCACGAGATTCACCATCCAGGACCACTTTTGGTTTTTTTTTTGCGCAGTGGAGCTGGACTTAGATCACTGATGGGGATATGGTAGTGCTGAAGTACGGCTCCGGCACCATTGGATGTACAAAATACCGCAATGCAGCCATCAGGTGCGGGTCCATTGTCACCGCAGAACAGGTCAGGACAAGCTGTCGATACGAAGCAATTATGCAGTCTGCCTCCCATGAAACTTGGTGATACTTTAAGCACTGCGTGATGACGAGTCAACTTCAATGCAAACTCCTTGTTCATTAACCAACATAACGGGCCTGTAATGAAATAAGCCAAATGTTAATAAGTCTACGTTAGAGACTCACTGCTGTTTCGGGACTTCTCCTTTAGATCTGCAATGGTGTCCTCGATGTCCTCTGCATTATTAGCAACCCAGGGGTCATATGTCTTGACACCAGCAGAAAGGCTATTCGTCGAATCATGATTGTTATGGCTGGTCCAGTTGGACCACTCGCTGGAGCTGGGATCCATACTAGAACTGGATGGGACTACGGGATCAGGTGGAGGGGTCTTGCTTCAACATGGTGGCATTAGGTACAATTTCCTCTGCATCTCGCAGAAAGAGATCATGTCCGGATCTTCGAGTATTGCACTGTTTAACCTCATTCTGTATCTTAAATAGTCGTGAATAAAAATTAATACAACAATATACAATATGATCACCTAGTAGCAACGTCCTCGCGTTAAACTGTAGTGCGCGCTTGCCCATGCACAGAAATGAAGCAGGTATCTTGAGTGAGTTGGTATAGCGTGGCTCGGTAGCCCTTCTGTGCACCTCCAATAATGAAGACTTCTTTACCGATGATGTTGTGAAATGAATCCGGGTTCACGTTGGATATTTTCATGACGAATCCAATAGGAACATTGACCTGTCATATCTTAGAGACGCACGATTTGAGGAGAATAGTACTTATGAGTGAGTAATTACCCTCAGATATCTGGGTCAGGCGCGCATTTGGAAAGTCCACGGTTTGCACGATCCCTTTTGTCTGGAACTCTGGCCCATGGGCAACAGTCACGACATCTCTGGGCTTAACATCATAACCCCTCTCCTTGGTAAATTGGAGAGTCTTGAAGGGATGAATGTGCTGTACAAATGCTGCAGGGGCGTTGATCAACTGATCCTTGATATTGCCCCCAGCCCGGAACCACAGCGTGGTCCCCCCCATAGGAAACCACACCACAATCCCGCATTTCCCCATGTACTCTCCCGCACATACTTCTATCTCATCCCCGATTTGAAGAGATTCGGACTCGGGAAGAGGGTCGAAATCTGGCTGCATTGGCGGCTGGGATTGAAGTACGTGGGTTAAAGGACAACGATCTAAATAGTACTTCGATACTTCCACCTATGTAATGTCAGACAGGCTTACAGGAGGTTCTATTTACCCATACCTCTTCATTGGTGGTTTCTTGACACATGTGAAACAAGTCCCCAGACTTCTTAATGATGTGCCCTTCCAGACCTGCGTAAGCGCCCGCTACGACTCGAACCGTGTCGCCAACCCAAAAGACACGCTCAATGTCCTGGAGTCGAAATTCCAGTTCTTGTCCATGTCCATCGAGGGTGAACTTTAAGCATGCGGAGCCAGACACATGGTTTGTCGAGATGACCGTACCGATTTCTGAGCAGACTTCTCCTGTGATAGGCCTGGCTGAATCACCTACGTGCAAGAACTGCAGTGAAAAGGCCTTGAGAGTTTTCTTGAAGAAAGGTACATCCCACCCGGACTGGAGATGTAGTTGAATGTCATTAGCATGAGGGGAGGCGACCGGCTCCAGGCTGTCGCGGCGAAAGTTCTTCAGCAACAGTCCCATGTAGTACCGCTCTCCTTTGTATGACCATCCTACGACTTTATCATCCTGAAGAATGTCAGGCACTGTCTTGTCACTCGGCAGGTGAGCTCGGTTGAGCAGCACCACAGATCTCTTAGGCATGTCATAGGGGAAGTCGCGTGGGGGAATCAATACTGTGATGAAGTCATTTGATTGTTTGGGGTCAAAGACATAGCTGATGTCGCCCTTATATTTTCCCTGTGTGATCTTCACCCACCCGGGGTTGGGAAGTGTAGAGCATGAACGTTCGACTGCTGCTTGTTCTTCCTCCGAGATGTAAATATAATCTTTCATGGAGGAAGAGAGTAATTTGAGCGATGTCGCAATCGTTCTAGGGCTATCTGAGACAGCATAGAGCTGGCTTGGTATCCAAGGTGATACGGTAATTGCAAATCCATTGCTCCTGAGATGTTCAGCGACACATTGTGTGGCAGATCCTGTGATGCGTTCAGTGCCATGCTAGGTCATTAAAATATGCACTCACTGTGAACATGGAGAAGGTACATCCTGCTTGGGACCACGCTGGAGGACGAGACCGCTCTAAGACAGGTGCTTGGGGCGTTCCCATCGTACCTGTCGAAGATGTGATTGATCGCTACGGATAACCTATCCTTGGGCGACGAAGGTCCTGGCAAGCGTGTAACATTCAATGACCGCACAGAAGGGCCATCGTCACCCTCCACCTGCAAGTTGTCCTCCTCCTCCTCCTCCTCCTCCTCGTCATTATCAGATGCCTTGTCGTCGATAAAGGGATTTTTTGGCTACATGTATTTAGTATAGAAGTCATAACAAAATGAATATATTTCTTACTCTTCGGACGCGTCCGCTTTTCAAGCGACCGGCTGCCTTCGAGGCAGGCATGGATAGGGCAGAATCTTTCCACGGGGTAACGATTTTCGATGGACTGGAGGTGCCCTGGGGTATATGCCTGGCCTTCAAGGCGAGAAGATTTGCTAAGGTGAGGCTGTTATCACCGTTGCCGGAGAACAAAGCATCATGAGCTTCTTTCCAATCATCCGCGTTGTATTGATTGCCCAAGTACGAGGAAAAGGCTGCCTCCATCTGAGGGTAGGTCATCTCAGTAGTGAGGTACTGTTCCAGAACGCGCCATGCGCCGTGATCTGCCAGCGGTGATGGTGCTCTCGTCCCTGTTATATGCATAAGACAAAATACAGACAACATGATGCAACAACTAACCTTCATGATTCCTGACGCGTTTCGAGGTAGGTTCGTCATCATGAGACTCAGATGCCGTGCATTTGGACATCCTGTAGTTGACATCAATTAATTGAACATAACATATACATAATCCTGTTGCAACAGGAACACTTACAGTGCAAGTACTCTGTATTCTATCTATCCAATACCTAAAGACTATGATCTATGTCTATCTATCTATCAGTGTATTGAGTAGTGGGTGATGGAAAGAAGAGATGTTAACGCGCAGGAACAATATTTATAGTGAACGACTTAATGTGGAAGCGCTTAGCAAATACGGATGACAATTGTGGAGACAACATTGTGGTCCTCCAATGTTTTGTGCTAAGACCTAAAACAAAAGTCCTGCCCGGCCCACATATACTTGTAACTAGCATACGCGGCAACAGTCATTTTAAAGTAGCACTTAATAATACATAATAGAAATGAATTCCTATCCTATCGCTTGTGTGTACTTGAGTTTGAAAAGGTAATTTTGGTCAAAGGACGACCCTGATATACAGCACGACTATGAGTTCAAACCCAGCTGGCCGTGGGCACTGAGTATGATTTTGGGCTGAGATTGAATCTCATAGTCGTTCCATATATTAACTGCATCTGTCATTAACTTCTCTTTCTTTCCGACTTCGATCTTTTGCTCAGTGACAGTCAGTACTGTAGTCGAAAGTAACTTTGGTGCTTGAATCCGACTTCAGTGACTTTGCGCACAATAGTAAATTTAAAAATAAGCTTGACTTCGACTGAGTATGATAGTAAGTATAGTTAAGCTTTTGACTTTGACTTTTGAGTGATAGTAACTAAAATGTCAATGCTATTAATAATAGGGGCTAAGCCTGGACCGTGGCAAATCTACATATTGATGTGTAGTGTCCGATTATCGATGTGAATTGATACACTATGCGTACATTCTTTCACCATATCAGAATCTGTCTAATTTCCGAGAAGAATCACGGTGTGCATATCTTCATCACGCAACTTTTCACATCCCAATACGATGGACTTGACGTGTTCATCATGTTTTCTATTATCCACCGAGTTTCGTGCCCTCTCAAGGAATTCGCCCCTTCTCTGATCCTCGATATATTTCTCTAGTAAGAGATGAACATCATCTGGCAGGTCCTGCGGTCGATCCCCGAACTTTGAATATTCTTGCTAGACATTTCCCAATGACGCCAATGAGAATGAGTTGTATTGCCCGAGGACCTGCAGCCTAGTGAGTCAGCTTGTCTTGTCTCTGACGATAGTACTAACATATGCTATCATCGCCATTGCAATAACTAGCTGGACTATTCCCCGTACGAAGTGCTTCAGCGCTGATAGAGGTTGGCCGTCTGCTGACTTTGCAACACTGTCCTGTTTGCGACACCAGATGGAGATGGTCGGTTCTGTGTCATTTGCAGACGTTGCCCCGAAGATCAGGCTGCGGTGTGTGCTGTTGTATGTCTTCCGTTTGTCTGTCAGATCAAATTTTTTATCTCATGTAAATAGCGCACCATCACAGTTTGTACTCGGCCCGCGTCGGCATGTTGCAAGACTTGTTTCAGTGTCCCTTCATTTTTATCGAAAATGTAAATAACTCCTGTGTCACTACCCCCAACTACGAGGGTAGCCTTCCCCCCAAAAACAACCTGCTTCGGAAATGTCTTGACTGGGTTGGTATTATAGGTGCGGATACACACTGCATCATCCAGACAATGTAAGCTGAATTCATTCATGACATTGTCCATTAGGAACAGCGTTTGAGCTGCATCTACAGAAGCATACCCGCTGTAGTGACATGGTAAGTGATTATCAACAATTGATGTAAATATCACTTACATTAACAGCCCGGCATTGTTTGTAGCGATGACAACACCATCTGTGCCCCTAAGTGTATGTCTAGAATGGCCCATGGGATATTAGATGCACAGTGATCAGGTAGGTATGAACACTTACATCGGACCATCATACATGCCGAAGACCAATATGTTTCTACCTGCAGCACGGTTGAAATGTATGCTGCGCAGAATGGTAGTAGCGAGCTCGACACTGAAAATTGGTATCAATGGTCCCTTGAAGTTAAACGCCCACACTTGAATGTGTTTATCACGCGTCCCGTGCCATAACATAATGTCTCGCGTGTTGCCTCATGGCGGGTAATCCAACACGCGCAAGTTACTGGATCCGCTGGGTTTCGAAGGGCTGTGGTTTGAGGTGGGATTGGGAGCTGAGCTCGCCTTTTAAGGTCCCAAATCCTCATTCCGTCAGATCCTGGGACGTAATAAGTCAAGTCCTATTTCATCATGCATATTGAACTCACCCCCACTTGCTAACATACACCCATTGCGAGAGACCACTAAGCAATTGATGGTGTTCTTATGCCCGACAAGGCGCCCTTCGAGGTGATAATCATTGGAATGACTGGTGGGGAGTAAAAACATTGGAGGCATTAAAGTAGGTCCATCCATCGATGTCTTGAAGGACTTATATTGACTGACCGACACAATAAGGTTCATAACAAACTGGACGACAATCAATAATGACATCCTGCCTAACAACATTATCCTGGTAGGCATCCGATCAACACCTGAGCTAAACCACCCATATAAAAATGTCTTCTTGGCTCAGTTGGGTATCAGGTCAGTCATGCATTTATCCTCCGTGCCTGTCGCTCCTTTTTATGAGCCTGAAGGCCCTCCCCAGGCCCTCCCATTATTGACGTATCACACAGAGATGTTTTGTCCAACGACAATGTTAATCTCGATATCTTGGCAAGAAGAAATTGTATTCTTCCCTTGTAGTCTCAAACTCACAAGGCGGACTCCAACGCCTTCACGCGTGTTCACTACCCCGTCTCGTGCAGTGACACCCATCCCTTCTAGCTCACCTACCCCCAAAGTCGCCAAGGCTGTCTCATTTTCTGCAGAGCAGATCAGCCAGGTGTCAATTGGTTCTTCTTTGTCATCCATAGCTTCCCATGAATACAAAATCTCCAAACCAGATGGTGAGGCTGGACGTCCTAGCTGTGGTGGATACAACCTGGAAAAGGCACTCAAGTGGGATGCTGGCCGCTTCAAGGCATTTAAGGTGAGCTGGCACTTAAGTAATGAGATCCCCTTGAAACTAATGGCATTAGGAGTGTGTTTACGCTTTGATCCAGAAACACTGTGACACTAGCAAGAGCAAGACATCTCAAACCCCTGCCGTGATAGTTGCAGTCCAGACAGAGGTACATCTAGAATTTCTACATCTGTTTGATACTAACTTCGTTTGGGGTCCTATCTCACTTTTCAGAACTTAATGATTATGATGGCTGTTGGCCAATTGGAGATATAATTCAGATGCAGCTGAAAAACACCACTGCGAAGCAGCGACAAAAGCATATGAAATAGCAGTACACAAATAACCTATGAACGCACAATGTGGCTTTTTTGGTGATAATCGAAGAACAATTTGAAACGACTGATACCTAATAAATTACTAACGCGCTGCGTGTTGTGATTACTTGTACATTATTAATAGAGTTGTAACAATGTTGTAGTCGCAACTGGTCACTGCAACGCGGCCGTTGACATTAGGTGAGCTCTCTTCAGATAAAATTCGTGCTACTGAATGATTTGAATTGCAAGATGTCCCGCCTAATGTCTTATTTCTTTTTGGATGGTGCAGAATATGATCCAGTCACCCCAGTTGTAGAGTCTTACCCTCTCAACGAGCTTTGTCCAGCAGCTGCCATGCATACGTATCCCCCCTGGCCTGTTATCTCTGCCAGTTTAGATCCTTGTACATCAGCAACACCATCATCGCCCGCTACATCACTTGGCGAAGAGTTCGCGATGGATTTATTTGATAACCCCTGGGGACCTGCTTGTAGGAAGAGAGATGACGATGACCAGCCGGTGGGTCATCACATACTTCTTTGCTTTTCTGAGCTAACAAATATTCAGCCAAATCAAATATTCCTCAAAGAAGTCAATCAGTCGTCCAGACTGCGGGATAATGTGCATGAGTTACAGTTCTCCAAGCACGATCTTTTGCTCCGCAAGCGGCAAATACAGGTACACTCATTAAATATCTCCTGTGTTCATACCTGACTAACTTTCAGACCAATGCCAACTTGCAAGAATCGAATTTGTGATCTGTCATCACACAGTATCAAGAACACCAGGAATTCCTCGAGCGTGGCAAAGCCGATGCCCTCACATCATTGAATGAGAATCATCATAATGAACTCGCCGACTTGCAGGTAGGGTTCTTGTCCCCATGATGTTGATATCCTGACTTTCTGCACCAGAATCGGATGGCGTTGGGTTTACGTGAAGCACAACAGGAGGCATGCACAGAATGAGATATCCTACTAGCTAAACAAGACGCTTTCTTTCAATATGAAGCTAAGGTGGCTCAAGGGAAATTGTTGGCCGAGAAAGAAGCCGAGTTAGCCCGCCTCGCTTCCGGGTATAGCAGCAAGATAGCTTCATTGGATGTGCATATCGACATGTTCACATGTGGAGCTTTCCTGATATATTTACAGAGCCAAATGTGACAAGCAAACATCACAAGGTCCTCTCCCTCCCTCCCTTCATGGCGCCATGCTGTAGGCAAAAGACCTGTTGCCACATGCACAAATATTGTTGGCTTTTCGATAGTAAGCTCATGCCTCTATTGTACATTTCTGTTTATTGTCTGACATCACCCATGCCTCAGATTCCTGACGCAAGTTCAGATTCTGATAGGGACAAGGGTCCTCAGACTAGTATCAGGGGGGCTGCGCCCCCCCTGACTTCGCTATTAAGTGATGTTCTGATCCAGAATGCCACCATCAGCATGCTTGTTGAGGCGCTCGCAAAGGTTCTACAGCAGACAGCGCCCCCGAGGGCAGCTTGATCCAGACGCAAAACCCATGAGACCCCTATCGAGAATTTTACTGATACCCAGCACCAAAATAATAAGGTACATTTTTTCCTAACACAACTGACATTGCTAATGAAAAGCCAGGCCAATGTTCGGGAACTATTTCATATGGCATTCCATTTCGCGAAAGATGATGAGTATATGCTTCATGTCAGTGCGTCGAGTGAAGCCATATCGTGCTTTACGCACGGACTGGGCATGGGCCCTGACCCTCTCGAACTGCACTGGGATATGACGACCACACACAACTCCAAGTGGAATCAAAGAGTAATTGATATTCTCTGTTCCCAGTATACTTGCACATTTGAGACAAACCAATTGGCCTCAAGATCTCCTCAGTCCATCAAAAACGATATTACAAAGAAATTCAATCAATGCCGCAATTCCTGGAGAAAAGCCCAGCCTCGTGTGCTCAGCGATGGCACTTGTGAGACTATGCAAGAAGTAGGAGACCGACTCGTGGATCAGACCAACAAGCGATTGCGGGTCACTAGGGTCCTCACTCACAGGGCGACGGTAAGTCATCTTTCTGTTTGCCTTGAAGAATGTTAAGTTGGTTTCTAGAAGTTCGAAACTTGTAAGAAAATCACGTCGGCCCTGCTCAGTGACAGGATAGTGACTGGAAAGGATGACCAGGCTGTATGGGCATATCTACAATCCCTTGTGGAGACTCTTGGCAAAGATGGCATGAGCTCTGATGAGAGTGAGCATGAAGATGGTGAAGTTCAGGTATTTCATCTGAAGAAGATGCCGTAGAGAGCAGATGTCAATCATGAGATGCATATCATTGATCAACAGCGGTTGGCGGGTGTCGTGAACTTCACTCCCCGCGGAAGCAAACCCGCAAAGCATTTTCGCAACGCGATCCAAGAGTCTTCTCGCCCAGCAATCGAAGGCTTACCGAGGGTGTTATACAATTCATTATGGTTGAATGACCAATCTCCTTCATTCACAGTATCTGACAAGAAGCTTCAGAGGATGGAAATTATCCTTTCCCGCCAGTGATCATATAGCCGCCATTTGTACGTGTACTGATAGCGTGTTTATAAAGTTTTAGCCCCGAACGATAAATTGTCGCAACACTGACTTTACAAACCCCTCGGCCAAGTGCTTGTACAGGGAGATGGTACGGAAAAACCTTATATATATATATTTGGCTCCACTGATCTCGACCCTAGTCTGATATTGTCTTGAAGCATAAAGCAGATGCTATACTAGATCCCTTTTCAATAAAATGTGTCATACTTTATAAGCCCTGTTGCGCCCTGGCATTCATATGGTCCCTACCCGCTGAAATCCTCATTGCTATCGTCGCTCTTTTAGGAGCGGAAGATTTGCGCTGTGTTACTCAACTTTGTTCTCTGTTTAGAGAAATCGCTGGTCCCCTCTTCTTCATCAACCGGAGCTTCCCAACTTCACCGCAAGACATGTTTCACATCCGTGTAGACTCGCACAATTTTGATGTTCTATTTACTTGGATACATATGGATACCTTTCGTCCTCCGCATATGATGTTGTGTTGGTTAGATCCTGATCTGCGGTCCACGCAACTCTCTGCATTTTCGCACTTTCTCCAGTCCATCCCCCATAAATCCATACAATACATAACACTTTTCTGGAATTTTGACATTCTTACTTGCTCAGTTCTCCCTCAGATCATTAGTCTTCAAGACCATCCGCACCTCTGGCTGCGAGGATATGACGTGCATGTCATTCCACGGTCGCATTGGCTCATCATCCGTCACTGGACTCACCAGAATTCAGGGGGATGTGAGCGGGAACCACCTCAGAACCTTTGATGCATCATCACAAGCATTATTTTCCCCTGAACTCCTTGCCTTCACAGTCCAGACCATTTGCTTTTCCTCCTTGGAAAAGCTCCGACTCAGTTACATCAAACTCAGTCCTTTACACTGGGACAAACTGCTGCAGCACTTGACCATCCCAATGCTTGTTGAACTTCGAGTTGATGCTGATTGTGCGCCGTCTATGCTCATTTGTTTTCTGGCCCGTCACCCCGGCATTAAAGACCTCAGTGTCATTCCATGACCTGGTTGCCTCTGGAGGACCCATCGAGTCACCACTGCTTTAGCATTATCGGTATCTATGCTAGATGGCCCTTTGTCTCACATCCTCCCAGTCATTCAGAGTCACCATAAACCACCCACCCTCTCCTGCCTTGCTCTCTTGTTGCAAGCCCATGATGCTTCACCTGACTACCTTACTACCATCATACAATGTATCGGCTATTGTAATAGTGTTGGATACCTTGACCTTTCCCTGCCTCCGCAGAGTCATTCCCATTCAGCAATAATTTACACAGGTACCCAGTCAGCAATTCATGTTAAACACTTGGCGATCTCCTTGGACGCTGCAGGCTCGTGCTCCACTTCGGCGGGAGATGCATTGGTACGTGTTTGTTAAAGCACTATTTCAATACCTAGATACTGATTGTAGCTCCAGGCATTATCTGCTTCATGGATTGAAGCCTTTCCTCGAGTCAAACATGTCAGCATGCGAGGCTGCTCCAACCTCACTGCCGAGTATCTTGTTCACATGATGCGCAAATTTGCTGCTGCTGATGTCGAACTGTCTGTGAAACTGCATACTGAATATTCCTTGTAATTCATAGTTTGTTATGCGCCCGCCTAGCTTGTCCATCTCCTCAGAATCAAATACCCAAAGGCTGCATTTGCGCGCATAGGATACTTACTGATACTTACAAAGATGTGTCCTACTGTACTGCTATATATTCCATATTCCATCCAAAAGGGCGCATATAGCATTGACACAAATTACATCCGCAGGCGTTTCGCTCCATATACAGAATCCTACTTTGCAATTCACTGACATATTTCCAATTGGCCAACGCACCAGCTGGCAATGCCCGCCAAAAATTCCCAGCAGGTGCTGGGTGCCAAATTCTGGCAGAGCTTGATTATGCAGTCATTCACTATATTAGGCACGTTCTTTCACTACTTTACCTCTTTCCTATGTTCTTACCGATAATACCCTATACTTACGTGGATTCCAAGCTCGTTCAGTCATGTACTTAAATATAGCACTACTATGTACTTATATACTTATTGTGATGTTCTTATTTACGTTGAGCATTCGAGATTTGGTGCGTTGTTCCCTTGAGGGGATGAACTTGATTGAAATGAAAAGTTAGTCAATTATGCGCGAACAGTGACCACATATCAAATTTCGGATTCGGCCCCCCTGTAAGTACCCCCGCTGACTTGATGATCAGTGCTAACTACTTTCCCTATCATTATTCTATATATCCCATAAAATCAACAAAGCCAGTTGTCCATTGAAATTTGTTAGATGCCTAGCCAAATATTCCTTTGCAAATGTACCCGATGCTGCGAAGTTGGAGGTGACGGAGTGCCTAATAATCCTGGCGGCAAACAACTGCCCGTCGCGATGAAGCATGTACATTTGTTACAAGATGCCAACATTGCTTCCTCACCTCGTGAAGCTTCTGTGCTTCATCTTGCTCGTCAGACCTTATTAGAGCCCAGCGATTTGCATCACTCCACAGATCGTCAAGCGTCGTCCTCCCAACATTTGGCTCACCCAACACATTCACCCACAACATTGACGCCGGTGGATGACCTTGCCGCTGAACTATTTGCGATCACCCTAAGCGACATCGAGAGCGATCCAGATAGTCATAGCAAACTCTGGGTCTCCCTATCAGAGGTTCAACGGGACAAGGGAAAAAGCCACTCTCTGGATGCTACCACCAATGTGATGTCTGGACTCACTCTGGATGATACGCAGTAAGCATCGTATTAGACATCGCCTTACATCAAGCTCTCTAATTTGGTTGTTTCTTAGACATATTGCCTGTGCTCTCCAGGCTGTTGAAGTGCGGCACCAGTCAAGGGCTCAAGTAACTTTGAACATTGTGGAGTCACAGATGGCTAGAGCTCGCACTCGAATTTTCTCCGCAACTTCTCGTGATGTGCTACGTCTCATACGAGATGAGCTAGGTGGAATAACTACAACCCTCAGAAAAGTCAAGCACAACATCTCCTCCATCATTTCTCGCAGGAGCCAGCTGGAAGCTTCGTGCGATGAAATGCATAGACTGCTCACCAACAAAGAAGATGACCTTCCTGTATCATCTCAACCGGTTGAGTTTGATTTTTGTGAGTTCCATTCATTTCCTCCCTATGTTCCTCTGACTAATATCCTATGAAGCACATCATTATGATTTGCCAATCGACTACTGTGACGAGGTTGCCCAACTATCCCTCTTTTTAGGGGCGGTCTCTGTTGTCATTTTTGGCATCGGTCACAGACACGGGGAGTTTCTCATGGGAGTCCTATCCTCAATTTTGAGTCTCGTGATGGATGCGCAGGACCCTCATTCCGAGTCTCGTCGGCAAAACACTCTTGCTCAGATTCCATGATCTATGGAAAGCGCGCTTTCACACTTCAAGCTCAATGGCCAGACCACTACTTACGCAGTCTGTCCAGCGTGCAATTGCACTTACAAGCCGGCGACTAACCTCAACACAAGTAATGCACAATATCCCACAAATTGTTTCAACAAACCCATACCAGAAGGTGATCCTTGTGGTGAACTGTTGCTGCAGCGCTCCGGTGACAGGCAATTCGAGCCAATAAAAACATTCCTTTATCACCACTTCCACGACTACCTTGCGGGATTGCTGTCTCATCCCGACCTGGAGGCCTTGATGGATAGGCCTTGTGATGATCTACTAGCGTCCATTGGGAGTACACCGCATATCGTCAAGGATGTTTGGGATGTGAGTTTCTTTTGCACCTTCAAGGGTCTGTCCGGCCAGTCTCTATTTATTGACAGAGGCGATGAAGGGCGATATGCTTTCACACTCAACATTGATTTTTTCAATGTTGAAGGCAATCGTCAACGAAATGCATCAACATCCACCGGCATCATCTCATGCGCATGTTTGAACCTCCCCCTTGATATCCGGTACAAACACGAGAATATGTACTTAGCTGGTATCATTCCTGGACCTTCAGAACCTTCAGGAGACGAGTTGAATTTCTTCCTCGATCCTATGGTTGATGATATGGTTGAAAGTTGGGAGCACGGGATACATTATTGCCGCACAGCTCTCAACGCTCATGGTCGGGTTACACGCAGCGCCATAGCATGTTTAGTATGTGACCTCCCGGTGGCGAGAAAGGCCGCTCAGCTGGCAGGTCCAACGAGCCATTTTTATTGTACTGCCTGCCATTGCTGGCACAAATCGACTTGCGGTCGAACAGATGTTCAGTCTGAAGATTGGAGACTTTGGGACAAGGACAAAGTGCGCCGCTATGCTGAGCTCTGGAAGAATGCTGGAACTTCTGCTGAGCGCAATAAGTTGTTCGCATCACACAGGGTGCAGTGGTCGACACTCTGGAGGTTATCATATTTGGATCCTTCTCGCCAAATCGTCGTTGATGCCATGCATTGCCTGCTGGAGGGTCTCGTGCATGCTCATTTTCGCAAATTTCTAGGCCTCACGTCTGATTCCGCACATCGCAAGCCTGATTTTATCCCTGCTTTTACTTATCTCTTCCTTGATGTCGACCTCAACAAACCTCGAGACTTCCCAGAAAAAGACATCAGGGTTGTCAAATCAATTCAGAGTCTCCTTACTGAAGCAGTCCCCAACCTTGAAGGGAATGACCCACAGCTTATCGAGGATCACCTCGCACAGTTAGAGAGAAAATTGTTGAACAAGACAGTCGCATCCCTTCAGTTTGTGTCGGAAGGATTGGGTGTCACGCCAGACATCCCTCACCCTGGCAAAAAGGTCTTCAAACCCTATTGGGTTAGATCGCTCATCAGTTGGGTGAGTATTTTACTTTATTGGTGTTATTGTACTCTTAAGCCGCCTCTGTGTAGTGTCGAACTCAACCTTTCGCGCCTGAGCTGTCAAACTTGCACATTGCTACCCCAGAGGTCATGCAACACATTACCGATGTGATTAGGACAACAGATACGCCATCCTCGGTAAGATCAGTCCCCTATAACTTCGGGGAAACAAAAGCTGGAACCCTGAAGGCCAATGAATGGTGCACCTTAACGACATTATACTTACCCATAGCTTTGGTAAGCTTGTGGGGCGAGGGATCTACTCACTACACATCGGAAATTGCAGTCAGTCGTTGTGCGATCCTTGATCATACGATGGCCCTCGTATCTGCCGTCCACATTGTGTGTCAATGATCTATGACGACGGCTCGAGCAGAAGCATACCGTGGATGCATTGTCGACTGGATGAGGGACCTGCAGGTATTACTTCCACGTGCACCCCATCGCACGAATGGCCATATGGCATTGCATGTCTGGGACTACTTGCAGCTCTTCGGTCCTGTAAGGTCATGGTGGTGTTTCCCATATGAGTATCTCATCGGGCAGCTGCAACAGTTGCCAAACAATCACATTTTCGGTACGATTCTAACTTCTGTGTCAATAATGGACTTACGCTGGCTCACGCAGGTCAGCAAGAATCAACTCTCCTTCACTCATACATGAAGGCTGCAAAGCTTAAATGTTGGCTAAACCGACCTTCTTGTCCTCCTGTGTTTAGGGAGGTGAAGTCTCTATTCGACAGATTGGTGTCTCCCTTAGTCGACACTGATCCTATTTCTCTGTCCAAAGATCGCCCCCTTACACAACAAGTCATTCCAGACGACCTCCATCAACTCATCCAAGTTCGGTGGGCAGTCTTGCATGCCCACACATTCCACGAGGGATCCATCTATACCCATGACTCCACCCATGTAGGCAACAGCCTGATCCTCTATTATCATGGCGGTATCAGGAACGTGCCCCCGACACTGGGGATCATCAAGTACATTTTCGAGATGGAGCGAGTAGTGGGCTTTGCCGTACGGCGTTACCTCCCTCTGTATTCTCACCCCAATCCTTTCCGACACTATCCTTACTTCCCGGCTCATTTATATTCTTCAGTGCTCATCGATCATCTTGAAACTGTCAAGCCTGAGTGGGTAGTGTCGCACTTCGCACGATGGAATTTTCTCCACAGCACATTGTTGCCGTCTCCTTGTGTCGAGTATGTTCCTCCCCATTTTTCACATGTCATATCTCACGACGTATAGGACTGAATCAATCTTGATTCAAAACACAGAGTGGAACTCTAACTTCACGGTGTCACCCGCTTGAAGCGTGGTTCTGGATCCGGGAAAATCCGGACTGAGTCTGAGTCATTCACTATAAAAGGCTCCAAATGTAGGTTTTATCTTTTTCCCTTCTTCCCTCTTCGGAATATATCACCACGGTCCTGTTTTTGCCATTAGCATCTGTACATACATACCTACCATACATATCTGTACCTGTCATACATATCTTGTCATATACATACCCCTGTACATTTTACCCATCATGAATGTTGTACCCGACGTTGCAGTGCCTGTCGAAGGCACCTCTACCATAGAACCAGTAATGTGTCCTTTGCGGATGGCTCCTATCTAGCTCCCAATGACGTCATCGATACTCCTATCAAACGGGACAGTTCCACCATGCTGCCCTTTACGACTCTTATGCGATGCCGGCTTGAAACTATTAATGCCATGGGTAAAGAGATGAAAGGTTATTTCGTCGGCCCGATGCCAGTTGGCGAATTTCTCCAGGAATTCTTACCAACTTCTCAAATTCCCGATTATGATCCTTCGTCCTTCACTTCAGCCTTCGCTGCTGGCGTATTCAACGACACGGTCTCTGTCAGAAATGAGGAACATGCTTACACATCCTTCGTGAGTATACCCTCGCACATACATTAGTGAGATTATTGATCGCCTAACCCCAGATTAACGCCATCAAACCTTTCGCTCCTCAACTATCATTTGTCGACACTCACAATCACCCAGACACGAAAAACTGTTCGAAATTAAAGTCAATGGTATTCAACATCAAGCCGGACGTCTGCGTGTATCCCGATGGACGTGAACCTTCATCTCGCAACTGTGATGTTTCTGCCACAGAAATCATCATTGAATTCAAATGGTCATACTCCCATGACGCATTCTGCGACACTGGAGTTGATAGTGTCATCTCCCAGATGGATAAGGGTATGGACACCCTGGGACAGATAACAAATTATACTGCAGCTCAGCTTGGCACCCAGTTCCGTACCCACACATTCTCTGTCCTGATCATGCATGATCGCGCTCGAATTATTAGATGGGATAGGGAGGGGGCTATCGTCACCAGCACCATCGACTACAATAACCAGTCAGACTTGGCTGACTTCTTCCATCACTACGCACGGGCATCACCTGAAATGCGTGGTGTCGATACTTCTGTAATGCTTGCTGGTGATGAGGAGGCTGACCTTGCAAGGTCACAACTAAATATTCCCAATACCACTTGTATGTTCAAAGTCGATGTCCCTAATGTCAAGGGCTCTGGCTTGCTCACATTGGTCTTTCCCCAACCTGTTACGAAATCTCATTCGCCTGTTGGCCGCTGGACATGCACGTGTCCAGCATTCGACCTTGTCAACAAGAAGCTCATGATGTTCAAGGACTCTTGGCGGGTATCGTTACCCAATGTCTTACCAGAAGGCGAGACGTACAAATTATTGATGTTGCACAAGGTTTCCCATATCCCAAACTGTATTGCATATCATGATGTACCCCCCTCTATTGCTCAGCAATCTACTCAAACTGCCAAGTTCGGCAGCACTAAATGGGCAAGGCCCCACTTACCTCTCACTCCACACACTCTTCACCGTCTGGTTCTCGATATTGTGGGCAAAAAATTGACTGACTTTGAGAGTTCTTGTCAAGCTTTTATGTCGTTCTGTGGACGACTCTTATGTACAAGGAGACCTACATGGACGTCGTTCACTGGACATCACTCATAACACAGGTTTTTGAAACCAACCCCGGATCATCCTCGAAAGCAAATTGGCTCATCAGGAGAAGCAATCTTCCCAATCTTATGTATGTCGACTGCAAACCGCTCGACATTCTTGTCCATGCACTTGCTGAGTTCTTCTCACATCGGTACACACGGATCACTGAGCATCAGCAGATGGTATTTGATAAATTCCGGCTCACATATGAGAGAGCAATGCGAGAAGTCCCTGTCGTACAAGATTTGCTGATAGCTTCACATGTGCTCATGACGAACTCCCCTGTTTACCAGAAGGAGATAGGTATGAAGGCCCTGGACTCGCATGACACCGTGATAGGCATTTTCAACAACCACCTTGATTTATCCAGTTGGCCTGTCAAAGACTCTGCTGTTCTGCAAAAGCTCGAGTTGGAAGACAAGTACAAACCAGTCTTGGTCACGAAGTCCCAGTCATTATTCGGCTCAGGGGTAGAAGTCACCCAGTCTGGCAAGAGGCGTAGGCTAGATGATCATGATGTGGACACTGACGATGATGGTGATGACCTCAGCATAACTGGCCTGGATGCACTCACGTCCTTTACTTAACCTCATAATGTAACTTCCTGCCAGGTATTACCGTATTCCAGTTGTTCACGAGTCTACATACATTATAGTGCATTTCCACTGACAAATGTGAATGCCTGATGAGCACCTAACATAAATGCCCAATATGAATGCCCAACGAGTGCCCAATGAATGCCCGATGAGTGCCCACGTCATTTTTCTCGTGCTAAAAGTTCACATTTTACCTATCCCATTTTATCTTGCAAAAAAATTAATTATGCTGCAATCGGCAAATGTCCCTAGTTACATGATATTTTGAGGAAGATTTTCCTATGCTCAAAACTTTATAATTTATGGCGCTCAAAATGGTACGTAAAATGTAGAATTTTGCCTGGGATTTTGGCACACATCCAAATTTTTTATCTTTACTGTGTCAAAATGTATAGTAAAAACGCCAACTTTATCACTAACATTTTGAAACCAATCTCGCATAGTGAAAAACTCCCAAACCGCCGGTGTGTGATGCCGCTGCGACGTTGATGTAAGCATTCAATCATGATGACATCAGTGAATTGATGAGTCCTTTATTTTGTAGTTGTGGGAACTACAGATGGATATAATTCTGTTCCTGCTAAATAATACCATTTACACTGCAAGAAATATTGGAGTGGTAGATACATAGCCATCGATGCCCGCAAGTCCAGAGTGACGTGAGCGGTCAATGACAATACAGCAACATTCCTCATTTCCAGCCGGTGAGCAGTGGTAGCACACTTGTATCGAGATTTTTTGATGTTATCATTTTGCCTTATTTATGTTTTGACTTATGGCGTGATTCAAGGCATTCTCACGCGAACCACCTTTGGCGATGGTCAGAAAATCTATAATATCATTGCACTTAATAACAAATGTGACATTCCTCGTTTCCAGCTGGTGAGGGACAGTAAAGGCCTGGTCAATTCTAAAATGTCGTTGTCAATGCCGACTTGACCTTCTCGTAAATGAGTTACGCGGATCTTAAACCTGCCCTGATTTGGCTACCGTGTCGGTTAAATCTGTTGCTTGTGTTCTTCTGCCGTACCATAGTAATTGCAAGTTGAAAAAACAAAGTCCTTGTGTGGCTGACATTGCGCAAGTACAACAAGTGATGAACTACTTGACTGGACATCATAATGCCTATGGTCTACTGTAGAGATACGCACCTAAGTTCGACCCAATTTGGGTATGACCAAATGAATGTTAGGTTCGAAAGTTTGAAGGGGTGTGTGACATGTGACATGTTGCGCATAGGTTCGTTGTGTGTGACGACCGACGCTTAGGCCTTGTCAGGCAGACATATTTCTTTCTATAGCATTTCACAATGACAAGCGCAGAGATGCTCGCGTCAGTCCCTGATGGCTATAGCGCTGATGGATTAGGTAATCTGCTGGCACACAATGAGTCAGAGAGCTATGAACAAGCGCTAGATGATACAGAGCCTCAAAGTTCGAAGGAGGTTGATGTTGAGGGTCGTGGCAAGCGCAGACGTGTTGCAAATACTCAGTACAAGGACTTTTGGCAGCACTAGGACTTTTTCGTATTTCTACTGCATGTTTTTGTGTCTTTACCTCATGTCACAATTTAAGTTCGATGTCAGCCATTTCAGAGGGTGTCTGTTAAGACCGTACTCAAGTAGTATCAGATCCGAAGGGCTTTGGCCTCAGCTCGTGCGCTGTGCCCCTTTCCCAAGTCTTGCCCCTTATTTCAGAGTGTTAGAGTATCGCGTCTAGTGAGACGGATAAGTATCATAACGGATCCGTTAAGGCTTCCAGATATCGAACGTATAGAGTAACGGTTAATCCGGATCGGATCCGAACTAGAAGCTAACAGGTGAGGACTGTCCGAAGACAGAGGCAGATATATAGACTATAGGAATCAATCCTAAGTCTCAGAGTAGACAAGAGTATTGTACTCAAGTCCGGACGGATAACAGAGGGACTTAGAGTCCAGACGGAATGAGTGCAATCTAAGATGATATTCAAACTGATCTACTACAGCGCATGTACAAGGGTTTATATACTATGGATAACTAATGGAATGATCAATAAGCAAAGGCACGAGGCTATGTATGAAGTATAAGCAAAGTATGTGCACAGTGTATTGGTAAGTCGGATGGATCACAAATCATGAACCGGGAATGAAGTATAAGTTAAAGCGGATCAGTAAGTGTAGCGGATCAGTAAGCATAATGGAAGTAAAGGATAACCAGTATACCGGTGTACAGGAATACCGAAAGGAGATGAACGATAGTTAGAGTTATATGAACAGGACATGAAATAAGAATCAGATCGGATCTGTGGACCGGACAACGGATATGTCCATCGGATCTAGATCAGATCTGTACCCGGGTATATGGTATATGACAGTGTCTCATGTCCCGACATGCTCTTGTTTTCTCTCAGATGTCTCCAGGATGAATCATCTGAAAGACCTTGGAAGATCAAGCTCACATTCATTTACAGAGATTTATGTATCACTGCTTTTCAGCTAGATGGGTGGGGAAGAGCGAAATTCTGTCATTTCTGTTGTATTCTGATGATTCATTATAGTTCATCATTGTTCGACATTGTTTATTGTATGTAAGTAGGCACAATTATCAGGTATCATAAGGATTACACTCAATGACTCTTCAAAGCCTCGCAAATCTCAGATAGGACGGCTGTTTGCCTGTTGATGGCAGCTTCAATGTCTCTCCCAATCTCCCGTAGTGTTTCAACCTGTGTGGCACCTTTGAACTCAAAGGCTTTTCTCAGCCTTTTGTGCCTATTTGGACGCCATGGCTGCCCTTCTAAGTTTGGTTGCAACAATGCAGCTCACCTGGGTGCAGTATCTTCATCATCTAACCATGACATTTTGCGCTTGACTGTGTTATTGAAGTCTTCTGACATTGCTGTAATCCAATTCTGAAAGAACCCAGTAACTTTAGGAACAATTTCAGAGGAGGAGCCGGCATACCTGTTTCAGTCTTTCAGGGGAGTCCACCACATGCTTGTAACACCCGCATGGATAGACAGGTGCGCCTTGACCATGCCCCGCTTGACCTGGGCAGTTGACATAGTCATGGCTCCTTGAAGATACAAACTGGTCCATTTCGCTGGCCTTGACAGGCCCAGCGGCATCAATTAGGAAAAACTCTGCAGCATCATTGAAATCAGATGGGCGTGAATCAACACTTTCTGAGTCAGAGGACATTTGAGAATGTAATTTTGCCTCTCTCAAGGTAAAGAGAATATATACTACTTCCCTGCCTCTCGGTTTGTATCACACTGATGCTAATATCACATTATCACAGTGCACACTAATATTGCCAATTTGGAACGTCTATTTCCCAAACCATAGCTTGTGCTTGGAATTTTCTTTCGAACCACAAGTGTTTCGTTATGGATATGTAAGCAATCTGTTCTTACTGAAGTAAGCATTGAAGATTCTATGTTGCACATGTACTAGAAGAGATCTTCCAGCTACTTCCAATTTGATATCTTACCCACTCACCGACGTTGTTTAGTTTTGGAGCAAAACAGATAGCCATCTTCCCTGAATTGGCACTGAGAACAAGTTGAGTTCATGTGCCTGATGCTGCAGTCTGTCTGAATCAGTTTCTACCGCCTCCACTGCTTTCTGGAGTGTAGGAGTTCAACAGGCCCATGCTCTGGTGCTGGGATATATTATGCCTGACATTCAGTCCAGTGCCTGGGGTGCGCTCTTCTAGCACTATGACTACGGGGTGATAGATATAATGTCATTCGATCCTGAATATAGCGGATGCTAACAGCATAAGGTACTATCTAGAGAAGCAAAACCACCAACGAGAACCATAAGAAATGTACCACAAGGAAACAAGACGGTACAAGAGACTAGCCCTGAAAACTCAGGAAGTGAGTGCATGGTCACAATCATGTAGTTGTAATAAGCGATGGTCAATCTTACAACTGTGGCAGGATTTATTAGCACCCTCAACAAAGGCAATACGTCCATTGAAGGGACTTACATTACAAGTATTATGCTATCCCTAATCTGTGGGGCAATGTGATCCCAACTAGCGATCAGTTGACTCATCATTGAGGTCATGTCATCAAAGAATCTCGTTGTCTCCTCATTGTTCACCAAGTTGGAACTATAGCAACCATCAAATCTCTCAATAATGTCCCAGTCCCATTCGGCGCCGAATGCATCCTGCAGCTGGAGGAAACCTTTCGAGTCAGCTTAAGAAAGATATAAATATAGACATACTGTGATGATGGCACATCCCAGGCTGTACCTGAGGTTTTTCAGCCCTGGTCCGCAAGTCAGCACTCGTGTGGAGCGACAGGTGATAATTTCGTGTCAAATTGCGTTGATACAATAATTTGCGAGGAATTCTGCCATAAGGCCCAGAGGGAGGGAGTTTCTAAACAGTTGTTTTTCTCCTTATACGTGCACGATAGATTATCAGTATGTCAAAATGTGTATACCAATACTTACCATATGTGAATCGTGGGTATGGAGCCATTTGTATTTATTATCATCATGCCTAGCAAGTGTGACTCTGTCTGAAATCACCGCGCTGAAAGTATGTGTAACCGGGTCCAGGAGGTTTGATTGAACGAGGAAACTGAAGCAGCATTTTTTCCATAATGAAAATAGTCGCATTGGTCCACATATTCCCATCTTGTACTGCAAGGAAAAGACCACTGGGGATTCCTGTTGTTGGACATCTGTATGCAAGCTAGTTAGTGATAAGTTAGGAAAGTTGCAAGAACGTGAACATACTGCAATTGTTTCTGAGAACCACTGAATGGAAGTGGTGACTTGCCTCAGCGTTCAAGATAATGGGGTTTAAATTGAAGCCTCGTATGAGCAGCTCACCAAAGACTCCTTGATGTAAATCTTTGAATATTCGTTTTGTAACCTGTGTAAATATGTTAGAGACGGCATCAACTTTCAAGTGCAAATTTTTCACTCACTGGTGCACCAGGTAAAAATGGGTGATCTGGAGAGAATATGTGATAAATCTCGTAAGGAGGAGGGTGGTGAGCGTGAACAATGGTCCTGTCACTAGATAGAGGCTGGAGACTCATGGTACGGAACATAAAATGTGACACTGAGCAAGAAATGGGTAAGTGCCCACCTTATAACTAAAACAATACAGTCGGAGAGGATTGGTATTCTAATCCAGATTGGCTCGCATTGAGACCATTCAATGAACAGAATTAAGAGTTAGCTGGAGAGTAATAGGAGCCTGTAGTAATTCGGAACATTAAAATGGATTCTGGAAATCTATCGCCAAGAACCATCAATTCCTGCAGGAGCCTCGGCAAGGCAAGCAATTAAATCAAAAGTGTGTTTCGAGTCGTGTTTTGAAATGACATTGGCTTCCAAAGTTCCTGAAAACATGTCATAACATGCAGCGTAACATAAGAACGTAATGACAAGACCTCAAAAACCTTGTCAGCTGCAAATTTATCTCTGACTTTACCTGAGTAATAGGAACAGCAGCAGTGGCAAAACCTGTTGACCACGAACAAGAAGTTTCCGGCACTCGCCAACAATGATTCGTCTACATGAAAGGCATTACCTAGTAAACCTCAATGAACTCAACCGTAAAAAACACGGGTAGTTGACATCAACAAGCAAAGTGCCAATTCGGAGCTTGCCGGAGAGTCTGCAAAACCTGGCTTGCATGTATCAGTGCTGGTTAATAACTTAAGAGTAGACTTTGTAATGATGAGGGACAGCATGGGCAAAATGTAGTGTAGGTCTTACCAGGGAATTCTAGTTAGACTAGCTGAGGAGTTGCTGGGGTCTAGTAATATCACCTTGCACGTTTGGTTTGAATACGGCCCGGAGACATTCACCCAGACAGAATTGGAGTTTTCTCTCCAAGGTTGTGAGGCTGTCAAGACCACATGGGGCAAGGCTAGGCCAGGCATTGACTGCATCATCTTCAACCTTCCTGCCATGTTGAAATTGCTCCTCCTAACCACTATGCTGATCAGGTAGGTGCTTTTATAAAAGTCTTCCTTATGTCCATTCACCATACTCAAAGATCGAATACTTTGCCGCTCATATATGTGAGTGAGAAAACATCATCCTCAGTTTGCACCTGCATAATGGCAGAGGTGCATCATGGACACATTCAATCATGGACATATTTAAAACATCATGAAGGCACTGCTATTGCTACCGCAGAGCTCACAGTCCTTGGTGGCACTGATAGAGTGGAGGGCTGTTTGTTTGGTAATGGGGAATGTACAGGAAATCTCAACCTCATGACCCTAGCGTTGAACTTATACACACAAGGAATCACCCCAAACCTCGACTTCAGCAACATCCAGAAAGTCATTGACATTGTGATGTCCTGCAATGACCTCCCTGTACACCCAAGACACCCTTACGCTGGCAAGCTTGTCTTCATGGCCTTCTCTGGTTCGCACCAGGATGCCATCAAGAAAGGTTTCGAAGCACCAGGTATTCGTCACAAAAAGAATGCTGAAAACGGCAAGCTCAAGATGTGGGACAAAGCACTAGTTATGATTCATGATCAGCAAAAATCAGCTGCACCATCAATGAGTCTTACTTTTCATTCGCATCAAAGAAGACTAGTGTGTTGAAGTAAGCCGCTGGGGACGGATCGTGGTCCGACAACTGTGGTGACATGTATCTGCACAATTTTTCTAGTAATCATAGCATTGTTTGACGAGAAAATTAGGGTTCGGGGAATTTGGGGTGCATAAATTTGGCCAGCTAATTAGCCTTGCAAATTAATGACATGGTCATTTTCAACCCCCCAAAAACCAGGTGTCAATTTGGGTCCAACTGGTTGGTTTGGCTGGAGCTGCTGGACCACTGTAAAAGGCCTAGTTTCTGAATGCCCTGGCTCATTATCTCAGTCTGCAAGCTAGAACGAGAATACAGGTTACTTATTGTGGTAACATGTCGTATATGCCACTGGACCCTGCCAACCTTGGATGCAGTTACAAAGCCGTCATTCATGTCAATGCGCAGTCCGGAATGGGAGGTATCGCGTACCTTGTCAAGCAACACCTGCAACTTGACCATCCACGCAATATGCAGGTTGCATTCTACAAGGTCATTCACCAAATATCCAACCACAACGCACGCAAAATCACCGTCGAAGACCTTACCACAGCGTTCCATGAGACTTACCACTTCGGTGGATTGAAGTATGAAGGTAGACTGGCACTCAGGTCATTCCATATTGCGGCTGAGTCATCACTGGTGAACCTTTCAATGAGCATCGTCGCTTTGATGGTACTATGTTGGTGGATGGTATATTATGTGTCATTCGTGGAGATGGCAATGGTCCCATCTCTGCTCTTCTTGATGCTCTGCGCACTCATTTGGAGATCGGCATGACTCTCCGCAGGTACATGGAGCACGCAGTTGGTGAGGGAGAACCTCCAAGGCAACCTCGTACATATAACTCATTGCTACCACTGACGACCGTGACATCAAGAAAACTTGCCAAGCATCTGAGTTGTGGTGGGGTGTTGGACTCAACTCTGACATTGTCGCTTCCAGTCTGCATGCTGTATTGAGTGCAGTCAACACTGCCATTGGCGATCATATATTGCCTGAGCTGAAGTTCAGTGTCGGCTTCAACACCACCTCTGGCCAATCCGGGACGTCTCAGATGCTATTGCCAATACTCTGGGTTTAACGCTCCCTCGCAGATTGCAAACTTCCTTCTTTGAAGTTGTGCAGCGCACCGTGCACGAGTCAGAAAATCTCGCATGAAGACCTTACCCGTCTCTTCCAGGAGACATACGCCTACAAGATCGAAAAACAAGGGCAGGTTTTCTCTGGGTGACTTCTGTTTCGAGCGGGTTGAAGGTGGAGGCCCCCGATTCAAGGGTGATATGGAGATTGATGGTATGGTGTGCAAGGTTGTTGGTGAGGGCAACGGTCCTTTGTCCGCAGCCCTCGCTGCATTGCACTCACAAATTGAGGGTACTCTTGTCTGCCAGGAGTATTTGGAGCACCCTGTGGGAGAGGGTTCAGACATGAAGGTTGTCTCCTTCATTTAGCTCCTGTATGAGCTGCCAGGAAGGGTCCAAAAGAAGCTGCTTGGGGATTTGGCAGTGACACCAACACCAACATCACTGTATCATATATTGAGCACAAAGAGGATATCTACATAGATAACAATGTATTGGAGGTATAATATCAGACTTGGATGACTCATCACTCCATGCAGTTTTATGCTGATGAAGCGGAGGAGGACATGGTCACACTGTCACGGTGATGCCACTAGTTTCTGAGTGTTTGTGAGACAAGGGACAAAGTTACACATCCTTCAAGCAAGTTGGACTGTCTGGCAGTACAAACGACGCCAATCCTGCCATATTCTGTCTATGAACTTGGTCTGAACGACTAAAAGCCATAATTTACAGGTGATTGGTCCTCCGAATATTGTCTCCACCCTCCCCTCAATGTCTTCCAGGACTGTGACATATCTGCATGGCTCACAGTCCGTATATCCACCAGGAAGTCTCATGATGTCCAGTTCACGTCCCTTCCTCAACATGATTGATCTAATGAGCCATACACACCAAGGCTATTTTCAAGCCAACCAGTTCTTAGTCGAGGAAAATGAGAACGAAACCACCGAGGAAGATCTAGAAGCAGGCCACACAACCACAGGGATCATGTCCAAGAGCACCAAGTCACACAGAAAACACAGAGTATCATGGGACGGCCAGAGCTCCGAGATGAACATGCTATGGCCTAACATACAAAAAGAGGACAAAATGTACAAACAGGAATCGGCTGATGATGTCCCTCAGCACTTCCGAGTCATGATAGAGGATTCCTCAGTGTCTGGCCGCACCTCTAAGGGCAGAGGCCGCTCATAACGTGACTTTATTCCACACCCGCATGATCGCTTCCACATGCAACAGCCCCTCCCATTGATACTCTACCTATGCTTTCAATACCTCCTAGACTGTCAGAACTAGACGTTGACAAACCTCTGCAGACGCCACTACATCGGTGGCTACAACCATTACCCAAGCCTATGCGTGGGTTGGATGACTACAAATGTCCGCTTTGTGACTGGGTCAACGTACATAACCTGGACACATTTCTGCAGGAGGTGTATCTGTCACCTATTCGGAAGGCAAAGAGATATTCCATAGCATTGGCAAGAGGGCTCAATCTCCTGTCAGTGCTTCTTTGTGCGTTCCAAACTAAATTGCTGACTGTTGATGCGTAGCACTGTAGGATTCATAATTGGGTTTTTGACATTCCTCCTTGGGTGTGTTGATTACGGCCGTATCCGTGAAGATGCAACTACTCGGTTGTCAGACGTGGTGGTCAGCCACTGCGTATCAAAGTGCGTATTTGCTTCCAAGACAGCTATTGTAACCGGCTGGTATAAGTTATGGATAGAACTTTAGAAGACGGTACAATGGAAGCTTAGAGTTTCTCTGCAAGTTATCCAGATACAAGCCTAGTCGTGATTGCAAGAAATCTGGGGGCTAAGTACAACAGTGCAGTCTTATATACTTTTGTAGCGTATGAAGCCTGTGATTAATGTAATAACAAATAGAAAAGAAAATAAACCTATGGCCTCGGGAACCTTCGTTCACCGGGCCTAGAGCGTCCAAAATACTTGATCATGTTTCACGGCGTGGGGTTTGGCAACCGCCACATACTCCCCTCCAGGATGTGTCCTACATCCTCACTTCTTTCTGGCCTTGCCTTTCCCAGTGGGTTCCCTCTCTTCCTCGTTGCGTGCTGACTTCTCCAAGTCGTCCACCTCTATCTGGCCCGACTGTGAGTTGGGGTTAGGAGTGGCAGTAATGGTAGTGCGGAGGAAAGGGGAAGGAGGACGGGAGTTAATGATAGGTGTGCTGCTGGAGCCCTCACCACAGTTGGTGTTCTGACAGGTGGGTGATGAAGGGTTGGTGTGGCGGGCGCGTTTAGCCACCTTTCAGTCAGCAATGGAGCGTTCCGCCTTGTCGCTTGGAGGTCGCCAGGTTCTGCCAAAGAGCCTCCTCAACTAGCTCTACTCATTGAGGGGTGAACCAACGTCCTCCGTCTGGAGGTTGAGACACGCTGGTGCAGATAGGGGGTGCAGATGGAGTCTCTTCACCAACGAGGTCTGTGATGGAGGGTGACAGGCCAGCAATGCGAGGTCTGTCCATGGACTCCTCCGCGAACTGAGAGGTAAGTCCATTGGTGGTTTGTAGCATGTTGATTGACAGGGCGAAATCTCTGTACCCAGCAGGTGACGCTCGGTTGGTGGCTGTGCCTAACCGCAATTGGACGTCATATTCTAAGTATGCTTGGAGCATGTCGAGCACCACCATAAGGTCTCCGTCGCCCATTCCACTGGGTAAGGTGTACCGGCAAGCGCCAACATGGGTAAGGAGTGGGGCCATGGCCGCGGTGGTGATGGAGCTGGCGAAGAGTAAGAGAGAGTCGTGTGTGGTGAAGGAGAGAGAGGGATGGGAGGAAGAGGGGTCAGATGCCGGGTAATTATATTCCGGGTTTTCTGGCTTGAGGTGCCCAACTGACACCTGGGACTCCCCAACAGGGAGATTCCCAACCCCGTCTCCTAACTCTGAGACATCCTCGATGCCTAGAAGGGTGAAATAATCCCTTAGTGCTCCCAACTTGGCCACTCGATCATAGGGCAGCCAAGTCGTGTATCCTGACTTCCACAGGATTTGAAATGTGGAGTCAGCTCATCTACCAGAGTGGGTGAGTACCTTGTCAATTGCCCATTCGAACTTGAGCTCCTTGAACTCGGCAATCTGAGTCTCCATCCACCTGGGGAAGAGGCGATCATCGTTGGGGATGTGAATGCGGAGGTAAGATGAGTGAAAGACTGGATGAATTCCGCGCTGATGAAGCCGGCTTGGCAGGTCCAGTTTGTATGAGTTGTTACGGTAGTCTTCGATGACCTTGTATGGGCCGATGAACTTGGGTACGAGTTTTTGGGTTGTGTATTTAGGTAATGTCATGTTCTTTGTTGATACATACACGAGGTCATCCTTTACAATAGGACAGGTTCTGCAACACTTGTTGGCATCACACATCTGCTTCACTCTTGCTCCCAGCACTGTGTCATGGGCAGCCATAACTGCGGCCTTCATCTTCTGGGCAAAGGCGCGCACTCCAGGATACTCCCCGGGTCCTGTGGTTTCCCATATCATGGCTCTGGGGAGTCGACTGTCTGCTTGGAAAGGTGAGGTCTCCGTTGAGTCCGATTTGGCCAGGTTAATCACGAATTCGATAGCTGGCAACCTGGCTACCCAATCCTTCTGGTTGGGGCCGATGCAAGACTTGAGCATCTGTCTGATTGTATGGTTCGCTCGTTCGGTCGCTCCATCTGTTTGGGGGTGGTAAGCGCTGGACATCTTTATCTGGATGCCGATAAGCTTGTTGAGGTGAGTCCAGAAGTTGCTGGTGAATAAGACATCCCAGTCGCTAATGATGGCTTTAGGGATACCGTGGTACTTGTAGACCTCCACGAACATGAGCTCAGCGATCTCCTTCGCATTGTAAGTCGTCCTGCTTGGTACCAGGTGCACCATTGCCGTTAACAAATCAATAATGACAGTTATCGAATCGTATTCTCCATTTCAGTCCTTGGATGGGGGTAGAGGTCCCATAACGTCGACCCCAATGGCCTCCCATGGTTGGGACGGGACCAATAGTGAGTTCAAGAGACCCATTGGTCTTTGGTTTGATGACTCACTGCGTAGGCAGGTTTTGCAGGACCTGCAGAAGGCCTGTACTTCAGGGACCATTGTCTTCCACCAGACGTGTTCCCGGAGATACGACAATGTTTTGTCTGCACCAAGGTGGGCCAACAGGGAGTGGGCCTGGTCAATGATGACGTCCACAAGTCGTTGGTCTCCAACCTTAATGTCAGGTATGCAGAGTGCTGTTCTGTCTTTCAGTTTGACGTCAATGAGACCGTCTCTGATCACAAAGTTTCTGAATTCCTTAGGTGAGTCTAGGATTTTCCTGAACATAGGGTCTTTGTGGTACTGATGCCTCATTTGATCTAACAGCCCGGTTTCATGCAGGTATGTTGCTGGGATCTGTTGAGTCTCCTCATTCCCGTTCTGGGCCTTGGCTTTGGCTTCAGCGTTCTCATTCTCTGCTTCGGCTTCTTGCACCCCCCCCCTTCCATTTGTGGTGCAGGGGAGGTAGGGCTCGCACGAGGACCATGCAACACGAAGCGGTCCTTCATCCGTCTAGCGAGCTCTTTGCTAGTTTCCGGACGCCCTGTCTCAGCTGGTGTCACTGGCTGTCGGGTCCGTTTAGGCGCAGCCTCTCTGTTTGTAACTGTCACCATCTGCTGATCTAATGCCTCTGCGGCTTTGTTCAGAATGTCCCAGGATGCTTGGTCCCTTTCCGCAGCTGCTGCCTTATGAGCAGGCCACTGTTCAGATGCAGGAAGACGTCCGGGCGCCCAGTGGGCAGGTGTGACTTTGGGCGTCTTAGGCGCCTGACGGGCACCCGGTTTCAGGTGAGGTGCCTGGTGGGCGTTGACCACCAGGTTAGGTGTCTGGTGGCAGTCGGTGGTGGCTGCCATGACCTTCCCAGCGATCCAAGAACTACGATGAGGCACAGCGTGTTTGGCCTCTTCGCCCACCAGCACAGGCATACTCACGAGGTCCGTGGCATCCACAGGAGGGGTGTCCCCATCATTGGCAATGTATTCGCTCATTGCCCTGACTGTCCCTGGAGCATCGAAGTCATACATGCAGGACAGGGCGTTAGGGAGGATGTTGTGGGCACCCGGGAGGTATTCCATGGTGAAGTCAAACTCCCCGAGTTTCTCCATCCACCTGGCCTGACGTCCAGACAGGTTCTTCTGGTTTAACAGGTGGGTCAAACTCTTATGGTCGGTCAGCCATATGAAGGGACAGCCCTGCAGGATATCGTGGTGCCACAGCATCGTTTCTACGCCGGCCAAGAGTTCCTGCTCATGGACAGGGTAATTGCGTTGTGCTGTGCTCAACTTGGCTGAATAGAATGCGACCACCTTAGCCTCACACCAGTTGGTACCCTGGGCAATGACGCCCCAATGCCGGTGGGGCACGCATCTGTCATCATCCAGACCTGCAGATGGTTAGGCATATAGGTGAGTGGCACCCTGCTATGTAATGAGCATGCCTCGACATATCGTTTGACTTTGTCAAAGGCACGCTGTTCTGTCTCGTCCCATCGAAAGGGCACGGTGTCCCCGCAGACTGCAGATAGTACTCCCAGAGGGATCCTGACCCAATGGATGTCGTCAGCCAGGTAGCCAACAGCTCCTATGAAGCCATGGCACAGATCTCGGTTGGTGGGTGTCTTCCACTTCAGGACATTGTCCACCTTGTCAGGGTCCATGTGGATCCCGTCGTTACTGACAATTCGTCCCAGGATACACATCTCTGGCTGCAGGAATTTGAGTTTTTTCTCACTCAGGAAGAGCTGCTCACGCTCCAGTATTTGCACAATTTTCTGGATGTGCTCGATGTGCTCAGCTAGTGTGTCTGAATAGATGATAATATTATCGAGGTACACATCCATGAAGATGCCAATATACTCGCCAAATAGGTAATTCATTACTGCTTGGTAGGTGGCAGGAGCGTTGCAGTCGCCCTGCTGTAAGACATGACTAACCATGTTGCCATCTGGGGTGGTCATAGCAGTACGAGGTACGTGCTCAGGGACCACCCAGATTTGTTCATAGGCGTCCTGGCCGTCCATCAAGGAACAGTACGGCTTTCGTGCAACCCGACGGAGGATTCCCTCCATGTCAGGTAAGGGTGACGTCAGTTTACATGTGTTTGTGTTTCGCTCACAGAGGTCAACAACTGTTTGCAGACGGTCCGTTCCTGGTTTGCAGATGAAGAGCATGGGGACCAGTGTTCCCCGCACTAGTCATCTGCCATCTTCCTGAGGCCAGGTAAGCTCGCCATTTCTCAGCCCATTGCGGTCTCATGGGCTCAGGGCAATGTGAGGGCCGCCAAGGGTATACCTTACTCTTGTCAATGAGGGGTATAGTGTGGTTTATGGCGCGTAATGGAGGTAAGCTCGTGTCCGCAGCTTTGGTACACAGTGGACGCTCTAACAAGTAAGCTCGCATTTTCTCAATCTGGTCTTCGAAGACATCCACAGCCCTGGACTCCAAGGTGGTGACTCCACTACCCTTGAGTGGAAGCGGGTCCATGCTCCCCAGGACAACTCTAGGTGAGTGAAATCCGACGGTCACACTATGTTGGTAGAGGAACAGAGTTCCAAGTATTAAATCATAGTTTTGCAGGTTAATGATGTCAAAGTAGTGCCGGTAGTCAGCGTCCTGGTACTGGAACTGGACCTGGGTCCCATAGTTCACCTTTGATCGGGAGCCTTGGACAGCGAGCTGGATAGTTAGAGGTTTTTCTAATGCGGTGAGTTTGCATTTGACCTGCTCAGCAGTGGTCAGGGACATAAAGTCAGCTAACAACCCAGTATCTATCAGGGCTCGTGCAGGATGTCCGTTGATGTGAACTACGACAATGATGGGTTTTGGAATCGCCCGCCGGAAGTCACAGGTGACTGAGGTGTTGCATTGCAGCACCGGGTAAGTTCCCCGAGGTATTTGGACCCCAAATGCACTAACTTCACAAAGGGTTGTCGTGGCCTCGCAGTTTTGGGCAAGGCGACAGGTTTCAAGCACCCTGCTCAATGCCCTGTCGAGAGGGTGCAAAGGTGCATCCAGCTCAGTGAGCAACTCAGCAAGGCTCTCGTAGTGGCCGTCGTCTCTTGTCAGCAGATTGTTGTGCAGCTGCAACGAAGCACAGCGTACCTGGTGCCGATACCACCATATGGGGTGCCAGTGCCAAGTTCGTACCGTCGAACGGGATACCAACACCACAAAGGCAAGCATGTGATCTTGGATTTCATACTGCTGGTCACTGATGCGAGTACAGGTGAAACGCTGCCCGGCTCGTGGTCCCCAATCTTCGTCAGTGGGATCCACATACTCCTGTAACCACCATTCGAGTCTCTCCTCAATGGGTTTCCCCATGGGAGGTTTCTTGTGGGTGCGTCGTCGTTCCCTTTGCCATAGCTGTCTCATGTTGCGCTTTGGCCAGTGCTGACACCCTCAATGCAGCCAATAGGCCTTGTCGATTCAATATTCCGGACACTTGATATCTGCCAGTGGGACTGTCATGTTTTCGGCCCACCAGCCTTGGTAGTGATAGTCCCGCACGTAGTACTGCTCGTGTTCTATTCAATAGACATGAAAGTGGTCGGGGTCATCCCACACTATCTCATGATGTCCTTTGTCATCGCCGTGGTACTTGATGCCCATCAGTAAGTCCTCAGCTCTTCGAGCAATCGGGTCTCTTAACCTTTGGCTAGGGCAGAATATGTTGTTATCGACGTCCTCAGCCGTCTCGATGTGGTTGCTTACCTCGTCACTCAAAGGTGTGTCACACCCTTCCTCCATGAAGAGGCCTACTGACCCTAAGAACATTAAGGCTTGGGTTTTGGTCTCCTCCGCCCACTGTCTCAGCTGCTCTGGATCATCCTGGGGAACATGGATCCCAAAGCTGGGAAGGCCGGGTGGTTTGTTTGGTAAGTCTGACTTCATGAAGGTGTTCTTTGGGCACTGACAGGACACATGCCCCAACTCTCCGCAGATGAAACATCTACCCTCAGTCTGACGGTGCTCCTGCTCTTTGGGACTCAGTCCCTTGCCGGTGGGTCCTTTTTGGGCACCCTGGGTGCTATTGGTTTCAAGGTCATTTTCTTGCTCTTAGAGCGTCTCTTAGCGGATTTCTTAGGTCTCAGCTTTCGGCTTCATCCATCACTCGAGCTTGACGAGCTGGACGAGCTCGATTCTGAGCTAGACAATGAATCGTACCCGTCATCTGACCTTTTCCTATCCAGGCGCCCGAGGGCCTGGCCTATGTAAGACTTTGGGGCTACCTGATTAACAGGTTCCATTGCCTTTGGGGTGGTGCGTCTTTCCCTTTCTCTGGTCTCTGGATTCACAACCTTATTGACAAGTCTTTAGGTCAGCTTGAGGAGACTAGTACACAAGTATCAACCATCGTCTACAAGCTGTAATTGTGCAGTGTAACGAACTTTGTATGAACTCCCTCATCATAGTCTACATTTGCAGGCATCTATGGCCATATGCTGAGAGCTCAAATTGTTGTAGTATAAATAGCCTGGTAGTTCAAAACACTCATGAGGAATAATGAGACTGCAGAAGGAGAAGGAGACTACTCAACAAGTGGGACATAATTACGCTGATGATGCAATCTCTCAAACTACAAACTCCTATGCTTATTTACACTCGATGACTAGTTCTAATGCAGCTTTCCATGACAAAGTCTTTGATAGCCCTACAACTCAAAACACCGATAACAGAAAACGAGATTACCCAGCAAGGTTAAGGTAAATACTCTACTATCCCTCACCGGGCATGATGAACCAATGTCATGATCTTGTCACAAACTCTTCATTGTAGTCTACATTTGCAGGCATCCATGACCATGTACTGATGTGGTGAAAGAAATAGTAGTTAGCTAGATATACTAACTAACTTACTAAATCCTAATGGGTGTGAGTGCAGTACATCGACCCAAGGGGACTGCTATTGAAGCACTTCCTTCTAATAGTGCGAGGGAAGAGAAAGGAAGAAACTAAGATCTAAGACCTTAGATGTTCCGACCGACTGAAGGTCCAAGTCCGAGAATATCTGACGTGATATGGGATACCGATGGTACACCTGATGCGAGATGCTGATGAGGGACACCAATGCAAGATACCAATGCAAGGTGAGGAGTCCGATGCCGATGAGTGACAGGTAAGTCTGGGCCAAGGTAAGGAGAGTCTAGTTATAACTAGGTATGATGAGGTATGACTAGGTATGGGTTGCCGACGTAAGACTACCGGTAGCGGTCCAGATCTCACAAGGCCTAGGTAAAGAAACCTTAGATAGAGTGCACTTAGAGCGGTCAAGGCACGTCCGATGATAAAAGCAAGGGGGATCAATTGCACAATCAAAGATTAACTAAGGTGACTCCTACAACGGTACCAGGTATGTCCGAGGAAGGGAAGTAAGGGATAATACGAAAATTGAGTCCTATTTATCTAACTGCGTGAACGTCCGGGATCGCACAGGCAAGAGTAGTAGCGAAACGCGAGGTACTCGGGTCAATATGTAATAAGGCTCACGAGTGCTGCGGCCATGGGAATACATGTAATAACGCCTGCTGTTTGTTCAGTAATGGTAAAATAAGCTTAAAATGCACCAATGGAGATAGGTGGACATGGGCAGGACATGGGAGGATTCAGTACCGATGGGACGGAATGGTCGGCCGAGGTGCGTGATGGCCGATCCGACGAGCAAGGGACGGTTTAGACAACCCTGGCTCTTCTGCGAGAGACCGAGACCATGGATCCATATCAGCCGAGTTGGACATAGACCGGTGCGACATGGATGAGTCAAGTGAGTCAAGGCTTTGCAAGGAAGTGGTGTATGGATGCGATGTGGACCTCTAGGCTGCTTGACTCCTATAGTGAAATGGGGTTCTGCGAGGCTAGTCCGAGTTTGAACACCACACCGACGACTCAATTTCTCGCAGTATAAATAGTTATATGTAGCAGGAGCAGAATTGTATTCTTCTATAGTTCACATGGCTACAATCTAAAGGACTCATGAATTCACTGATGATAGACTTGCGCTCAGATTCAGTGGCTTTGGCATGTGAAAAACGGTTAAGAAAACACAAAATGGCTGATGTGATCGCAGTGGAGTCACGACATCAGGAGCTGTGGATGAGTTGGCCACTGGGGATGAAGGCATGATGACGGCTGTACTAATTAGCATGTACATAGGAAAGGTTGTGGATTCTGCTCGTATCATGTGTCAATTTGGGCTCCATTCAAACCTGTGTTGGCCAAGGCCAAGCTAAGAATACTTCAAAGATGCACTGCAGTGGTCACGAACAGTTTTCTGATCATTCCGCGTGAGTCACTGCTCCAACAACTGCTACTTTTAAATACTATCTCATCGGTACTATCCTGCGACATTGTCTTTCTAGACTGGAAGTCAGGCTGAAATTCTTACTTTGATCGATCAGATATTACCTTTCAAATTATAATCCCAGTCCCATCCTCTAACAGTATGACCCTAGTCTCAAATGATCCCAGTTGGTGGCCAATCATCAATGGGAGTATCATTTTCAGCTATTTTACAGGTTTGTGGAGAGTCAGCCGCATGATGACAGTGATTATTCAATTCACCTTGACCCTGATTTCGCAGTTGCCGCCTCTGTTGGGTTAATGTATGATTGGGGTGAGCAAAACTGAGTATAAAAGATCTGTTGGTATCCTTATAGTATTTCCAGCACTCATGTTCACACAAGAGGTATTAGGTCGATCCATTACTGGTGCAGCGAACTGGATTATAATTGTGTTATAGGTTGAACTGATCTGGGTGAGCGGACTCCTGCATCCAAAGAATGACAGGAAAATACAACTTGTTCATGGCAGAAGCAATGCTGGTCCCTAATGACCTTTCTCTATCTCAGTGTATGTACCTTATGTTTTAATGTTTACGCTTAGCAAGTCTAAGTTTTGCTAATCTGACTTCAAAATGTCCTAGGTACGCTATGCTGGAATAGGATATGGTGTGTATGTTTGGATGTTTAAGTCATTGGTGTTGTGCTCATCACCCATCTCTCACAATCAGGATGTACACCATGTGTATGTATCCTCACATAGACTCTGTTTCTTTCTTATGACGGGCGGCATACAGTCAGTGTTCCATCTATATCGATGACAGATACAGTGAGTATTCCACACCGATGCCTTCCATTCCCGTCCAAACACTGAACCACCATGCAGGGGTGAGTAAGATTCTCAAATAACTTGTTGATTCAACATAATGACTCCCATAGTTGTGAGTTTGTTTCGAGCCTGTGGTCCTCCAATGCTGATAAGATCTGTTGTTATTAAATCTGCCAGGCCGTATCATAAGCATCGCACTTGACTGAATGGCTGAAGTTGTAGATGCAATGCTGGGCGGTGAGCTATACACCTCCATGTTATTGAATTTATCTGAAACACCATGCAAGTCATCATAATTACTCGGTTACATGCCATGTATCAGCAATCCAGAAAGGTGCTAATACTTCTCATTGTTATCTTTCTGGCCACCAGAATCGCCAGTGCAGTGATGGCCGAAATAATGATGCAGACTTCAGGGAGCAAGCTTTAATTATGTATGAGATGTTTAAGTACACCGGGCTCATTGACAAATACTAGAGGAACTCATTCTCTCTGGCACCTATCAGTGCCAGTTTCACTACACGGGAGATGACCTGCTTTTGATTTCCATGGCTTGGATATTTGTCACTGTATGGGAGGTCCTTGCACTGTGTCTCGCGATCTGGATTACTGTGAAGCACTTATGTGAACTGCGGTGACACTCAACAAGTGGTATCATCGGAGATTGTTTCGCAGTGTTACTGAAAACTCACATGAGTTACTTTGCGAGGTAAGTTCATAATATGAATGTGGTTTTTTGCTGAAGTTCTGCACGTTCAAGCTTCTTTTTAGTTTCTTGTTTTCAACTCAGTTATTTGTCTCCAACGCTCTCAGTGGTGTGTTGATCTATTGCCGACTTCTGCATGTGCTCATTATTCATCATGATTTCTATAGAACATGTATTCCCTGGAATCTCGGCTTTATTCTGGTTTCTTTCAAATCATCACATTCGCGCAGATGTTCGTGCTGGGACCACACCTCATCCTTGGCCTGCGAGAATACCATGCTAAGGCAGTGACCAACTCCGCAGCTACTATGACTTCAATTGCTTTCCAGGAGCGCGTCCATGTAGCAACTAGCAGTAGTGTATAGTACAGGAGCGGGGTTATACCTGAGATGATTTGAAATTGGCGGTAGTCTGTAGGGAGTGGTTATATTCCAAGTTATGTTGTGATACTTATTGTGGTTATTTTTTTCGCCCTTAAACATTAAACATCTGAACCAAATGACGCTTCAATTGTGGAGACAGCCATTCATGACAAAGATGTCAATGACGGTTTTCATGATCAAGCATTTGCTTGAGTACAGATATGATTGTATAATTCTTCCTTTGCTTTCTGTAATTATGTGATTCATTTTTCTGATGTGCAACGAAACTAAGTATCCTCATGTTTTCCTGATGCCATCACTCCCATTGTCACTGAACTGAACTGTTTTTATTTCCCAGTGGACAAAACCTGGAATAAATAAAAACAAATTCTCCCGCTCCCTGCATACTACCCATCCATTGTAAATCAATCATATCAATCATATCAAGCATCTCCTGCGCTATACACTACTGCTAGTTGACACATGGACGCGCTCCTGAAAAGCAATTGAAATCATAGTGGTTGCTGCATCAGAGTCAGCCACAAGCTCAGCGTGATATTCTCGAACACTGAGGATGAGGTGTGGTCCCAGCACAAACAACTGCACGAACCAGAATATCTGAGCAAAACTGAGATAAATCTGAGTGTCCAGGGAATCTGTATCCTATAGAAATAATGAATCATAGTCGCATGTAGAGGTCGGTGACAGATCGTCATACTGCTGAGAGCGTTGGAGAGAATAAACCAATCTGGAAGCAAGACATGGCCAGAAAACTAACACGTGCAAAACTTCAGTAGAACAACAGAATCACATTCACATTGTGAGCTCACCTCGCAAAGTAACTCACGTGAGTTTTCATCAACACCACGAAACAGTCTCAAACGATACCTTTTGCTGAGTGTTGTCGTAGCTCATGGAAGTGCTTTACAGCAATCCAGACCGTGAGACAAAGTACAAGGACCTCCCATAAAGTGCCAAGTATCCAAGTTATGGAAATCAGAGATACGGAATTTCCCGCATAGCCAATCATGCATTGATAGGTGCCAGAGAGAACCAATTCCTCTGGTACTTGTCAATGAGCCTGAAGCACTTAAACATTTCATACATAATTAAAGCTTACCTGATCTGCATCGCCAATATTGCGCCCACCACTACATTGGCAATTCTGATGGCCAGAAAGATGACAACGAGAAATATCAGCACCTTTTTGGATCACTGATACATGGCATATAGCCGAGCAATCATGATGACTTGCATGATGTTTCAGTCAAGTCAATATCAGAGAGGTATATAGCTCACCACCCAGTATTACATTTACAACATCACCTATCCAATCAACCACATTGTACATGACATGGCCTGACAAATCCAGCAGCATTAGTTATCAGCTTCGGAGGATCTCAGGCTCAAAACAAATTCACAACTGTGGGAGTTGTTATATTGAACCAGCAAGTTGTTTGAAAATCTCACTCACTCCTGCATAGTAGTTCAATTGTTTGGACGGGAATGGAAGGTATTAGTGTGGAATACTCACTGTATCTGTCAGCGAAATTGGAAGATTGACTGTATGATACCATTTGTCACAAGAAAGAAATAGAGTCTATGTGAAGATGCATACCCAGCATGTAAATCCTGATTGTGAGAGATGGGTAATGAGCACAACATCAATGGCTTAAGCATCCAAATGTACACAGCATATCCTATTCCAACATAGCGCACCTGGGATAGCCAGCAAAGGTTGGACTTCCTACGCGTAAATATTGAAACATAAGATACATACACTGCGATAGAAAAAGGTCATCATGAACAAGTTGTATTTTTATGTAGTTTTTTGATGTGGAAGTCCACTCACCCAGATTAATTCGACCTATAACACAATGCTAAACTAATTGGCTACCCCTGTGATGGTGTCAACCTACCTCTTGTCCAAATGTAAGTCCTAGAGATGCCATAATGATGTCAGTGTTCTTTTCATACTTAGTCTTACTCACCCCAATCGTACATTACCCTGACAGAGGTGGCAACTGCGAAATAGCAGCGAAGGTCAGTCACTGTCATCATGTGGCTGACTTTCCATGAACGTGACGAACCTACAAAATAGCTGCCAATAAGATTCGCATTGATGATTGGCCACAAACTGGAATTGTCCGAGTCTATGGTTATACTATTAGAGGATGGGAGTGAGCGAGCGGGGGAACTTGGTGAATGTATAATGATCGCATTTGTGCTTGATATACCACGATCCAGCACTTATATCGCTGAAGTGGTTGAGGGATGATATCTGGTTTATCCCAGTAAGTGTTTCAGCATGAATTCTGAAGTAAAAAGGGAATATGTATCCAGGGTTATTTATGGGATCAATGCAGCAGTTGTTGGCGAAATTGCAAAGCAGTGATTCAGCGTGCGGAATGTATCAAAATGAAAGTTTTTCCCAGCCTCATGAAGGACAAAACTTTCACTTTGTCTGAGCTTGCCAGTGTGTTGGTGGTAAGTACTATGTGCAGCACTTCACTGAATCCTTGTTTCACCTACTATTATCCAAGCTCATGATCTAGCCAAAGAAGGAAACCCTGCTACCCTTCTAAACTGGCCACAGTGACCAGCTACTCAGATCTCAGAGTCCGGTTGCTGTGCTTATCGTGTCATGTGCATAGCCACCAATGTTACCTCTGTGGTATCTAGATAATCTACAATGGTCATCAGCTGCTTTTCCCTCCAGGTAAGTTTTTTTAATGCAATGATCCTTAGCTCAACACTCATTTTGATCATCACAGTAACTGATGATGCGATCAATTCCGGGGCGCTCTAGTCACTCTGCTAAAATCTGCATGCGCATTAGATACACCCAGAGTCTTTTTTCTTGTGTCTTAAGCTATGAGAAACTCAACATGCATTTGATGTAGTTATTCAGGTAGCTCTACTTATTCCCACTACAAAACAGAAACGACTATTTGTGCGTAGGTTCTTTTGTATATCTTCGAGCTTTTTTTACCATTGATAGGTTTTGGCACGGCTTGAACCACAGGGCTCTCATTGCTTGGGTCGTGGTATGACCTCCACACCACCACCTCCATTATTTCATCACACATCAGACTGTAGGGCGTTTTGAAATGCTTACCTGGATTTTGCGCGTTGGTGACTCCGACAAGTGTGATTGTAATTCGTTAGTGACTCTCAGGTGTATGTTTTCTCAGGCTTTTCCATCAAAGACTGTAGCTGGGCACCAGGGGATCCATTACCTCTCATGACCTTTGTCGCTGTACATAGGCACATTGGCGCGGATGATACTCAACACCATTTCATCAGCACCCGGTATAGGTGAGGTGGGTGACAACAATGTCTTCGGAACCTTTGAGGAATTCCCAGACCCCAAGTATGGTGAAGAAGGGAATGAAGAGCCAGATCATCTCAGAAAATCCCCAACGTGTCATTGCAAGCTTCGAGCGCACTTAACAGGACTTACACATTGATCCAGCTTTGCGCGCGTGACAGCAAGATATGTCAAGCAACCTAACAAGTGATATGGACCGGCGAAGCGTTCTGTCACAGGAAAATCACAACTTCAGAAAAGGGAGCTGGAGGCGTAAGGATGGATGTGTGACATACCCGGAGACGATATTGCGAACAGACAAAAAAATACAGCAATCTAAACAACCTGTGAAACAGTAACAGACCAAAGCAATACGGCATGGAACTACACACCAATATGAATGAAAACCATCCTCTGCTCAAGCGGCACTTTAGTCTTCACAGCGTTTGTAGCACGGTTGAGTGCCCAGGCCACTTTCGTACAGTCCATGACACCACTGTCCTCCAAATTACTGAACAAAATTTCATAAAAAGCTTCGACCACATGTTTCATGACAGCATCATCGACCACCCACAGAGTGCCAATGACGCTCTTGAACCCAGAAAATTGGAGTCCAGCTGCAAGGTGGATGACCTCGATGGGCATCTTCTCATCGCCAACGGCAGTATGACATGCTGACAAGAATGCAAACTCAGCATGGGGAGTGTCATTCTCCATGATGTCGAACAGCGTGAGAGGTTCATTTCTCATAGTGAAACGTGAATTGTAAGGCGGCTCGCGGTCCTGCTTTCCATGACAAGCGAGGTGCACCCAGGTGTTGCATTGCAAAGTGTCGAGCACACCTGCTCCTGTGGTGTTGTCGCCGGAGAGAGTGGTGGGGTTGGCCATTGTGGGGACAAGCTTGCGAACGATCTCAAGCTCGCTGTCGATAGTCAAGAGTGCCTCACCTTGCCCTACGCCTGGTGAACCTTGTTTGATTGCTGCAAAGGACAGAGTCACATGTGTCTTCATCATCCGTCTAGATCTGATTAGAGCTGAGTGTTGGCGTGTAAGAACAGATATAGACATCCCCCAGGCATAGTTCCCGCCCACATCCATCTGCCTTCATTCGAAAGGGGTGAGCTGCATGGAGAGGAATGGAAGTGAAGACTGCAGTTGGACACAGCCAGATTCGAAAGCGACTCTTCACTCTGAGATCTCGCTGGAGAATGATGATGATGGGTAGCATGATCTCATCCCATAGTGTTCACAAGAGGGCTTGCAATTTCTTCCTCATCTCCTCCGGGTGCATAAAAGATGCTTGCCATATCTCCCTGGCAAAGTCCTTCCTGAGCGTCTCCAGATGTGTGAGAGTGATACATGGGAAGCGAACATGATGGGGCTCTCCTGACGTTGGGACAATGATGGCACTGCATGAGTATTGGCTTGCAATGAGGATGATGACTGGGCCATAACGCGCTGCTGCTTCAAGGAAAGTCTTCATATGAAAGTGGGAGCAGGGACCGTGAGAAACCTCGAAGATCACGGCGAAGGTCTTTTTGAATGTAGCCTTTGAGACGGGCCCATGCGAGGTTGGTGAGAGCCGCTGCCCGGTCAGGATGACCAACCAGACATTGGTCCAGAACTAACTGAAAATGCTCTACAGCATCGTTCAGGTGAGAAACTGTCTTGCTTGCCATGTATGTGACAAATTGTTCATGGCCTGTATCCGTGTCTTAAGCAATGTCACATTCAACGATGGACTGCAGAAGGTGTTCCGTCAATAAAAACCAACAACACAAAGGCTGATGCCACTCATGTCAAGCAGTACACTATCCTGATTGTCGCAAGGATGCAGAACAACAGCCTTTAGTGTGAGGGAAGAGTGAACACCGCAAACGGGTGGGAAGAAGATGTCTACAGGATGTGAGCATATGTGCATGAGTGAGAAAGAGGTTACTCACTGAAAGGCTGATCTCCACGATCGAGTAGCTCATCCCATGACATTTCTAATTTTGCAACGACTTCCCCATTGCCTAACATTCAACCGAACTTATACGATACTCTGATCTCCACCGATAATTCATGCACCTTGCGTAATGATCTAGAAACGGATGATTAGTCCTTGAATCACATTTGAAAGTTATTATAGACTTTACAAAATCACGATATTGCCCAGCACATCGGACTTGTTAGACGATACTACTCGGACAGGTGATTTCAAGCGCCTCCTCGAGTTGACATTAAGCGATAGACACTAGTTTGGTTAAACCAAGTGCTACATCACCAACTAGCTACATCAGTGGGACAATGTTAATATTGTCGGTCAGCAGCGAAAGCGGCACATCATGCACAATAGTTGAAGGGGACATGGTCACATGGGAGTCTCAGAGCATCCTTGCTACTCTCATCGTAGTACTCATTTAGCACAAGGCTAAAGCAAATCATGATATAGAATTTAGTGTATTTCATAGTGCAAACAATACAAACCACTGAAAATGACGCGCATTGTGACTGAAAAGCTGATATGTTCTATATGAATCTGATTGAGATTATGCCAAGGGGTGTTGTGGAAGCAAAGACAACAGCTTGCATGGACACCCGAGCGAGCGAGATGAAGGTGGCCTTTGTTAGCATACAGGAAGTTCAATGAACCTGCAGCTGTAGATAGGTTTTATGTGCCAGAGTACTTGTTTCCCAGGTTGAAGACAAATTACATAATGAAATCAACCGTGCTTATATGGGTATGTTTGCAGTGTTTTGTTAGTCTCATTTTCCCATAATCACCCATGGTGATGATCCGATATTCTGTGCTGTGCTAATTAGCTTGATCCCTTAGGGGATCCACATTAATGGTTTTTTGTACTGGAATTTACGTTGAACCTCTAATTGAAGATATGACATCCATATCGTCTTTCAAATTTCAAATCTCACTTTGGCAATAGAGCGTATTTGCAGCCCCCAAAATCAAAATGTCTTGGCCAAACAAGACCACCCATGCAATGGACTTTTCTGGAGCTATCTCGGCATGTTACAATACGTGCTGTTACATGTTCTGTGAAATACATAGTGAGAATCCAATTGTACTGTCGACGAAATTCAATGGCCTCTACTACTTGAACCTTCTCGACCACCCCTAGTCCTACAGCCTGTAACGCTAGCAGCAACATCCAGTGTTGTTGTTGATGCTGATAGAGTCTATTTACCTTGTGTCAAACGTATGTCAACATATGGCATATGCAAGTACAAATTTCAGACTCTGACACTGTTTGCAAGTTACAGGCTCCACATTTGCATGTAAACAAACCATTGCAAATACGCTCTAATGTAACCACTGCACTGCAGCTGGCAGGTTGCGTAAATCATGAACGGTTCTGCCGATCTTTCAGGATGATCAAATGTGCGACTCACTGCCTTGCAATCTCACCAACAACTTTTACCTTCATCCCATCGGTATCACCGGATGCACATTGTCTTTCTACTGGAATTCAGGCTGAACCACTTACTCCGATCAATCAGATATCATCGCTCAAATTTCACTATACATCCCCCGCTCACTCGCTCCATCCTCTAATAGTATGACCCTAGTCTCGAACGATCCAAGTTGGTGGCCACTCATCAATGTGAATATTATTTTCAGCTATTTCATAGGTTTGTGGAGAGTCAACCACATGATGATGGTGATAATTTGATTCACCTTGATTCCAATTTCGCAGTTGCCGCCTCTGTTGGGGTGAGCAAGACTAAGTATAAAAGAACCGCTGATATCCTTATGGTCTTCTCAGCGCTGATGTTTGGACAAGAGGTACATCAATCCCGATTACTGGAGGAGCCAACTTGCTTAGAGTTGTGTTATAGGTTGAACTGATCTGGGTGAGCGGACTCCCACATTGAAAGAACGAAGTGAAAATACAACTTGTTCACGGCAGAGGCAACGCTGGTCCCTGATGACCTTTCTCTATCTTATTGTATGTACCTTGTGATTTATGTTTAGCAAGTCCAAGTTTTGCTGACTTCAGAATATCCTAGGTGTGCTATGTTGGAATAGGATATGCTGTGTACATTTAGATGTTTAAGCCATTGATGTTGCTCTCATCATCCATCTCTCACAATCAGGATGTACAATTTGAGTATGTCTCTTCACATAGATTCTGTTTCTTTCTTGTGACAGGCGGTATCATACAGTCAGTCTTCCGACAGTTTTGATGACAGATGCAGTGAGTATTCCACACTAATACCTTCCATTCCCATCCAAACAATTGAACTACTATGCAGGGGTGAGTGAGATTCTCAAACAACTTGCTGGTTCAATATAACAGCTCCCACAGTTGTGAGTTTGTTTTGAGCCTGTGATCCTCCGAAGCTGATAACTAATGCTGCTGGATTTGTCAGGCCTTATCGTAAGCGACGGACTTTATGTGATGGCTGACATTGTAAATGTATTACTTGGCGGCGAGCTATACACCTCTGTGACATTGACTTGACTGAAAGACCATGCAAGTCATCATGATCACTCGGTTACATGTCATATATCAGCAATCAAGAAAGATGCTGATATTTCTCATCGTCATCTTTCTGGCCATCAGAATCGCCAGTGTAGTGATGGCCGCAATAACGATGATGCAGATTTCAGGGGGTAAGTTTGAATTATGTATGAAATTTCAAGTGCATGAGGCTCATTGTAAAATACCAGAGGAATTCGTTCTCTACGGCACCTATCAGTGCATGTTTGACTACCGAGGAGATTCCATATTTTTTATTTCCATGACTTGGATACTTGCCACTGTATGGGAGGTCCTTGTACTGTGTCTCGCGGTCTGGATTTATGTAAAGCACTTCCATGAACTGCGACAACACTCAACAAGAGATGTTCTCAGTGACAGTTTCATGGTGCTAATGAAAACTCATGTGAGTTACTTTGCGAGGTGAGCCCATAATGTCAATGTGGTTCTCTTTTTCTGCTGAAGTTTTTCGTGAGCTAGTTTTTTGGCTGTCTCTTGCTTCCAGATCAGTTACCTCTCTCCAATGTTCTTGGCAGTATGTCGAGCTGTCACCAACTTCTACATGCATGCAACCATCATTCATCATTTTTATAGGACCCATATTCCCTGGGCTCTCAGATTTATGTTGGTGTCACTCAGATATTCCAGTTTGTGGGATTGTTTGTACTGGGACCACGCCTGATCCTCGGTGTTCGAGAACATTACGCTGAGCTTGTGGCCAACTCTGATACGGCAAGCGCTATGACTTTGGTTGCTTTTCAGGAGCGCGTCCATGTGTCAACTAGCAGTAGTGTGTAGCGCAGGAGATGCTCAATATGATTGATTTGCGATGGGGGGTAGTGTGCAGGAAGCGGGAGAATTTGTTTTTATCTATTCTAGGTTTTATCGTGGTACTTATTTATGTCCGAGTCATATCTTGATAAAAGTCGGGCCCGCTGATGTGACTTGGGGCTCCCAAGGACAATGCAGTCATGGAGAAGCCTGGAATTGTAAACTCAAGAGCTTTGACTCAGTGTAAGTTCTGGAAGTGCCAAGACTTTAAATCCAGAGAGGGTGTGATAGAATTCGTGCATTTTGCGATAACGCTATGCCAGATCTGGGTCCTTAATGGTGAGTGTGTGGTATGCACAGCCTGAAATCAAAATAACCCCACAGGCTTTCGAGAATCAGGTGACTTTGCACGCATCAAGCCACTCTGCATAAGCACCCCCAAAGATACATGATTCTATTCCATCATTAACTTTGATATAATACATATGTGGTGCATGGGAATGATGACTATGCTAGCGGAGATGGGGCTCAGATGCTCGGACGGGGTCAGAGGGGTGGATATCCTGGGCTCAATATGTCCCCGTTTCAGTCATGATACATGGGGTACCAGGATTCCAATCGAGGAAAATATTCAAGGTAGGATGCCTCTCTGTGATCCATTTGCTCGTCTTGTTGGTGCTTTGCATTAATATAATAATTGTCTTGCGCTGAAGATCATTAATCGTGACAGAAGAGCGGTCAGCCTACACATTATGCATTCTGATTTATTGGTCCAATGCATATGACCAACTTCCGGCGTGTGTGGCATGGATGTTGAGATAATATTTGGCATGTACTAGAACCACATTATGTAATATTGTCATCATCAAAACAGAATTATGATGACCACCGACACGACCAGGGGCTGGTTCCACAGGTTCGTCTCATGTTGATGCATTAAACAGTACAACTGTAGCGCACCAATGATGCATCATTGGTGTGATTGTACTACCTTTGCTTTTCTCACACTGATGCATCAGCCTGCTCCATGTTGATGCATGCCCACCACCATCCCCTCCATTCGCTGATGCATTCCCTTCATTTTCTGATGCATCAGTCCTTTCTTCGCTGATGCATCCTCCATGTTTTCTGATGCATCAGTCCTCTCTTCGCTGATGCATCAGTCCTTTCTTCGCTGATGCATCCTTTTCTTTTTCTGATGCATCAGTTCTCTCTTTGTCACGCCCTCCCACCATCTTGTGCCCACTGTTCTCCCGCACCCGACCTCACTTTCTCGCGCCATCCCGCCATTTTGCATGTGCTATCACACCCACCTGTCGTTATACGTGTGTATTGCGTTGATTATTTAACAACAAATGTCTACTATGTGTCCATGTCCATGTCTTGCTGAGCAATGAGCGAGTTGTGGTCAAATGTGTCTACCAGTGCCAAGGTGTTGGTCCAGCTGGTCTTGAAGGACTCAGCAAGCATTCGACGTAAGGAAGCTTGACGTTTGGCATATGCCATACGGCCCTCGCGTTCATCTTCACCTGCATCCTCTAACGTGTTTTCCAGGCTCCGCTCGTCCCAGTGCTGCGCGTCCCATTCCAAAAATTGCAGAATCCTTCGCATCTCCTCCTTCAACAATTCCACCTCTTCTGCCCAGCGCATCGCCCGTTCCCTGGCTTTGCATCATTCTATTCGCATGTCTGGTTGTCCGTGAGTCTGAATAGGAAGCCATAAAATGAAGAGCCACCTACCTTCTGAGGCATTGTCCTTGTCTATCTCGTTGGCAGCCGCCCCCTGCATATTCCAAATCCATGACAACTTTCTTGTTCCCTCTGTTTCTCCCCATGATAAGTCCATCATCAAGCGGACGTCAGCTCAGTCTAGCAGTCGCAGTGATGAGTGCCACCCAGTCTGATTCACTCGTGGTGAAAGAATCACAAGGGCTTTATGCGCATACTCATAAGTGCTGGCAGCAGCCTCAATCCTTGCCTGAACAGCTTTCAATGTATTCCGTGCCCTTGTGTTTGCTCCTTGTCCATGGAGGTTGCGGTCTTTGTACTTGAGGATTGCAGTCTGAGCATGTAAGTTTGAACACAGAGAGCGAAGTGCATGGTGACCTTGTGCATACCGCAGCTTCCATTCGATGGCCTGGAGGCGGCTGTTGCAAGGTGCATTCCTGCTGATCTGGGATGGCAGCCAGAGCTTGATTGCTTCTGGTGCAGCAGTCATGCTGCCAGATACTGAACTCTCGCTCACATGTAGCGCAGCGAGTGACGGCATGTATAGTTCCTGCATCTTCATCCAGGTATCAATCCTCCATCGGAGAGTGTTGCTTTGCTGAACCATCTTTCCTTCTTGATTATCTGTTGCGTGAACTCTGAGGCCAGCTCTGTTTGCTTTCATTCGCCGTCTATTGAAGTAAGAACAATGTCTTAAAAGTAACAGTACACTCACTGTTGTTCCTCAAGTTCTAAGCCAGTACTGATTAATATGCTAGGGGTGCAATCCTCGTGTAGGGCAAGGCAAGTTCCTGTTTGAAGGTTGATCTCGTCCTCCCTAGCCAATTTTAGTCATACCGAAGCCATAGTGACAGCTGCAATGCGTCAAGATTAAAATGAGCACATAAGCATTATCATCATTGTCTTGTACTTACTTTCTGCTTTTCATTCAAAAGGATTAGGCTGTGTAGGGTTGTACTCCCAAGCCTCCACTTGTTCTCTCCATTGTTTGAGGGTGGGACCATATTCGCCTTGCAAACCATCATCGAGGTCCTCGAATGCTTCACGATGGTTCTCATGCTCTGGGAATGCATTCTTTATCTTGTGAAGCATAGCATGACCTGAAAAATCTAAGTTGCCATTTTTTTTCACGAAAATCGACGCACCAAGTCCAACAACCTTTTTCCAATTTGAGTCTCCAAAGTAATCGTCAAGGGTGTCTCATCGTGCACCAGGCCCCATTTCTTTGGTGCTCGAAGTGATGGGGTTGATGTTGGCCCAGCCACGTTCTGGTGCTTCTCCATCAGTCCTGCCTACCCCGTTCTTGAAATTGAATGAAAATGATGTTTGGCACTGCTCAATATGAGTGGGAAGGTGGAACTTTGGCACTAAAAATGAGATTGTCTTGACGGCATGCGAGAGATACATCGAAACCGGAAAGGCACTCATGTGGTGCCATAATTTTTTGTGCCACTGGCATGCGATGTCATAGGATACATTGAGAGTGTTGAGTACAGTATGACGTAGTGCTGAGAAAAACAAGTAGTCCATGTTAATATATCTACATGCGTGCGTTAGATCACCAACTGCTGGATGCAAAAGACAATTTACCTTTCACCCTTTTGAAGATCCCCAACGGCATTGGGCAGTTTCATGTTGTGGCAGGCACAGTCGACAGTACCTAAACCAGTGGTAGCGAGTCCACGGTTATATTTTGTATCGGCCATGTTTACAGCATTGTGACTTGAACACGTTGATTTCTGCAAATCTAACCATTAATATATGAAATAGAATAATTCAAACCATGAACCTCCTGGACACTGTCCGCACCGCTGTGCAAGAAATCTTTATATGCTTTGTCCTCGACAAAATATCCCCAGCCACAACTCAGGCTTGGGTCAACACTGTCACTTGAAACAGCCTTGCGTTTTAAGCGGAAGTTCACATCTATAGTGAGGAATAATCCATATAACCACCTAACAGTACTTATATCAGTAGAAATTCCCCTCTGGACTGGAGCTCACTCTAAACTTACTGTCGAGGAGCATCTTTCCAACCAGCTGGGAGATTCTTCCCTGGACACCGGGCACAATACAGTACATTCGCCCTCAACTGTCCCATCTACACCACTGGGATCGTGACCTCGCCCCAAGCACTTAAGCATCTTCAAGTGGCGCCACTCGCATATCATCTGTGTAAATGAATCATACCGATCCTGGAGGAAGCTGGATTAACTTTGAAGGCACCTAAAAATTAAGTTTACCTTGATGGGAAGTAAGCCAGTGTTATCAGACATGCGGTTGAGCGCATTATAAAATTTGAAGGCAGATACTTTTGACTCAAATGAGAGTAGGTGATAGTGTTCAAGAACACAGAATGTCGCAGCGGTTTTTGGATCTGACGTTGTTGAAGGAAACCACAATATTTGAAGTAGCTGCTGTATATGGCTTTGGGCTGTTGCGCAATTGCAGAAGTCGAGAGATACTTCGTGTATGCCATGGGTATCGACAACAATAAAATCATCATTGAATGCGCGATGAGGATTAAGACATATCTGGCCAGTGGTGTGGCCAAGCTGGATGCGAAGGCCCAGGGTTTTCAGAGAGATTCGCTCGAAGTATTGACCATTCCATTTCTGTATTGATATTAGATATTAGCCTTACATCCTCATCTCCCAATCAGACATGAAAGCATACCTCCAATCGGTGAAGCAGGCGGCGCACATGAGCCAACAGGATGCAAGGTGAACAATAGATCTCTGACCCTAAGCAGTCCCAACACCTGTACTCTGTGCTGGGACAATTACACTCTGAGCAAGATTGAGCGGAAAGTCTATTACATCTTCCTTCAAGACGGATCATTTCCTGCAGAAATAATTCTCGGTGCTTCAACCACATCAACAAAGGATGATCCTGAATAATGGTGAGCGACATATCAAAGGACTCAGAACATTATAGTTTACATATGCCTGCTGTTCATTTTCTCTTTTGCTGCCCTAAAAAGTCCAATGATACATCGAGCAGGAGATCATCGAATGGCTCAGGAATTGACAATGGTGCTGCATCATGCAGAGTCAGTGCCACGCGAGTTCGATTATTGATAGTTGCTTGAGCATTCTTGGGAGGTTTGAGACGCTTCAGTGTATAGGTGATGGACCCGTCTTGATGAGCTTGGTATTCAGTATGCTGGCGAGAAGGGACTGGGACTGAGTGGTAAACATTAAGCTTGGGTCTCTTTTTCCGTTTCTTCGGTACTCTGGACATTACTTCACAGTATATTGTCTGGATTGAAGATGTCCCTGCCTCAGAAGAGCCGATGGCATAAGTAGGATCTGTAGACATTCTTTGTTGATTTCTGCGCTGATTGTAACGGTGTCGAGCGAAGAGTATTGACCTCACATTTACGGTTCGAGTCATTACCAGAAAAAAAAATCAAGTGTTCATTTAGCAGAAAATGAAGATGACAGACATGAATAAGTAGTTGAAGACTAACAAATGAGATTGATGCATGCAGATATGATGGGCAGAGCTGTGTGAACCAAACATGGTACCACAAACTAGGGCCGGAATGAATTTTTCACCAGTGATTATGTCCAAACAGTGATGACGCCTTAAAGCTGGCACTGAGATGTCAACCGATGCTACCAAATGAAGTATGGTAACGAACCTACTAGTGTGTCACCTGCTTGCTGCAAGCCTACATCGGATGGCACAATGAACTTTCTGTTCTCCCAGGACAAGTGACTGAACGGTAAAGTACGTAGCAACACGATTGCCTGGTGTCCAGAGTTCAAATTTCACACTATCCCTATAACAAGTGTTACATATAACAGAGATTTAATGAAAACATGAAAACTTGCCAGATGTATGATGGAAAAACTCCGATGTAGTGGCCCTGAGTAACACAATAAAAAGGGGGTTCTAGATCGCACTGTGAAGGCATATTATAGAATATTCCTTGATAAGAGTATAGAAAGCACTCTTCTGCCATAGCGTTCGCGGCCTCCTCAAACTCTAAACTGCCCTCATGCACAGTCACAAATGCCTCTGGTTCGACCATGTAGGGCATCATGGCAATATCGAGCCAAAGGGGTTCGGTGGATCTTGCATTGAGAGGTATCCTGGGAGTGGGTAAAATGAAAGACATTATGTTTTTTGGGTTAGTCCTCAGAAATTCCTCCATTAGTAGCAAAAGACTCACTCTGCATCATGAACATCGCCACGGTGGTAGTATTTCCGGTGCTTTCAATGTTGTATTTAACAGTCACTGGGTCAATACAAAGTTCTAGAGAAAATTGCCGGTGGTAGTTACAGTAGTTTTTGGGTTAGTCTTATGAACTGCTACCAATGATGTAGCGGCACACTCACCCCGGACATTAATGTTGATATCGAAATTGACTTAGACCTAAACGATGTTATTGGAAATCGATTTCCGGTGCTTGGAATCACTGGTACGACGTTTTCAGACAGTATGAGTCACTGTATATAACACTGATGCATCGCTGATGCATCTCTATGATTAATACAATATATTGATATCAGGAGCAGTATGGTATAGTAGCTCACCACATGAAGTATATCCTGTAGGTCAATCATGACATGCATGAGCAGAATGCAAGTGGCGGCCAGGATTCCTAGTACGAGGCGAAAATGTACCGGTTGAAATTGGGACTGCTCGGGTTCTTTGTGATGACACTAAAGATGTTGACCTAGTTGAAGTTGGGATTGTTCGGGTTATTTGCGACGACACCAAGAATGTTGACATGTCGCTGGAGGACTTGTCGATAGACAGTGTGAGACGATAGACAGTGTGAGATTTTGACATACAGTGATGATAATGTGCATCATACCATTTCAACATCTACAAGGTCCTGTTTGATGTAACAGTTAGATATAAAGTTGTCAAATTATCAGTAAAGTGCGACTCCCCGCTCATGCTGATACTACCAATGGTTTTGTGAGAGTCTTCAACTGCTTTTGGGTGGGGGTATCGGCACTGAAGTACTGACATTGGTCAGATGGTTTTGTAATGTTTGTTATGGATTGAAACATACCAATGGCGCTCTTGATCATATTTTGGTTTGTTCTTGCTGATGATGACAGCACAGTTACTGTGTCTTTTGGTACACATCAGTAGCTAGAACAGAGAGAGAAGTGCACACTTTGCATTTGAATATCTCTTGCAGTCAGAACAAGCAGTGTCGAGTTGCCAGTCTTTTGGTGTGTGATGAAATTAAGGCTGAAGTGCTGACCGAGTACGGCTATGCCATTGTTACCGCAATTGGCAAGCAAGAACTGACGCAAATCAGCCATTTGGTCTCATTATACATCAATCATATAGTACTAGTTAGATCAGCTCAGAGTATGTCTGCAGGGGTTCTACCTTGCACAATGATCTCGATAATAGCCAGATTAGTTATTGAACTGGTCATCTTTAGGCTCAAGTGCGACACATGATCATGTTCAAGTTGAACTTGATCATGTGTCGCACTTGAAGTTGGAACTCAACTTGAACGTTGCAAACACCGTGAGTCAATAACTACTATCACGCACGCTATGGCACATTGCATTGGACTGGTTCCTGTATCCACTAACTCCTAATGTTGTCCAGGTGGGTCTCTAGTTGCTGGCCAATATGACACAAATATACTTACTGAAGTACTAGCTGCCGCAGCGCAATGCTTACAATTACCTTTGATTTCGATTCCGATGTTCAACCTTCTATATCAATGCCCAGGTGATTCTCTCCTTCACATTGCTCTCGATGCGATGTTCTGATGAGAGTATAGTACATGTTCGTTTCTCAACACTCGAATGTTCAATTACCTTTCAGATTTCGATTTCGATGTTCAACCTTCTATATCAATGCCTAGGAAGTTGGAACTCAACGTTGCAAACACTCCGGGTCAATAACTACTATCACGCACACTATTGCACATTGCATTGGACTGGTTCCTGTATCCACTAACTTCTAATGTCATCCAGGTGGGTCTCTAGTTGCTGGCTAATATAAGACAAATGTACTTACTGAAGTACTAGCCGCAGCGCAATGCTTACAATTACCCTTGATTTCGATTCCGATGTTCAACCTTCTGTATCAATGCCCAGGTGATTCTCTCCTTGCTCTTGATGTGATGTTCTGAATATGAGAGTATAGTATATGTTTGTTGCTCAACATTCGAACATTCAATTACCTTTTGGATTTCGATTTCTGATGTTCAACCTTCCATATCAATGCCTAGGTGATTCTCTGCTTGCTCTCAATGCGCTGTCCTGAACTTATCTGAATATGAGAGTATAGTATATGTTTGTTGCTAAAGATTCAAATGTTCAACGTCCAATGTCCAGGTGATTTAGTGCTTGCTCTCAATTGTGCAGTGTCCTGAACTTATACGTTCAATGTCCAGGTGATTCCCTGCTTGCTCTCGATTGTGCTATGTTCTGAACTCATACATTCAACATCCAATGTCCAGGTGATTTCCCACTTGCTCTCAATTGTGCGATGTTCTGGACTTATCCTATTATGAGAATGCAGTATATGTTCATTCAAACATCGTCTAGGTGATTCTCCGCTTGCTCTCAATGTAAGGTGAACTTATCGATTTACCACTAGCTCTCAATTGTGTGAGATTCTGAACTTATACGTTCAACGTTCAATGTCCAGGTAATTCCCGCTTGCTCTCAATGTGATGTTGTGTACTTATCTGATTATGAGAGTACAGTATGCTGTGCCGTTCATTTAAACCATCATCAGTCATGGAATGAAAAAGTTGCCTTGTAATCAGTTCATGTAGTAAGTTCATTAAATGAGCTTCCTTTTTTTAATGGGCAATGTTGATCTGTTGTTTGGCAATGAGCCATATAAAGACAGACATAGACATTGTGAAGGGACACACTCATCTATCATTGTGCGAAGCGGAAAAAAAGGTATGACGGCTCCACTATTAGCATGGCGTATGACTGAAAATTCTATGGCAGATGCCGCCAGCTAAGTGGACTACTATGGAACAGTACCTATGGCTCCCAGAACGGTTCCTGGAGTATACTGCACTCCACGACGGGACAAGGAATACACGCACTTCTGGCCCAAGATTTATCTTCATTGGTTTAGGAGATGGCCTGAGCAAGCTATCCTCTTCCCCGGTATCCCTAATAAAACAATGTTAAAAAAGGAGCAACAAACCGCAGAAACTCATGCCGAGGATTCACATAAAATTGTAAGTTGTCAAATGTGTTGACAATTTTTGACCGCTAATGAAAACCCTGGTAGCAATTACAGACCTGGTTTCATTGGCGGACGAATGCATCCAAGAAAAATTGTGGCTTAAAGAAGGATACGTCCATCTTTGAAGCTGCACTGGTACTGAAGTCGCAGGCAAAATCTGCTGAAGAGATATACATGGACATGGTCTATAATGAACAGATCAAACCTCTCATCAAGGCCGAACAAGAGGCAGGTAACATAAGTACAGCTGGCCAGTGCATGGCATTGGGCCAAAGGTTTTGCAAGGAGCTCCTGGAAGACGAGTCAGACAAGGTTAAGGAGGAAGTGAGAGAGAAGTATGATAAACAGACAAAGGTAAAGAGGGTCATGTTAGACGATGAAGATGACAACGATGAAACTGACACTGATGCCATTGTAAAGTAAGTACTGGCTTATGTTTGTGATTTTGATGTACTCACACGACCTATAGAGCTATCGATGATTTACCAATCATATGCCAGCACTTTGCACGTCTCATCAAGAAAAAAACTCAATTCATAGTCTCCTTCATGTGCACTGGACCAGAGCTGAGGCATGATTGGGACATCGTTTCATTATTGTAAGTGCACCAAACTAGAAAAATGACTAATGAACTCACGCTACTAAGATGCCATCCATCAGAAACCCCCGCTGGGAGTAATTTTTCTCAATTGTGCCCTGACAAGGACAACACCTTCCTTGTGGCATACCAGCAATATGCTGAGTTGATATTCCATAAGCCAATCTTTACTGTCCACATCACTGTAGACTCACCCCAATACTCGTCCATCAGCTGCGAACGAGCATGACCCGCTACTGCCAGGTGTTGGAGATGACAATGAGCTTGAAGAGCTTGAAGGATGTGACAATGGTGAAAAGGATGGAGGATGTGATGGTTCCATGGATTGGAATATTCCAGGTCTTTATATTGTTTCGTGCCCGCCTGATGCAAGCTGATGCATTAATGATAGGCTTCACTACTTCCTCTCTCTCTAGTGATGCATAAATGTCAGGCTTTGGTAATACCAAAGCTGGCATCAGTGATGCATCATCATTCAATGAACTTGATCAATCCCTGTTTAACTCTGAGGTAAGGCTGTTTCATCATCCTGCCTATGTCATCTAACGGTTTTCCGACACAGGCCCAATCTAATACATCATTTGAACAGGCCCAGCCTGATGCATGGTCAGGCTTTGGTAATACTGAAGCTGGCATCAGTGATGCATCATCACTCAATGAACTTGATCAATCTGTGTCTAACTCCGAGGTAAGGCCGTTTCATCATCCTGCCCATGTCATCTAACGGTTTTCCGACACAGGCCCAATCTAATACATCATTCAGACAGGCCCAGCCTGATGCATCACTCGCGCAGGCTCAACTTCACGCATCATTCAATTGGCACAACATTAGTACACTGCCTCCTGATCCAACTAGTGTGCCTGGGCTGAACAAGGTGTTCGGGTCATCGTTTTCTCATGCTGATCTTATAGCAATGGGGTTTTTGGGTGGCGGTAGCACCATGCCAAACCCATTTCCCCCGGCATTCAGCTCATTAGCACCCTCACTCACCGATGCTAGGAGTACTGTACCAGGATACTATGACACGCAACACGACACGTGATATGGCACGCAAATGTGGAATTTCAGCAACCTTGATTTGCAGGGGTGGGAGATGCCTAGCCTGTCCTCGTTCTTGAGCTCCCCAATTTCTGCCGAGCACACCACCACCACAACTGAACAGGATGAGGTTCTTCCTCACTTTACTCATCAGTCACCCATTCTTCCGGCAGCAAATCATCCTGCATATGACAGCACAGAAGACCTTGACAGCATTCATACTGGTGCTGGTCTTCCTAAGTCTAAGCGCAAGTGCAAGTCGAAGCTCCTGGCTGCCAAAGTCAATTGCAATCCTGCTATAGAACCTACCCCCACCATCACGCCCATGAACACGGCCAAACCCAAAGCAAAACCTCTCACCAAGTCTGGTGCAGTAATGGAGACATTGCACGCTACTGCTGATGAAGGCAATGTATTGGGTCATTTGACTGCCCCCAATACCACCACGAAACGGAATCCGGCAGTCGATATCGGTGCAGCTCCTCGTGTATCAAAGCGAATTCCAATCAAGTCCAGGTGGAATGATGTCACTGACGCTATCGGGTCAGATGGTTCGACATTCGTTGGTGTTGGTAGGGACGATCCACCTGTTCTGGAGGATGTTGGGGCATCAATGACGAAGTGTCCTCCCAACTCGACTATGGGCAGCATGATTCCTGCAAAGTATGTTTTAGTATATTCTAACTTTCTCAATGCTAACGGACACAGGAAAAGGTGAACAAAGGCATGAGCCCATGTCTTCATGCCATGATCACAAATTTGCTTCTCGTACCATAGTAATGTTTGATGCTGTTAGTAACACATGTAGTCTCTGTTTTTCTCATGATGAATACAGTTGTATCATCAATTTAATCCCCTTAATAAGTGGTATATTGAGTGTGCTTGTACTTGTAAGGTTCGCCGGAGGTAGAATACAGCTAACTGACTGAAATTTATGAGATACAAGGTGTACATACTACAATCAATCTCCAAAGTTCGAGAGTGTAAACTAGCACATCATATGATGTTGGCTCCAGTCTGTGCGCTCACAAGAAATAGTTGGGACAGACATCACTGCTTCAGCTGTGTACATCATGTTGGGGTAAACACTATGGTAGAATATCAGTTCATACAGCCTGAGACTACCACTTACTTATAGTGTGCTGAGAATAACATAAGGTCGGGTAAACATTGAAGTGCCTCAAGACACTTTGAGAATGTGCAATTGATACGGGGTTCGAACTTCGGAGTGTCACAGACCTGTGCTTGAAAGCGACTGTGCTGAAATTCTGAATGATGTCTAGCTCGCATATGAAGGACAAGTCGAGAAAGGATGCAGTGGTAAGTTCAGCATGTAGCCATGGGCCCACTACAAGAAGGGTCCGTGCACAGCATATGGCAGCAAGCAGGTGGCAGTAGCGGGATGTGGACCCATATTGACCATGTACAACTGTACGACACTTCCCTTTTTGACGGTTTGATGGATACTGATGGCGGGGCTGCAAGAAGGATCCGTGCTGAGTGTATGGAGGTGACCAGGTGGTGGCGGGATGTGGACCCATACTGGGAGGTATTGTTGATCATGTATGAGCGTGGGATGCTTCCCTTTTTTGAGAATGGCATTAAGTACTGATGCATCACTGCAGTGCTGCAACTGCAGCAACTTGTTGCATCAAAATGACATGGATGCCTGTCTTATGTCAAGATGATGCAGGGGAAATATTGGTGTCCAGCACCGCCATACTCTGAATGTGTAGCCTTAGGCAAAGGGGGTTCCTGTACATTCCAGTGCATGAGTTGATAGTTTAACTTGTCTATATTATACAGATTATGGACATTACAAGTATTACCGATGTATATATTCCATAGTCCAATTTTTCACAGGACAGTGATGGGCAGCTAGCCCTAGGGTACAGACTTACAGTTGAAAAATCCTTACGACTTTTCATAGGCTTTGATGGGTTGCGTGAGTGATTCACTAGTTTCTTTGTGCCAGACAATGACCTCTCCATCTCTATTGCTATGAATTGCCCATCTCGCGATACAGCCAATCTCAATTCTCAGCACGCTGCTGCTATGCCCTCCATCTTCTTCAACACAATACCTGTCTCCAAGTTCCACAGATGAAGCATCTGCCGTCTTCTCATCTTTTGACCTAGTTACTGGATGCTAATGGTGCCACAATGGTGTCCTACTCTCAGGATGTATGTGATCTCATCATTTGACCTGCTTACTGACGCTGATGGTGCCGCTGTGACAATCATACCAGCGCTAGGCACGTATGAGTGTCATAGGCACATTTTGCCTTACCTAGAGGAAAAGAGTAAAGCACTAGTCACCAGCGCTATTCAGCTCCCAAGCTATCCGCTTTGGAACCACTTCTCTCCCATAGTGCGCTACCCGGTCCAACGCCTATGTATTCCGTCTTCCCATGTCCTGTCTATGTCCACCTACCTCCGCTGGTGCGTTATTTTTCCTTAAATGTCGCTACTCATCAGTCGCAGGTCTTATTACATGTATCCTCGTGTTCTGCTGCACTGCATGTCTTATTACCTGTCGCTACATCGTGCCCTCGCCAGTGTCACTACTATTCTCACCTACGCATTCCTGAACTTTTACGCAGTATGATAAAATGACCCGTTGCACATACAGTACAGTACTTCCCTTCCCTGGACCTTTGCTGGTGTCGGAGTCACTTTAGTCGCTATATCCTAGTCTTGGTGCAATCGATTCCGCTCTTGCCAATCTCTTTGATTGCGTGTCGCTTGACTTGCTTTAAGTGCGCGTCACTAAAGTTTCCCTCATAAGTTGGACTTTCGCAACATCGGGATTGCTATCAGTAGTCGAGCTATAATCTAGTCACTATCAGGCATTTCACTTGCACTGTCTTGTCTTACTCCTCACTTTCGCTCCCTTTGATTTCTTCTCTCTATCGCTAGTCGGACGTCGCATAGCGCTATCGCATAAAACAACTTGCATAGTGCTTCTCACTTATATGCACATTTCTCTATCGGAACTCACTTGTCACTAGTCGCTGATCGCTATAAGCGCTACTCATCAGTTTTTGGTCTTAGGTCGCTATAGGTTATTAGTCCTTCACGCTATCACTACCCTTGCATATAAGAAGGGAGTTGCTTCAATAGCGGTCCTCTTGGGTCAAATACTACACTCACACCTATTTGGATAAGTAGCGCTAGTTTCTAACCAGCCTAGTTGCGATTTCTCTTCCACACCGTGGTTGCGTCCCGCTCTCAGGAAGTGTGTGATCTTGCCTTTTGACTTGCTTACCCGACGCTGACAGTGCCCTGGCCATGTCCTGCTCTCAGATGGTGTGTGATCTCGTCCTTCGAGTTTCTTAGCAGACACTGACAGTGCCATGGCCATTACTTTCAGGCCCTCTGCTTAGTGTTCCCCTGTGATCTTTCATGCTCTACCATCAATGTCACTGAGCACTGAGCTTCCACCATCTATTGTCAATGGATTCACGCACACATTGCTTCTGGTGCCCTTCACAGTGATCTGCGCAGTTCATCCCGTCTAGTATGTGCTCATTCGATTAATTTTCTCGCTATTTTACTGACCGTGTATTGCAGTGGCTCCAAGGCCAATGTGGTGTGCGATATGGAGACGGACAAGGCATTGATGTTCCTTGACATCAATGCAATGCCAGAGTTGGAGGAGTAGTAGGTGATGAGTGCTAGTAGTTAGGCAACTGCACAGGTATACCCCCGGGTATCGGCAGTCAAACCCGTACCCGTACCTGCAGATATACCCATACCCCGACAGTGGGTATGGGTTTTGGGATGGGTATCTGCATAACGGACCCGGGGTATACCTGCGGGTATCAATGAATTATACCTATGAGATGACAAAAGTAGTAGTTAGTCTGATGTACTATTGATACTGTCCCACCCATCATCCATGGCTTCATCTTCCACTACAACGTCTGGAAGCTTCGATACCTGAATCACGTCCTCAGATTTGACAAGTCCCAACTGACTCCATTGGCCAAGACAAAGAAGCGCACGTGATGACTGTGCTGATAGACGACTTCTGACATGCGACAGAATAAGGTGGCCACAACTGAACAGTCGTTCTACATCCACAGATGTTGCTGTGGGAAAATGTGAGCCCTCAGCATATTGAAAAGTTAGTTACATACCGGGGATGGTCAGGTAGTCAATAGCCATGCATGAAAGCTGAGGGAAAGAGTTCTGATGTTTGAGCCACCAAACAATAGGATTAGTGATGTGTTCCACATCCATACTGAGGTATCGGTTGAGCTCAGGGTCTTGATTAGTGGGTTTGGGGGGTGCAAGCGCTGGGAGGTTGTCAAAGATATTGTCGCTCTAAAAGTTATTCAGCACAGATGCGAAACAAAAATAAAATAAAATGTACCATTTGTACATTGTCACTCGACTCCAAGACATCATCCTCGGGCCCCACATCGGAGTCGGTGTCGATTGATGAGTATGAACATTTGAATTCTTCGTGGACAAGTCTCTCGGCAGTTTTGATCCAGGCGTCTTCCCATTGCGCCACCTTGAAGTATACTAGTTTGTGCTGTGGATGTAAGACTAGAATTATACAAATGTCAGTTTATAAAAAATTAGCAAAGATTGAACAGGACATACCCATCGATATTCAATATGTCTGAGACATATCTGTGAGCTGGTAATAGCGGTTGAGAGTGTTATTGGCCAGCCGGACTGCAGAACAGATTGACGGTAGGTATTTTTTGTTGCAGGAGTATGATGTAAGCATCTTGTCGACGTGATCCATTGCTGGGATCACCGTCGCAAGGTTGGGTGTTGCACGGGAGAAGTACAGTGTTGCGTCCTTGAGAATCTAACAGATACAAACAAAGTTAGCACAGCATGACAAGAAAGGAAAGGAATGCACAAACCTTGAGTACATCACATAGCTGCTCTAGTATTAACCACTCCTGATCTTCCAACTCGAACTTCCGCAAACCCAAGTCCCGCCGTTGTGTAACAGTATCAACGGCCTCTCGATGTGCAAGGGCGTAATTCAACATATCAAAGGTCGAGTTCCATTGAGTGGCCACATCATGTGGCATGAGTGTCTGCGGCTGCGCCAAGTCTTGGAGAATCCCATGCCACGCAGGAAGGATGATGGTAGTTGAATGGATGATTTTGTATGTGAGCTTTCGCAACTGGGATGTGAATTGGGATCAGTGGTGAGTTTTTATAGTTTGATTGCACTTACATTGGCAAGCACTAATTTGACCGGTCGAATGTCTTCGTGTAGCACTATTCATTCTTGAACATTGAACAGCTCGAGCTCGTCAACAAATCTGTCATCATTATCTACATCATCCCCCGTCTCTGCATCTGCGTCTTTCTCGATATCCACACTCAAGTCTTGGAGCTCATGGTCGACGTCTTGTTTCTTCACATCGAACTCTCAAATTAGCGACTTTGCCACAAGGTTTATGGTGTGGAGGAAACACCTCGTGTGAGCTGTTTCTCTGCCGAACTCAAGCACCTTATTACCCAGTTCACGAATCATTGCGTCATTGTTGGATGCATTATCACAAGTCACACTGAGGATCTGTGCATCATGTGTTTAGCTGCCTGTATGTATTTTTTTTCAGTTTTAACAATACCTTTTCTGATATACTGAATTCCTCTAGCATTTTGGTGAATGTCTCTGCAAGATCTTCACCAGTGTGAGACTATAGTCTCATTAGTTTATATGCGCACACTCGATTGGTGAGTCTTACCTTCCCGACTTCAACAACATCTAATAGTATAGTTAGTGGCTCCCCTTTGTGCTCGAAGTGGGCCGAAAAGGCGACTAGTGCGCGATGGTTGGGTGATGTCCAACCATCTGTAGTAAAGTTAATTTTGCCTTTGTGTTCCTGGTACATTTTTAATATTTGATCTTTTATCTAATTAAAAAACACTAACCCACAACATTCTAGCAACTCGTTTTCAAGTCCGTGCGAAGACGAGTCGGACATCGCGAGAAATAGTGGATGGGGAAGGTAAGTAGTACTCGGGTCTCCCTGTCTTCATCAGCGACTGAAACGCACGATCCTTGACGATATCAAATGGACGCAGGCTCTCGGATACCCAACACACAATTTCCGCTCTGAAGGCACTGTTAGACTCCCAGGACTATTGGAGTACTTGGACCATACCTTGTTTCTGCTCAGGTATGTTGACGATGCGACTATGTGATTTTGCCTTTGCCTTTGCGTTCAAAGGATGCAGTAATGGATCCATTTTGCAGAATACTGCCAACAATCTTGTTGTGCACTTCATTTGCATCCTTCGCACTATCTGCAGCTTTCAAGACTTCGTCTCCCCAACACAAGCGCACATGCTTCCGCATGTTACCTGTGGATCGCGCATCACCCTTGTCGAGGAAGTGTCTTACTTTAACCTTGCAACCCTTTGCTTTGCACTTGAATTCGTGCGCACGGTGGTCAGCAATTTCGATGACTTGTGGTGTTGGGTCAAAAAATGCGTAAACAGGTGAGTTCCACTCTTTCATTAGCCGCTCTTTTCATACTCAATTAATGTGACATTGATGTATAGGGTGTTGGACTTACTTAGCTCGTCTTTGGGATCCTCGTCAGCATCATCAACTTGCGACTGCGCAGGCTCGACATCAATCTATTCACACAATGCATTCTCTTCCTCCTCTGTGCGCACAACGGTGCGCCTACTCACAACTGGAGATAGAGATGGCAATGGTGACCTATCTTTATCTGTGGGTGTGTTATTAGCCGGTAGGTTTTTGTTTGCCTTCTTGGGTAGCGGATTCACGCTATCTCCATTATTATCAGGTTTACGCTTCTTCAATGATGCTTTCTCTTCCAGTGCAGCTTTAGCCTTGCCGGTTATCTTGATGATGTGTTTTGCGGCAGTGAGAGGACTGTTGAGCTGCATGGTGGGCAGTGGTAGTGGGTGATGAAAATTTGCAGAGCCAGAGTTATGTCGCACTAGTAATATATAGAATAAAGTTTGCATGTTTGTAACTGTACAGTAATGCCAATTTTAGAAAATCGAATATTATCTGTCGCAAGGGACTCTGTTTTTACGAAAACCCGGTACAGGGGTACGGGTACGGGTACAGGTATAGCAATACCGAACCTGTACCCGTACCCCGCAGGTACCCATACCCCACACCCGCGCAGGTATACCTGTACCCATGCAGTACCCTACTAGTAGTAAAATTGACTAGGATTCACCTGAATTTGATTGTTTTTGGAATGTTTGAATTGGATCTAATGTGAGATTTATGCTTTGGTATTGGTAGTAATTGGGGTGAATTGTCTACAATTGGGAGGGGGACTAAAAAAAGCAGTCATATCAATCGAATGTATCGAATCCTCATCAGGGAAAACCTCCCCCCCGAAATCGAGGTAATTCCTTGTAATTCCTCTGTTTTCGAAAGATTTCAAGTGAATTCAAGTGAATTCAGGTTTTGCAGAATTATTCAAGTCCGGTAGCTCATTTTATGAATTCCTTCGAATTCCAAGTAGTTTCTCTGAATTCCATCGAATTCACTCGTCGCTCGATGGATTATTCTGAATATCGTCCAATTCACTCGATGATCGGTCGATGTCAAATTACACGAAAATCAACATTATATTGCATTAAAATGGCTTATCACAATGTATTATACATGAACATGGGTATCAACAGCACACGAAGATGCTAGTGCTTGAATTAGATGCAACTATGATCAAGTCGGATCAGCAATAGAGACACAACAACCTTTAATCCTCGGACATTGCATTAACATCCAGGTAGTCGAAGTTGCTCCCCGAACCAGCCAGCAGTAACATGCTCTGCAACATGCTAACAGAGAGTGTGTGAATGACAGGCGCAATCCAAGGAACCTGAAATGCACCTGACAGCCTTGAAAAGCCATGCCATAAGCGCATGATACTTTTTTTTTCCCGCGTTCGGAAATCCGAGTGAGGGTTGCAACGTGGAGGGTAGCGTTGCAGGATTTGACTTGCGAGCTCGATGGTGGATTGCCACTCATCCAGTCCATCAGTATAGACTAAGTCTGTGAAAGTAATATACTTAGCATTGTCGGTCTACAGTAAAAACACCTAAAAATCTACAACCACAACTCCGATTGCAGGATACGGCCGAAGCACCATCAGCATCAGATAAGCGGGCAAAAAGACAAGGTTAGCGGGACATGAGAAAAAAGGTCACACACATTCTGAAAGCGGAACATGGCCATGGCACCATCAGCGTTGGGTAAACAGGTCAAAGACAAGGACACGCACAGAGCGGGACATGGACACGGCACCATTGGCATCAAGTAAGCAGGTCAAAAAAGAGATTACACACATCCTGACAACGAGCGAAAACATTCAGTAAAGAGAAGAGTGTGCGCAACTCGAAGTAGTAGAGAGAAGGGGAATGGACCTGCGTGTCATTTTCAAACCAAACTTTTAAAATTCAACCGTGAGAATAAACTCGGCATTTCCCGGATTGATCAGAATCCGTCTAAGTGTTTCTCTCCTCAGTGCTGCGCTGTAGCTACCATTTACATTTTCAACCGTTTTGATCATGCTAATGCTCTACACTCATTTCTGCTCGTCCACTTGTGAGTATTTCTTCTTATATGGGCTTTTGCCACTCGTTTCACTCATTTTTAATCATTCTAATTTGTTTTTTCATGTCTGCGTTTCTGCGCTTGTTTGTCCCTGTCCGCGCTTAGCCTGTGAGTGTTCCTGCTTGTTTTCACTCATCTTCCGATTCATATAATTGCACTTGTGACTAGTGATCTCGCTCGCTCATTCTCATTTGCCAGTTCTCGACGGTCAACGGTCACCATTCTCATTCTTGTTCTAGTTGTGTTTTCGTACTACTCCCTCACTAAACTAATATTTGATCATGAATTTGAGGGTATCGTGTTGCACAAGTCCGTGTCGTCTTCACACTGACAAGTCATGCTGCGGCTGCCTTATTTCGCACACCTGCCAAGGCACCTACCCACTTTGCTTATGTGGAGTGGTTCACGCCATTCGGGCAACCCGAAGCAAACCATGGTTTATACAAAATTTCCCGCGTCATTCGTAATGGAGAGCGTCTCGCGAGCATCATCAATATCTCTGATATTCGCAGGAGTGTACACCTTATTCCAAAATTCGGCCCAGTTGTACCTTGTGAATGGACGAGCAGTACCGTTCTGGAGCTTTGTTCTAGCTTCTTTGTAAACTCGTTCAGTGACAGGCATGCTCATCTCACTATAATCTGACTGGCGGAATTTACTCCGAGTTCATTGGAAATACAACGATTTCTGTTGAATCTGACTGGTAGATTTTATTACTTTCGAAATACATCGATTTCGGTCGATTTCGGTCAAATTAGCAGAGTTTCTGGAATTCAGCTGTTTTACATGCGAGTTTGAGGATTTCAGTGGAATTCCCAAGGGAGGTTTTTCCTGATGCTCGACAATCTGCGAGAATTGGGTGATATTGTGTCAAATTAGGAATCACCAATTTGCCTGATGTTATGCACTCTCATCTCATCATGCGCTAATGATAAATCCTAGGATACTCAATCCCAGCTCCAGGCCTGGCCGTGATGAGATAAAACGGCAAGAACTTCTCAATCGTTTCCGCGCGCTGCAAAGCAAGCACGAGAGAGCAGGCGGGAGGGTCTAATTAAGCATACATTAGAAACCGACGAAGCCCACGGCAGCGACATCTTTCTTTCGTATTTAAAGGTTCTTGTGACTCACTCAACAGTTGAGCTCAGGCTTGTTCACATTTCTTGCTCCGAGTCGAATCGGTCCCCTGCACTTTATACAATGATCCACCAGTCCAATCCTACTTCCAGTGGGGTGTATCGCACCAACGCGCCACTGTGGGGATCACTTTGTTACGTGAAAGCTGCATGGTGCTGATCGTAAATTCGACTCAGGGATATTATGTTCCTCCAAGACGCTACAGGGAGTCAACAGCGGTATACCGACACTGCGCACAACGGGATCACCCAGATTTGTAATACTCTTTTATCTGGGGGAAAACTCGCTCCAGAAGATCTCAGACTTGGTCTTATTGCCTTCCGCGACCATCCTCCTCAAGAACACAGCTTCATCATCCAGAAATACCCTTTCACGTCCGATTTTGGAAGTTTTGCGTCTAATTTAGCCGACTTAACAGCGGAAGGCGGTGGAGATGACTCAGATGAGCCTGATTCTCAAAGCGATGCTTTGTCCGCTGCCTACAAGGCCGACTGGAGGGACGAAGCGACAAAAGTCGTAGTGCTGATCACCGATTCACCTCCGCATGGAATTGGAGAGGACGGAGACGCCTTCCCTGAAGGGTGTCCACTTCATAAATCATACTTTTGTTCTTCGGTCGTAATGGATCAGCCGCTAATGCCAAATTAGAAATTGACCCGCTCCGTGTTGCGACGAGTATGGGAAGAGCTGGCATCACTCTGGTTTGTCGAACATTTCACACCTCGTGCTAGAGTGTGATGTCAACACAGTATGTGATTGCGTGCGAGCCTACTCTGAGCCACAATCACAAGGTGAGATCATTTTCTTTATGCTGCCGTGCCAGATGCATTATTGATTATTCAGAGAGCGCGTGCTTTCTACCAAGGTTTAGTTAAGAAAACCGGGTAAAATGATCACAGCTTCGATCATATATTCATAGATTTACTATTTGTGATAGAGGGAGAGTGGTCAACCTCGGCGATCTCAGCGTGCTGCTCACTCTCATCGCTGGTTCCGCCTTAGAAGCAGTCGACAGCGAGAGTTACGTTGCTAAGCATCAGGCTGAAGTTTGCAACATGGCGAACAATCAGAAGATGAGCGCCAGCGAAATTTCTCTGAGGCTACACGGAAACTTTGTGGCTGCAGGCACCCAACACAGCACACTCGTTGTCGATAATACGTACGACCAGCGTACTCAGGGAGATCGGAATGTCGACATATGGTTTAATGCTGAAAATCTTGACGAAGCAAGGAACAAGATGCAGCAGGTAAAATGTCCATGAATCTTGTGTTTTTAATTCTCATAACTCCATCCAGGTTGAAGGCAATCATATTCTCGCCAAGTACCAGACCCCTGGGGTAGAACAATCAGCTGCCGTAGAGACGCAGCCGATCAGCTTGGCTCAGGTGATTTTCGCCTCCCTCGTATCAAACTTTGTAGTGACCTCTTTTACAAGGTCGAGACTGTCGTTCAGAAGTGCCTTGTGAGAGTGATGTGAATCTCAAGGTCATGCTGTTTTCGCGGATACCGACATGTACTACTATTACCAGCTGGAATTATGTAACACCTTGGCGAATATCATTGAATTGAAGGCTCGGGGTCTGCGGAGCTATGATACTGTTCACTTGTGTACTTTGTGTAGACGCCAAATCAGCCTCAAAATTTTCGGGTCTTCGAGTCTCGCTCGCACATGTACAGGTCATGTACGTTCGTAATACGTATGAGCCAGAAGGGCAGCAGCCAGAAAAATCAATCCTCCTTTGCCATCTCCACCTGAACTAGTGCTTCCTGACATATTGATTCTAATTTCTCACCTGATCAGTGATCTCAAACCAACCGAAACTTTTATCGCCTCTGAGTTCGATGCAACTTTGCCGTGATGGTTACCCCAGAGTTAAGTACGTAAAGGGACTGGAAAATAAGATTGATTAAACATGTACAACCCAGACTAGCCCAGACCTACCGATAGTCTCACCTAATAGTCAGAGAAAGACGGTCGTTATAGCCCAGACCAGAGCATAGCCACCATCGATCACTTTGCCAACGAGAAAACGGGATCTATATTCATCGATTGGTAGAATGTAACGCCGAGCTTCCAGTCCGACCATCGAAATACGATTTTTAATATTACTGTAATATCAACTTGATCGTGTCAAGCTACCAGCATGGGTCTAGCAGCAGCGAGCGGGTCGACTTGGAGTTGGCTTGTAAAGTGAGTGATTCCTGAGTCAGTTTCTCCATGCTAGGTGACAACCTCTCCGTCATGGATCTCGAGGACAAGAATGGCGACGTCCCCTGAGGAGAATTTTGATCGTTGGAGTGCCGGATCGCACCTCGTACCTTGTTCTATTGGATGAAGTTGATGGCCAATAACATTCTATCCATTTATCTATGAGGGGTTTTCTTCGAAAATTGGACGAGAAGCGTGAGCCAGGTAAGGACAAGCTAGCTCTGGATTGATTCCGGGCAATAGCACATGACGATCTATTCAATGATGATCAATTATCACAAAGCGGACAAGAAGAGACCTCAAAACCAGGTGACCCTTCCATAGCGACTTCCTCGTAACCGCGACGAATTGTATTTCAATATATTCGGAGATGGAAAAGATGATGCACGATGCATTCGGAAAGTCCCTGTTCGCGAAGTCCCTCAATGGTCGAGTATTTTACGTCGACAGATAGTCATTAATATTGGTTCCATTTTATAGGCCCTGAGCCTCAACGTTTTGCAGAATTGAGTCATGTTCGGAGTACCTTCTCGAGTCCGACCCTGGAGCCATTACGCAGAGATCACTAATTTAAAGTTTAAACCAAGAATGCATAAAGAAAATGAAATATCATGCCTCATGTGAACCCATAAGTATTTGCCGAATGCAAGGTCCAATCAGACATATCGTTAACGTCGATCGCATGTTCTATTATGTTCTGAATTTGAACGTCTGCGTGCGCCCAAGACGCCGTTATCGATTTCTTCAGTTCGTAACAAGCGTTGAGATCTCTAGGGAGAGGAAGGAACGAATTGAGAAAGTGCAGAGGAGTAGAGTTATATCGTACCAGAGATGCGATCATCTTTGGGGTTGTAGATAACTGAAATGAAAGACGAGATCGGAGCTCGAGACATTTACGTGCAAAAGACAAATATGTGCGAAGGGAGAAGAAGAAGTGTAGGCATGCATTAATATTTTCAATGAGGCGGCATTAGTGTGTTGAATTTTGAGCGTAAAGTCAGCGGTGACAGCTACACTGTCTGAATGAAAGGATGAAGAGATCGAGGTCCGTTCGTAGTGGCATTAACATCGCGTCGAGCGCAGAAGGTACGAATAAACTTCTGTAAGACTTTGAACAAATTGAGGAGTATTCCAAGCTGCTGGTTCGCAGCTCTCTTCCGCCGCAACAGATCACCGCCAGGACAATTCGCTAGAAAGATAGGCCATTGCGTCCACAGCTCTTTCAAGGCATCAAGTTCGCCGTCAATACTAGTGCAACCTGGAGAGAACAGCGCCTGATATTGATTTGCGGTTGATTTACTCCATGATACAATGAACTGCGCCTTGCGGTCCTGATTAAAACCAACCGTGCCATGTGCCACAAGGATCAGCACTTTCCTTAGATACGGCAGGATACGGCTCAGTGTGATGATCTGTGCCTGAAAGAAACCGAAGAGGTGAAGATTAAGCACGGACCGAGCACTTAAGGGTCCGAGAGCCGTATAGGAAGACCGGGTAAGAATACCGACACTATTGCAATCGATATCACTATCGAGCCATTCGATATGTTGTCTCTTACCTGAACCATTGAAATGCTCACGTCTGGCCGGTTGTACTACAGTTTTAAACGGACGGCAATTGCAAGACCAACAGTGGTTCCTGAAATGGCTTCTGAGTTGCCGTCATCATTTTCCGCTGTCTATCATTACAAGCGTGGATATCTTTGGCCAGGGAGGGGAAATACATATCGAGAAGGTACAGAAGCCAGAGTAGAGTATTCTGGTGACAGAGACGCGATTGCCTTCTTCGAGGTAGATAACTAAAAATGAAAATATGAAATCGGAGCTCAAGATGATCACGTGCGAAAGAAAATGATGGTGAACAATGACAAACATGCATTTCAAATTTCGGGGAGCATGCGTCTAACTGCGGCGGCGGATGGATGAAAGGATGAAGAGATGGAGGCCCGTTTTTAGTTGACATTGTGCACCACCGGTAAGCACAAAGCAGCTGTGCGCATTGACAAGGCTCCTGTGTGTCCTTCTGCAACGCCAAAGAGTAACGTTGAAGGAGTTCAAGTGTTTCAAGCTGCTGATCCAAGAGTCAGCCTTGCATGAGCAGTCCGCTCGACAAATCGAGCATTTCACCTACGGCTAAGTTATGAAGCGTTAACATGTCCTCTGGTACGCCTCCAAACAGTCTCAACCTGGATTATCAGGGCAACACCAATGGATCTGCAGTCGATGAATTGAGATTGACTCCATGATGTTCTGTTCCCTCCAATCCTGATCAAAACTGAACGTGAAAAGATGTTTTACAGGTATCAGCGTATTGCTTGGTTGTGATGTCGTCTACTGAAAATGAGATTTGGCTGCAATTCACTAGTGAGTCGGGATCAAAGTACACAGGTGTACAGAACTCAAAGAATGCTAGTTTGCCCTCACAGCCTAACGGTAGGAAGACGATCGTTCATCGTATGGGCTCGCTTGAGTCGATTGGCCGTCATAGTGTCTAAGAATGATGGATGATGTTACATAACTTCGTCGCTTAGATACACCGGTAGTACTCATGCCTTGACTCGATGGCGCAGAGCTGAGCATGGTGAACTTCACAGTCTTCACCCAGGATAGCACTAGTTGATACTTTGCGACGTCCGTGATAGAATGGACCATATTTATGAGGGAATTTGAACGTCGTCCAATTGTTTGAGCCATTGATTTGAAGACAAGAATCAAGATATGTAGTCCGAGTCCAATACGAGTAGAAGCCTGAATGACTGTCTTGGAGCTGTATATACTGTTTGCTCAAAGGTGAAGAAGAGTGCATCATGTGCTCGAAGATCGTTGAACGTTGAATATTAATGCTAGCGCCACGCGGTCCCAAGTTGGAGTTAAGTTAGAGGCGAAAATTTCACGATTATGTAAAACTCACTCAGTGCCAAGCTTTCAATTAACAAGGCCCCATGACGACTACTTACTAGTTGCGGCTCAGCAAATGTCAAGATGGAGTGGAAGCCTGCTCAGCTTGACGTCTCCTGCCCTCCAGATCTTGTCCTAACAAACAATCTGGACGTAGATCCTGATTTCGCAGACAATTTCGCTCGTTGCGCCAGGTGGTACGTCTTTCAGTCAACTACTGTAACTTCAAGCACCGTTCAAACGTCAAAACACTGAAGGTGTGCAGATGGATCCAGCTTTCTCGTCCAGTGCGAAAACAGGGCATTTCAGCTGTTTTATTTGTAAGCATCGTTGTTGTCTGAATCATTTACAATCTCAGATATAGTATACATCCTGAAGTCCAGACATTTTGCAAGGTCAGTCGTGTTGCGCATGATTTGGCTTTTTCGCCTATCAAAACGTCTTGAAGGTACACAGTTCTTCGTTCACCATAAGCGTACATTCCCGCAGTCCTCAGCGGTCGTCAATTTTGCTTGGTATCCTGGGGCATCATCCAACAATGCTCCAGCTTACTGTTTCGTCGCTTCTGTGCGTGACTGTCCAGTGAAACTTCTGGATGCTTCGGATGGAAGGGTAGGTTCATATACGTCTTCGTCAGACCGCTGATCGACCCCACTAGCTGAGGGCCTCGTACCCGATTATCGATCATCGTGAGAGGTTCATCGCTCCTCATAGTCTCGCGTTCAACTTAACAGCCGACAAGTAAGCCTGTCATAAAAACTCCGTTTATGTTTGATAATAATCACCACGGGCATTACCCACATCAAGGCTATACTGCGGTTTCGAAGATGCCATCGAGATATTCGACATACAACAACCTGGGGAGGGCGATCGGCTCCCGACCACGCCTTCCAAGAAGAGCAAGGATGGCCTCAAAGGCAAGATATTAGGTTTTTTAGATCGTATGAATGTTGATCCAATTTCAGGTATCATATCCAGCATAGCTTTCTCCTCCTCTTATGACTACTACGCGATCGGCAGCCTATCACCTTCCTCACAAGCAATGGACAATATTGCGTTGTATTCGGAGTCAAATCAAGCAGCCATCATGCCTATAGGAGGCGCATATTCTCATTCTGGAGTTACGCAGGCATGTCGCCTGGAGAATCAGTAGTAAAGCTTATCTCATCCTTCACAGCTGAAGTTTAACCCGACAAAACCGCATATTTTGTATGCTGCATTTCGTCGACACGATGCTATATATGCATGGGACCTTCGCAGCGACACATCTGTGCCTGTGAAAGTTTTCAGGATGTCTCCTAATTCTCGCAAAACCTTAACCAATCAAAAAATCGAATTCGACATCGATTGCGCTGGGAGATGGTTAAGCGTCGGTGACCAGGTACTCGACTATCACAGATATCCGTCATTCAGGCTTCCTGGCTAACAATACGGTTATAGAATGGATGTGTTTCGATGTTTGACCTCGGAGATTCTGACGAATTGGATTCTGAACAGTCATCAGTGATTTCGCCGCAAAATATCGCCCCAGAGATGACTTTCAACGCACACGGAGGCAAGTATGTAAAACACCCGTGCTCATCCCTTTAAAACTGATCTTTGTGACCGAAGATGTGGTTAGCTGCGTGGCGTTTCAGCCCTTGCATTCCAATCTTCTGTCAGCATCGGGCTCACGCCATTTTGATGAGGACATTAGGGAGGGTGGTTCTAATAGTTCCGACGGGGATTCAACAGACCAAGAGTCGGATTCTGAGAGCCAAAATATAATCGCAGTGCCAAGGCGCCGACCACTTCCATATGTCAAAGACTCTTCTTTGAAGCTGTGGTCATTCGACCCCACGCGGACCGTACATCACGTCTGATTGATACTTGTTTCGAGGCGCCCGAATGTCATTGGACTGGTTTATTGCTCACAGTCCAGGTCGTCAGCCGAACAAGGTCAATGAGATTTCTGTTGGCGGATTCTACCTTTACCCCAACAGTTGTAAACGATGTCAAAGACATTGATGTGAGAGCTCATCGCACCCACTGCACGACACTTTGATGCATTCTGACTCGTCTAGAGGAATCAAGAATCATAGCTTGCATTTTTACGCAAGGTCTCTTGTACCACACTGTAATCTTAACATGCGTTATCTTCGATGAGACTAATTTATGTTTTCTATTTCAACCTCGAGTTGTTCATGATAGTAGCTGTTGCGTATATCTTGTAGCGAGCAGCCGTAGAATGTGATACATATTTTGTTATTTTATGACATGGCGAGGTTTATGCTTATTGCGTAGATTCTATGCCTGCTGTATCGAAGAAACGTATGAACATTTTTATCGGCCACTGCTCCTTGACATGGGCTGTCATTGTCACTTCGATTGAGACCCCAGATGCCAACGCGCCCGAGGTTCGTAGCGACCGAACTTGCCAGTGTCTTGCTTCAATCCCCCAGCCGAATAACCCTGGGGAAGAAGAATGAATTTGCAAGATCCCACAGGTGATTGAGATAGAAAAAATCTGCGGCGAGTGAGTTGCTGTAAGTGATTTTATTAATACTAGGCAAAGGTGGGACATTGTCCTCAGGACGGATGTAGGTGATGTGATTGCAGATTCTAGTGTTCCGAAACCTCCTGGGCACGATGGAGTAGGGGTTCCACGGTAGGGACTAACCATTCGGGGTCTCTATCATAGGCTCTTTCCACGATTGTCAGTCAATGTAAACTAGATTCCACCATGTCCGCACCTTAGCATCACCACCATCGTGCTTTGCTTACCTTGCTCTGGGCTTAGGTCACTGGCCCCTGCTCCAACGACACACTCGCCCCGTATCTTCACATTACTTACATTATTGTGCGAGCCACGAAACAGGTCAAAGTCAGCAAGGAAAGTATAGTCGACGCGACATCACCTAGCACGACGAGGTGGCATACACTCCCAAAAACGCTTGTGCGACCAGCGGAAACAGTTACAGGTATCAGTGCACGGTCAAATAAACTTCTCGGTCAAGCATACCAATTGATGACGCAGTGGTTGAAGAACCATTGACGGAGTTTGGAACATTGCATCATGGGTCTGGCATGTTGAAGGAAAGCCTGAGGGGGTAGAGATGCGGTTAGTGTTCGTAACCACCGAGCAGCAAGGATCCAATTATCATGCCCGCACTGCCTGGAGGAGAACTATTATCCCGAGGTGGGCTCCTCGGGAAAACCTCGAGGCTATAGTCCACAGTACGAGAGAGACTCACTCGGAGCAGCGTATGTGTCACTGAACTGCAGCATCAGATTTAGCGTGATCTTGGCGAGACTTATTCTAAAGCTTGGCGCTGTATACGGTGTCTTCTCACGCGCAACAAACGTTGGCATCGGGGGAAAGCCAATAGACTTTTGGTGCAAATCTTCAGAACGAGAATATAGCAGTACGGTGCTCAGTTTTGCATTGGCAGAACGGTTCTCTTGGACTCCGTGTTAGTTTGGATGCGTCCACGGAACCGTCCCGAACCTCGAACAGTTTTTATTTTCGAACTTAAATATTCTGCCCCTTTCAACTCACCACGCCATTCTGCCGCCAATTGCGAGCTACTCAAAATCGATGTTCCTGACCCGTACTTCAAAACGACGCGAACGAACTTGCTGGGATGATGATGACGCTGGTTGGAGCACGGCGAGAGAGGGACCAGATCAATTGGGGTTGAAAAAACTGTTACTGCCTGATCGGCCCAGCCGTGATCGACTTGGCACCGGCGACGAGCAGGCGGTTAGTCTGGCGGTGGTCACCGGCACCAGCGAGGTCACCATGCTGGGGTGGTGGGGTATATACTCTATGTATGTGGCGTACAATGGATCCTTGCGTATATTTATGTCTGTTTCGGTAGATTACGTGCTCACTGGACCTCTGAGGCCTCCGACGAGTCAACGTTCAACCACAACAACCATTACGCATACAGTTTGCCTACTATCTTCTTTGGTCAATAATGTTTCCTCATTGGCAGGATGTGCTTGATGCGTTCGCTTATGTTCCTCCTGATACCACCAATGAAAATTACTACAATGGGCCATACTACAAACTTCTCTGTACTACGTTCCATCCATCCCTTTTAGAACATTCAGGCTATATAATTTGCCCATTCTATCCCCTTACAGAAGACGATCCTGCTACTGAAAGAGCGACCTTCGTCGTTGTTACAATGCAGTGGCAGCCCCTATTTGTCTTGCAACTCCATCCCCCTGGTCATATCAACCTCCTGTCGACCAGGATTGCGGCAGACAGCAAGATGAGGGCAACATTCCGTAGCCTTTGCCCCGAAACTGTGACACCCAAGCTTCATGGCGTCAGTGCCATGGGACAAAGGCTTGCTTTTTATTCCATGGACACGAGCAGTGGCCGTGTGCTCCCTGACTATGTTCCAACTGCTGGGGACGGCACGGAGATGGACACAGTTCCAGAAAACAGGTGGGAGTTTGACATCACGACAGAAGCTGGGCATCAACAGTTTATGAAAGTTGTAAACGACGTCAAAAACATGGATGTGAGAACCAATTGTATTCACTGCAAAGTCACTTCTGACACTGGTCTAGAGGAATCGTGAATCATGGCATGCATGGTTAAACAAGGTCTTGTGTACCACACAGTAATCGTGTCAGTGTAGTTTTCTTTGAAAGCGAAGTCCATGCCTCTTTATATTTCCATTCCAACCTATTGTTGTTTTCCGGATGGAGCGGTACAATTATCGTACTACCCGATAAAATTCAGTCACTTTTTGACATGGTCTGTCACTGCGACTTTGATTCTATGTGCAAACATGTTCAATTCAGAGTAGCTGTCACAGCTCAACTGTCCCCCCAATAGGCTACACAAGATAGGAGTGTCGATGCTCAGCGGGGAATGCGTTACCCATTACCCAGCACGTTGTACCTCCAACTTCTGGAAACTAGGTCACACCTTCCCGCAACCGCCACTATTTGTGTCCTCCCACACAATCTGCTGGTTTCCGTACCTTGACCTACCCGCAGTGCACCTCTGTTGGCCTGGTGAGTTTTGCAACTCAATTTTTTGGCTGATGTTGTTTCCGACTTGTTGATAGTTTTCTCGCCAGCTGTGCTACCCCATATGGTTCAAACAGAGTCATGACAGGTTGCACTCCCTACATTTAGGGTTATATAGTCTGTCCCCCCAGACACACTCCCAGGACCCTAGCTCTCAGGGGGCTTTACCGAGGGGTCGACTGGTTGGAAGATCAAGGACGACCCTCGGTGAAATTCTGCTCCCTCGCATGCTCTCAGACTAACGATTCCCCATGCAGTTCCTTCATCCACCATGTATATACCAGTACCAAGTCTCTCTCAAGCACCCAAGAAAAACTGTATCATACCACCCTGTACCAACACTCTTTGTAACTCGTTTACGAGGAATCGCACATGTTCCTCATTGGTTTGAGTCAGTCGGAGGAACGTCCCATTTGTCAATCATTGGCATTCTCTACACATATTCCTACTGCATCCACTCTGACTCCTGTACCTGTCCACTCACGCGGCCGAGTACACGTGTTGTCTCCATATCTGTTAGCTCGTGCCTACATTGCATGTATCATTAAGTCGGCTCATCTTCGAAGAGCGGCCTGTCTAAAATGGCTGGCGAGAATGACGGACTGGTGGAAGTACACATCACACCACGGCATTCGCGTGCGCAAAGATGCATTGGGGACACCGCTCCTTAGGCAGGAATTTTAAAAAAAGAATTGGGCGGGGAGCTGAGTCCGTGAAGATAACTATTGATTGCCCGCTTGACTGTTCCCTAGATGTCAGCTTTACGGCTTTGTAGAGTCCTACGATCTTGCATTATAGTAATTTCAATGGGACAACAAAATGAACGACCTTTTCAGAAACTGGCCAAGTTTGTCGTTATTAAATATTGTCCTCCACGGAGTGTTGAATTTCTTCCTGCCATAAATCCGAGAACTTGTCGATATCCCAACTGCAACTCAGCGCGAGGGCTTCGATGTTGTGCTGATGAGCTGGTACATCGCGCATTGCAGTCGGGTGTAAAGGCGAGTCGACGATACGCAGCTCAGACGAACTCGGCCCCCGCATGAAGACTGACGAGAGCTCTTCGTACGTGAAGAGGAGGGGATCCGCTCGAGGTGCATACGAGTTGAAGTCTAGGACTATCCGATCACGCATCATCAACACATAATAGCTGTCTTCATACGTGAGACGAGTGTAGGGACTGCGACAGAGGTAAAACACGTACAGTTTTGTTGTCCATGCCATTTGGACTTGATGCTCTCCTCCCAGAGATGCTGAAGCGCCTCTACAATCTTTTGCTGTGTTCGGGGTTCGTTCATGAAACCGTAGAAGTTTGTATCGTGTTATGATATTCCTGCATGATATAAGCGCCATCGTCATGGTCTTGTTTGAGCAAATTAGTACGTACCTATGAGACGACCTTTACGAACAAAACACCTGAGCTCGCGACTCCTGTCTATAGGATACCATTTCCGCAGGAAAAGCTCGAGTTGATATGGGGTGGATTCGAGATCACTTTGACATCTACCAAGGACCGTGTCGATACTGAGATCGTGCGATATGAAGTCTGAGGATTTTAATAGAATGTGGACATCTGATAATAGAGATGTGAATTTGAGAGGTGAGGATGGTGGTAAAATGTAATTCCCATGATGCATCCTGTGTTCAATCATCGGTGCGAACGGAGATTGATATCGATGAAACGAGCTGACCTTTGGTAAGGAGAAATTTAGCTTAGGGAAAACTGTGCCGTATTCTTAGATCGTGTGTCTTATCCGCTCATCTAGATCAGGGAAGGAAAAGGATTGTCTGTGGCAGCGCAATCTCCACCGTCATTGTCATCTCCTTCATCCGAAAGAGAGCTTTCTGCATGGCTGACGGTATGAATATGGCTGAGACAAATGGTATAGCTAGTCAACTGAAGCATTTTACGAGCCTTCTGGTGCGAAAATGCCGTCCGAGTCGAGATATTCCTTGAATGTTTGATTCAAAAGACGGATGATAGTGCTTTGGATGCTGATGGATGAAAATAATGGATACCACGATGAGAACTAGAAGGAGAGTAGAGAATCTGGTGTCTGTACACGGGAAAAATGATAGGCGTGGACATGACTCAATGATGATCGTTTGATATCTCTGTGAATAGCATGCAGGCTGCTAGTTAGCAGGTCATGAACTTGGATACTGGCAACTTCGTGGTTGGTGGGTCATGATAATCGGGTGGGCGAAGTTCAAAAACTCGAAGAAGCTCGCAGTCGGATCACCTGGAATCACCTTGAGGGATGTCCGAGTCAACACACCGACTTGGGATGTGAGATTGGATAACCATCGTGCTGGGTAGGGAAGTATTAGTGCCGCAGCACATGGACGCGTATTCTGTGCAACCAAAGACAAAATCATCATAGCTGCATTCACTGCGGAAACGAGATCTTAGGTAGACCCTAATCAGAGGGAGACGGCACGTGTAACACGACTCTAAACGTACCTAGCTTGTAATCAGACATAAATCCAAGATGTCGCAAATTTTGCTCGCTCGCTCCGGAGCAACATATGTAAACAGACTTCATCAACACGTCTATTTGAACCCCGTTTAATCTCTTCAAATACCTGCTATTCCACCACTAATCAACACCGCATATTCAACATTTCGACGCAGGGCTGCACACCGTACCGTATACGGTAGACGGCCGTACGCATACAGTAGAGGTACGGTAGACGGTGAACCCGTCTACCGTACATAGTATTGGCCGTGGACAAAGCAGACGGTACGGTACGGAGTATTATATGGACGTATACGGTAATGTACGGTACATACGGAATGTAAATCAACTATGAACAAGCTCATTTAGGGCCAAACGAGCCAAGCGAAGCCTTGCCTTCACGAGCATCAACGTTCTGATAGTCTCAGGCTTGAGACTTGCACGTCGCAGTGAGACCGTGTCGCGACCACCGGAGAAAATTCGTTCAACAGCAACAGCAGATCCTACAATGAAGAGAACTAAGTACAGACACCTGGAACATGAAGTGAGTACTCACCAGGTATTGAAAGGACATCACGGGCAAGTCGAGAGAGGTTCGGAAACTGTGCTCGGCGACCCGCCCACCACTGAATGGGGTCGCAAAGGTCAAAGTCCTCTTGCGGAAGTTTTAGGTACTCCTCAAATTCTTCGAGGGAGAATTTCTACCATCAGACACATTTGCGTGATGGCCTGTGCTGGCAGACAGCGATGATGCACTGTCCTGCGCAACAGATGTAGTGGCATAGTCTTTTTTATACAGGGCGTGTAGGTCATTCTTCAGTGAGTCGATTTGTGACCGTGTACTTGCATCATTGGCATCGCAATCATCACGGAGACCTTTGTAAGTAATGCGGGGATCGAGAACTTGAACTAGATTAGCTATCAAAATAAATCTAAATTCAGTGCAGGACTCACTCGAAGCCCAGACATAGTACGGTGAGTCATCAATCTTGAAGAAGTAGTCGCTGAGCTTCCGATGCGCATTGATCAAAGCAAGCCGTATCTTTGCTGGGGCTGAGTCTGGAAGATTCGCTAAATCATCCCGAAGTGACTCCTCAAGGCCTCGAAATATAGCATGAGCTGAAGACAACATTGGGTGCTTGGTTGTTGACATTTGAGTGGTTGCTGACCGGAATGCTTTCAGCCACCCCGTCACTAGTTCAATTGCTTGCCAATCGTCATCAGAAAGTTCATATTGTCGTAGTTCACGTGTCTTTGCCACAAAATCATTGATAGCCTTGCGGGAATCCAATGCACGACCTGTGAATTTGATTGGTACTCAATCATAAATTATGGAACTGTACTTACGAAGCATTTGATGTGTCGATGACCAGCGGGTCTTGACGTCCAAAATGAGCATGAGCGCAACTTGACTGAGTGTATTCTCAGTCTTCTTGAGTGATATTGTGACCTCCGCAAGCCATGCCTTGCGTCGCTGTGGGCTTGACCGAACTGACCGAACAATCTTTCGAAGCTGTTGGATCCATCCATTAGTAATGTGTTTTATGAAACTGTGATTTCAATACCTTGTCGACAGCCAACAAAACCCCCTGCAGAGTGCCAGATTGATCATCGTCGTCGTCATCCGTTTCATCAAGAAGTGCAGCGTTATCATCATGCTCACGGTCTATGGGAGCAGTAACTGAGTCCTGGTATGCAGATTCTCTACGTCTCAAATCTGGCTTGATAGCACCGATGCCTTCAAGAAGCTGCATTGCAGATAGGTGCACAATATGTGGCAAACAACGGATCTGTGCTTTCTTGTGCGAGAAGTCGATCCCCTCAGCGGAACACTTTTCTTCAAGGGATTCAAGTAGTGTATTGTTGTTCGTAGCATTGTCACATACGACACCCATGATCTAAGATAGAATGAGTACATAAAATCATGCAACCCGCTATTTCGTACCCGATCTTTGAGTCCGTAAAGTTCGAGTGTGTCCCACACAGCTTCAGCAAGATTAGCACCACTGTGTTCGCCAATAATTTCACGAAGATCAATCAAAAGCTCTTCTGTTGATGCGAAGTTGAAGGTTGGGCGCAAAAATGATGGGAGGGACATACCTAACTGCCAGTCATTGGTCACATAATGCATGATAATTGCGAGGAACGCAAATTGGTTGCTCGAGGTCCAAGCATCTAGGGAAAGGCTCACTTTCGCCTCGAGTTCCTGAAGAAGGTTGGTAATGTACGAGAAAATCTTTTTTGAATTGTTCAACTTACCTGAACCATGTCTTTGATTCCTTGGATAGTCTCGTCACCCATCTTCATGATATGACGTTTGATTGCCATTCGTCCAGGGATACGTAGCGAACCTTGGTGAGTGTACTCAATGAATGCTTTGAACTCTGGCTTTTCGACCTCGTCAAACGGCTGGTCACATGCGACGAGCCATTTCGCAAGCAGGTCTTCAAATTTGTCTTGGTTCCAGGCACCGAATGTTTTGTTGACTTGCTTGTTGAAGGCGTCAACGAGATTTGCAGATGCTTGCTCAAGCTGTGTCAGGTATGCTGCTGCTGCGTCGGGATCAAGAACTTTTTCGCCTCGTGCCATTTTGAGCTCATCTTCGGTGGGAGGTGTTCCGCGAGACTTCAGGATGAGGTATAACCGATACATAGGTGGAAAATGTGTTTTGAGATGCCCGATCAAGCCTGATAGTCACACTGTATTAGCAAGAAAGATGCTAGCCAAAACACGATACAACTTACCATTCAGGCTGCTTTTCATTGCACGTGTAATGGTGAGGACCTTCCGATTACCCAAGTAACACTTGTAGTGTTTATCTCCCGGATCACCAGCCTGACCCACAGCATTCGACTGTACGACATCATAGAAGTGATATATCGGGTTCCACTTGGTAGCCTAATAATTTCGTAAGAACTGAACTCTCTGAGACAAAACGGCACCATACCTTGACAGCAGGCACGGAACCTCGAAGGGGTACAGCATCTTCCAAGTCGACAGGACTTTCTTGCATAGTCACGGTCGTAGCAGCTCTTCGGCTGGCAGATGCCCGAGTGGTTGACTTTTTGGTCAAGTGCTTGCGCTTGTTTCGCCTGTTTGATTGTTCCGGAACTGTTTTTGAAGGCAACAAGTGCGCGAGCTTGTTTTGCATAATATTGAGTTTATGAACAATGTTCTAGAGCTATTCTCAACTCACCTCTTCGTTCGTGATTTCAATGACATCCGATTCACGATCAGAGTCCGATGCAGTATCCGACAGCGAGCTTGAAGGACTAATGTAGTCACTCCCTTCATCATCCAGGTCACCTTCAACGGCAAGACCCTCAAAGCGATTCTGCGTGGTTTTCGACTTCTTGGTTCTCCTGGGCTTAGACTTGGTGGCAGGAACATTTGGACTACCTTCAGAGGCCAATTCTGCTGTGATACTCTCAGTTAAGCGTGCGGTATTCTTAGTGCGGTGCCCGCGACCGAGGACAGTCTGGAATTGCGGTTCATTGGTAGGACTAGAGGACATTGAGGGCAGAAATACGAGAGGGACAACAAACTAGTAACTAGGGAAGTCTTAGTAGAATATTATAAGGAACATACGGAGAGTACTGCTTCCATCAGCGTGAAGCGCATGCAGCAAACTGTCAGACTTATTGCAGTCATCGTCGTCGTCGCAGGACATGGCGGTTCAGGGCAAGAAGTCGTGGATAAACCGGCACCCTTTCCGACCGTAAAGGCCGTAAAGGTACCGTTGACGGCCGTATGGAATACGTCTTGTACAGTGTACGGTCCAGCCGTACACCGTACATATTGATTTCTTTGTGCAGGTCCAGTGGTACAGCAACCGTATCTGTCGACGGTTGCCGTACAAACCGTCTATGACGGCGACGGCGTGCAGCCCTATTTCGACGTCTGTTTAGGTCGCACTTGGAGCAAAGTAAGTTTTTCAAAAATTTGTCTAAGTCCCGCGTTACAGCTTGCACTTACTACTCACGCTATGGCAGCCCGCAACGCAATCAAGCTCGAGTTGCCCATGGAGGTGAAAGCATTTAAATTCACGTTTGAGTGCAGAACACCAGGTCCCATAGTAAGTCCCTTGTGCAACTAAACTGATGTCAACTAATTTTCTTTGCAGACCGTTGAAATATCTATCGGAAAGCCTCTCCAGCAGCTAAGCTCACAAGCTGGTATTGTAGAGGGTCCCGACACCAGCGACACGCACACCGAGACGCCGGGAGTGCTTGATGATTGGTTAAAGGCCCAGAAAACTGTAAGCGTTTGCATAGCAGTTATATTGATTTATCTTACTAAATACATTTCAAGCAATATCAATCATTTTTATCGGACGTTGTCAAGGGAGGTCCTCTGGTACTGGACGATAGTGTGACAGGACCTGAATCGGAGCTGACTGCTGAAGATATTTTTCTCAGTTGTATTCGTTTGTGTCGCTGAATAGGGTTTCCGGTCTTCCCATGTTCTCATTTACATCATCTTCCCCTTGCTAATACTAATGTGTGAGTTTTCCGTGTTCGTGTTCGTTGATTCTGACAGTTTACAATTGCATGCGGTCCACTGAAGTACTCATCATGCTGTGGCAAGTCATTGAGCGAGTCGAGCGGGGATGGCGCAGGATGAGGCTGGCCAAATTGGTGCGTACCACTCATTTGAGACTGGCGGTCTTGACTAACACGGTGTTGGTTAGGATACATGGGGGCACCGCTAGGGCGTCTCTGTGAGGCTTGAGACTCATACATCGTGGATGTGGGGTGTGGAGAACGAAGGGAAGAGCGAGCGAGAAGCTATGGGCAAGCGCATGGTGAATCCTAGGAAGCATATGGAGCATATGGACCTCTTGTACTATATCCTTTGCAGAGTCTAATTGGAACTATTTTGTATATGTATGCAGACATAATTGAGATGTGCAAGTCATGTTTTCTGATATGATCCTATTGTCGGATTAGATACACAGATAACTAATCTACCTCTGCAAAACTTATGTGTCCAGTGTCGGATTAAAGCCAGCACTGTGTACCTCTCGCTAGTCTAGCGCTTTGGGATTTGTGTTGCATGCGATGTCTGTTTATATTCCGCGTATATGGTCTGTCCCTACACTAATCCGGCCCGACTATTTTCTCGTTTCCACAGTGATTAGCGCTGGCGGTATTGACATTGATATTATGTAAGAGTTCTATTACCACAGCGTCTCGCTTCAACTTGAAGCTCCATTGTCTTTCACTACCCGCCACGCGCGTATTTTTGTCATTGCCAGAATCTGCAAATGTCCGTGCTTACACTCGATCATCACCAAAATTTCCCATTCCAGAGATGGTAATCTAAGGTCGCATTAGCCCTTAGAAGGTGTCTAAGGGACGGCAGGCGTATCAGGTCCCAGGGCCCGCTTATCTGGTCATACCTAGGTTCGTTTTTTTCGCTAATGTGCTGCTCAACTGCTGATCATTCCTCAGCTGCTAGCCATATATCATGCTGATATGTCCTGCTAAGCTGGTTTCATTGTTCTATCTGGTTATCACACTGATATGTCATGCTAAACAGATGTCAATTTGCTATCGTATTACATGGCATTAGCTACGAGTAAGGTCCTGATCGTACTGTAAAGTGCGCGGTGGCAGGATAAAACAGAGGGAGCATTGTGGTCTGAAATGAGTAATCCTGGTAGTACAACAATTTGATGAGACTTGATACTATCATGCGAGGGTGAAAACATTGACGTGAGGAAACTTGAAAGCATTGCGAAAGGGGAAACTGAAGATTCAGCATGTGTATGTTAACGCCAAATTGCAATGCAGAATGATATGCGATGGTGCAATGTGGGATGATATGCGAGGCGAGCTGAAATTTGAGAATCATGCCAATGAGCATGGAGTAAGCAAAGCATGCTTGGATGTACAGTGAACGAGTAGTAACTCATTTCCTCTTGCATGGCACTGCCTTGGTCTTCTTCTTTGGCGGCTCCACAATGGTCTTGCGGCCATGGCCCCTCTTCCATTGTGACTTTGGTGGCTCAGGTTCCTCAAGTTTGTCTTCCTCACTGCTGAGAACACTGAATTCATCATCTGCTGGTTCCATGGATAGCAGCTCAGTTTTCTTGGAGCTTACAGATTCCCGGTGCGACAATCATACCAGTGCTAGGCGCGTATGAGTGTCATAGGCATATTTTGCCTTGCCGAGAGGAAAAAGAGTAAGGCACTAGTCACCAGCGCTATCATTCCCAAGTTATCTGCTTTGGAACCACTTTTCTCCCATAGCGCTGTAGAGACTCACGTTTCTGCAGGCACATATGGGCACATTTCGCACCTTTTCACAACTCATGACAATTGGCCTTCAATGCATGACTTGCACCATCAGCTATATTCGACTTCTATCATGTCTCTAGTTGTTTTACACATAATGCACAGCTTTCCCGCAAAACGCGCCATAGGCACGGTACTTTCCCGCACAACGCGCAGCATTCCCACACGCACACCTTGCGCGCTTTCTCGCGCTTAAGCGCCCTGCATCGCCTATCATCCAGGAACATCCCTCTATGTCCATCCGCCTCATTGGTACGTCATATCCCTTGCCTCGTGGTTTGTAACAAGCATTGCAGCGCTATTACATGTCATTACGTATTCATAGCGCGTATTGCTCCTATCCCTTCCGCTTCCGATGTGATTTCCATAGTATAAAGTTTGCTGACTTACTACTCCATCATTATTACTCCCCTTTGCTGTACTTCCCTCGCTATTGGGTTTTACTCTAAAGTAGTAGTCACCACTTGGGCGCACTTTGTGTTTCCAATGGTTATCGTTATCTGCCTATACTAGACTATTATCCGCGCTCGTTATAACACTCGCTCTGCATTTGCACTCGCTTTGCACATCCGCTTCCTTATCCGTTTCCTCATCCGGTATTTTCCGCACAACGCGCGCCTTAGCGCTCATGTTCCCACGCTCGCGCTTACCTTAATGTGCTCTCTCGCGCTTCGCGCTCACTTCGCTTTTCTTCTTGCGCTTTCGCGCATCCATCGCACTTCAAGGGTCTTTCATTCATCTGGTTCTGTGTTCAGTAGCAGTCCCCTTTAGGGTTGAACGTTCTTGCATTCTGCGAGTATAGCAGCTAGGCAGAGCCAAGACTCACTTATACTGGTTGAGCACTTTTCTTATATGTGCCTGCCAGGTTGTGATCGCCACAATGGGTTGCGCGGGTATGGCAGTAAACCCGCGGGTATGGCAGTAAACCCACGGGTATGAATTCAAACTATGCTAGAAAACAAGTAGTAACTACATATTAATAATAGTATCTAAATCCAAGCCTTTGTCATTGCCTCGGTGGTGAAAGCGGGTGGAGAGTCGAGTCGTGAGTGACGACGGCTGATCTGTGTGACCGACCAGGCGCAAAGCCAGCGCTTCCGTGTGAAGTGCAATAGCCTCTTCATTGTTGCCTCAGTGGCGAAAGCGGGTGGAGAGTTGAGTTACAAGGTTAGTTAATGACATGGACCGATCTGCATGACAGACTGGGTGCAAAGCCAGCGCTTCCCTGTGAAGTGCGATAGCCTGATCCAAGTCTTCGTCATTGCCTCGATGCTCAAAGCAGGAGGAGAGTCGAATAGCAAGGTTATTTAATGACGAGGACCAATCTGTGTGACTGACCAGGTGCAAAGCCAGCGCTTCCCTGTGAAGTGCGATAGCCTGATCCAAGTCTTCGTCATTGCCTCGGTGCTTTAAGCAGGAGGAGAGTTGAGAGGCAAGGTTATTTAATGACTTGGACCGATCTTTGTGACTGACTGGGTGCAAAGCCAGCCATTCCATCTGAAGTGCTATAGCCTGGTTCAAGTCTTCCTCATTGCCTCGACGATCGAAGCGAGTGTGCAGCATTACACCCAGATTGCCCAGCAATTGCCCTCATGAAGCATACCCAGCGTTGTAGTATCCCAGTGCATCATAATGAAGGGATATCACTTCATCTAAGGCACGGGGATCATCTTTCTGCAAACACCGCTCTACTCGATGAGCAAGTTGATTCGACGATAACGGAAACATGGGTGTGGTGGGCCGCTCCTGCCCAAGATCATTTGTATCAATGCTTTCAGCAGAATACAGAGTGGTTGTTTCGATTGCAATCAAAGCTGCTCTGAAGATGTGACTGTTGGCATGGCAGACATCAAGGACTTTACTCAGTAACTCTCTAGCTGCATCAGCATCCGTTTGAAATCCCCGTTTCGCCACATATTGCAGTAACATATCTCCGTATTATACGAGTGAACGGACGTGCATAATATCCCATATGATACGGGCCAGCGGACCATGGGCCGAAGGTAGATATATCCTCGACTGTGACGGATGGGCCGGGAGTGTTATTATTCCCGATGGAGACGGGTTGGCCCAGGTGGGGAATATGTAAAGTAGATGGGTGGGCCGATGGACATGAATTTTCAATAGACGGATCGGCCGAGGTAGTTGGATATTATGTAGATGGGTGTACCAAGGTAGATATGTATCAAATAGCCGGGTATATCAAGGGTGCTTGTTATCACATAGACAGGTGGGCCCAGATATATATCATATTAGACGGGTGGGCCGACGAATTAATATTATTTTGTAGATGGGTGGGCCGACGTATTGGTATTATTTTGTAGATGAGTGGGCTGAGGGAGCGGTGAAAGATTTATTATATACGGGTGGGCCAATGGTAGACATATATTGCATAGATGGATAGGCCGACGTAGGGGTATATAATATAAACGGTGGGCCCAGGAGAATGATAATTGTAGACATGATGGAGCTCAGCTAGTTGTATATCATGGAGGTAATAATTCAAAGTCATCTAATGATGTAGTATGGCATGGAGCCTTGCAAAGGGGTGAAGTGGAAACTCGAGCGAAGTGTACCGAGTTCCGAGACCCGGGTCTCGACAAATGAATATGTGATGTCCAGCACACTTCCGATTGTCTGGTATTTCATTGAGCAATATATGATAATAGATCTTTGAAAGCCAACATCATCCAAGCCTACCAAATGCCAAATGCCAAGTTCCAACTACCGAAAATCAAGTGAAGTGTACCAATATCTGAGCCCTGACTATCAAATCCCGACAATCGACCATTGAGTCCCGACTACCGAGTCTTGAAACCCGAGTCCCAAAGCCCGAGATTTGAGTCCTGAAACCCAATGCCCGACCATTGAATCCCAACAATCGAGTATCAAGTCCCGACCAACGAGTCCCAAATATTGAGTCCTGACCATCGAGACCCAACACCCAACACCCGACACCCAACACCCAACACCCAACACCCAACACCCAACACCCAACACCCAACACCCGACAACCGACACCCGACACCCAGCACCCGAGATTCAAGACTCAAGTTCCGACTATGGAGTCCCGGATATCAAAAATCAAGTGAAGTGTACTGAGATCCGAGTCCAACCTGAAGGATTCCTTAGGCTGGACTTCCAAACCTTTGGATTTGTCCTTCCATCTCTATCCAAGCTTAAGGATTGATTCCTTAAGCTGGACCTTTGCCTTTCTGGCACTTCCTGTCTTTCCAAGACTCATGTCTACTTCCTGTTATCTCCGACTCCACCTAAGTGTAGCCTACCTCTGTTTGCTTCTACTCCAGACCTTGTCCATGGTAGCCTTTATTCTCCTGTCCTATAATCCTGTCCACTCCTGCTGACCTCCAGACCTTTGGATCTCCGGACCTTTGGATCTCCGGACATCTTACCCTTCGGATATCAAAACCTTTGGACATTGTAACCTTTGGACATCATGACCTTCAGACATCATAACCTTTGGACATCTGAACATTCAGATGGCGCAACCTTCAGACATCCTGTCCTCTGGACCACTCCTCCTATCTGATCCTGCTTTGGACTCTGTCCCTTGCAGTCTCTCCTCCATGTGCTTCCATCTAGGAAGCTTACCTTCAGAAGTCTTATCTTCGGACCCTATGCAGCAGGTGAAACTCCTCCAGAGTTTCCTGTACTTCTCTAGAAGTTTCTATACTCCTCCGGAAGGTTCCTGTGCTCATCCAGAAGTCCTCCAGCACTCCATCAGAGTAGCCAGTCTCCGGAAGTCCTTCGGACTTCATTGGATTTCATCTGGACTTCATTCTGAAATTAAGGGTATGTACTTGGGAAAGGTGCAAAATAAAATATACTGACTACCAAGTGCTGAGCACTAAGTGTCGAGTTCCAAGTTCTGAGTTCCGAGTTCCGAGTGCCAAGTGCCCCGATGCTTTCGGGTATTAACACCCAGATAGCCCTCGCTCTCAGGGGCCCGTCAGAATTTAGATCATCTCAAACGGATGTGATTTGAGTGAGATATGAGCAAAATACTATATACCGGGTGAATTTTGGCATCAGAAGTTCGATGCTTTCGGGCATTGACATGAAGATAGCCCTCAATCTCAGGGGTGTGGGAGAATTCAGATTGTCTGAAATGGATATAATTTGAGTGAGATATATGCAAAATACAATATATTGACTACTGAGTGCTGAGTACCAAGTGCCGAGTGCCAAGTGCAGAGTGCCCCAATGCTTTCAGGCATTAACACCCAGATAGCCCATGCTCTCAGGGGCCCATCAGAATTTAGATCATCTCAAACAGATGTGATTTAATGTGTCCCAAGTGCTGAGTGCCGAGTCCCAAGTGCTGAGTGCCGAGTGCTGAGTTCTGAGTTCCGAGTTCTGAGTTCCGAGTTCCGAGTTCCGAGTTCCGAGTTCCGAGTTCCGAGTTCCGAGTTCCGAGTTCCGAGTTCCGAGTTCCGAGTTCCGAGTTCCGAGTTCTGAGTGCCCCGATGCTTTCGGGTATTAACACCCAGATAGCCCTCGCTCTCAGGGACCCGTCAGAATTGAGATCATCTCAAACGGATGTGATTTGAGTGAGATATGAACAGAATACTATATGCCAGGTGAATGTTGGCATCAGAAGTTCGATGCTTTCGATGTTATTGATGTCGGGTCTTGATGCTTTCAGGCATAAACATGTAGATAGCCCTCAATCTCAGGGGTGTGGCAGAATTCACATTGTCTCAAACAGATATAATTTGAGTGAGATATTTGCACCATACTATGTATATACTGACTACCGAGTGCTGAGTGCTGAGTTTTGAGTTCCGAGTTCCGAGTGCCAAGTGCCGAGTTCCGAGTGCCAAGTGCCGAGTTCCGAGTGCCAAGTTCCGAGTGCCGAGTGCCCCGAGGCCTTCGGGTATTAACATCCAGATAGCCCACGCTCTCAGGGGCCCATCAGAATTTAGATCATCTTAAACGGATGTGATTTGAGTGAGATATGAGCAAAATACTATATACCAAGTGAATTTCACCATCAGAAGTTTGATGCTTTTGATGTTATTGATATCAAGCCTCGATGCCTTCAGGCATTGACATGCAGATAGCCCTAGATCTCACGGGTCTGGCAGAATTTAGCCCATCCCAAATGGATAAGAGTTGAGTGAGATATGAGCAAAATCCCATATACTGTGTGTATTTCAGCATTGTAAGGTCAATGCTTTCCATGTTTGCAATGTCTAGCCTCAATGCATTCAGGCATTCACAAGCAGATAGAACTTGATCTCAGGGGCCTGTCACAATTCAGATCGTCTCACACGGATAAGACTTGAGTGAGATATGAGCAAAATATTATATATCAGGTGATTTTGATGTCAGGCCTTGCACCAAGGGTAAGCACATAGCACAACAGGAATAAATCCTGTTGTCCTAGTATCCTTATATATTGCATATACTATCGAAGGGATGTTGGGGATCATATTTTGCCTCAAACAGACATGATTTGAGGGAGATATGAGCAAAATACAATTTATTGGGTGTGTCTGAGCTTCGCAGGTTCAATGTTTTTGTTGTCAGCCTTGTGTGGGAAAAATTCTAAAACATCAGGAGAAACATAAAAACACATCATCAGGGACTGCAATCAGGTTTGCTATGATCACACCTATGTATAATATGATAGATTGGCTTCCAGTGTACTGTTCCAGTCCCTGAAACAGTATCTGTCAGTGGTATGTATCTCTAAATACAAAAAAACTCGAAATTCAAGGCAATCACTGTGCACTGGTGCAAGAAAGTTACAATCACAAGATATATACATCAGCAAAATATGATTTTGCCACACGGTTACCAGAAGGTCACAAGCTTTGACAGTGCTTACTAGACTAAGGATATGATTGTCTTAACTCAATAGTCTTAACTTGCTAGGCATAATATAAGCTTTCTTAATAACCATGACTGTCATATCTTCCATAATAATCCTAACCCTCACAGCTTATGTATTATGTAGTAATCAACAATCATATTAGACTATCAAGTGAAGACTATCGTGTAATGACTATCAAGTTAAGACTACTGTATTTTATTCTAAGTCTGTACAATAGACCTGTGATACTTGATGAGTGTCAGCCTGAACAGTATATTAAAGATCACACTATCATACTACACATAGGTATGACTATTGAAGACATGATGTAGTGCCTTATGATGTGTTTTTATGTGTCTCCTGATGTGTTGAGAATGTCCTACATTACCTCATATGTCCATGTGAGGCCATATGAATTCTGTGAACTCCTGACATTAAGGGCTATCCATCTGGGTGGTAATGCCCAAAAGCATCGGGACACTCAGCACTCGGAAGGCACTTGGCACTCGGCACTCGGCACTTGGTACTCAGCACTTGGTAGTCAGTATATGGGATTTTGCATATATCTCACTCAAATTATATCTGTTTCAGACAATCTGAATTTTACCACACCCCTGAGATCGAGGGCTATCTACATGTCAATACCCAAAAGCATTGAGACCCGACATCAAAAACATCGAAAGCATTGAACTTCTGATGCCAAAATTCACCCGGTATATAGTATTTTGTTCATATCTCGCTC